TTGCAACCCCTAGTGGGAGTCCCAATCCCCAGGTTGGGAACCACTGAAACGGGCCAGTGTTTCTCAAACGGGGTGTATGTTCACCTAGAGGTACTTTGGAGTACTGCAGGGGATACATGAGATGTCGGTCATGCATAATTCCTATAATAATTCTACTATAAAAAGTCCAATAACAAAATGTAAAAGTTAGATTTTTCGATGCAATCATTAACGCCACAAAACCCTCACAGCGGAAGAAAAAAGCAACAAACCCAATCAAGTTCACAATGATGGGGGTGGGAAGCTGGTTTTTGATATTAAAAGGAAGAAAAAAGTCGAGTTGACGAATTCAGTGTTTTCTTAGTATTTTACGTTTTCTTACACACCTTAAAATCAAGAAGGCCTCATCACGTACTCTGCTGTACTCTGCTGGGGAAGCAGCATTGGAGTTGGCGACACCAACAGAATTAAACTGATTAAGGAGGCCGGCTCCATTATTGGCTGCAAACCAGACACTGTTGTTGTGGTGGAGAGGAGGACACTGAACAGACTGTTAGCCATCATGGATAATACCGCCCACCCTCTCCACCACTACTAGACAGACAGCAGAGTACTTTCTATAACAGACTGGTTCAGCTTCACCGTCACAAGGACAGATAGAGGAAGCCTTTCCTACCCGAAGCCATCTATCTTTACACCTCACCTCTGTCTCTACATCACTGTTGTAAACTTCAATCTTCTTTGTACACTGTCTTGTGTATAGTATTTTATTCTATATATTTCATATTTCTATTTGTATTATATTTTATATTAGGATATTTTGCATATTGTGTATTCTATAGATATTTACACTTATTTGTTGTGGTTATTTTCTTATATATTTCGGACCACTTGTTGCTGTCTCTCAACCTCACTCTCAGTGCTCTTCTAGGTTGTTCAAGTCTTGCAGGCTTGGGGAGTAATGGATTACATGCAACTGAGTTACATAATCATGATACAAAAATACACTGAGCTAAAACTGAAGCGCTTAACTAAGCTTAAACCATTCTTTTGTTTACAGATTGCACCAATGCTTGTTACTGACATTGCTTTTCTCTTGTTTTTAAATTCGATATTTGGTGTTGAGGTAATCCAAAAGTAATAGAACGTAATCAAGTTATGTTATTTGTTTTTGGGTAGATACTTTTGTACTTCAACTCAAGTTATTATTTTGACCAGCTCACTTAACTTATACTTAACCTGTTTTTATAAAGTAACAGTACTTTTACTTGAGTAACGTTACTCCACCCACCTCTGGGGACAGAATGACTTATTATCTCCAAATAAAGAGAAACTTTCTCGGTATTTTGAAAAGCTTCTCATTATGATGACTTTATATTTGTGTCACATTGGGCTTCCATAGGACAGACTGCAGCTGCTCCTAAAATCCACTGACAGGCAGCGGTGTCAATAGTTTGATAGCATAATAGGAAGCTAATTCGTTGTTGTTGTTGTTGTTGTTGTTGTTGAACACTGCCACAGACCCGGATATTTACTTACCGACAGTAGTGTCATTGGTACCTGAGCTGCTGTAGCGGCTGCCTGACGTTAAACCCACTGACTGCTAGCTGTAAGCGGACATTAGCTCGGTATACACCGTTACCGTGTATTCCCTCGCTAACGGAAGCCGCTGTGGACCGCTGTGCGCAGCTGTTTAATGGCTGAAGTTAGTTGACTATCAGAGGAGCTGCTAAACTACAGTCCAGCTGCTTCCGGCTAGCTGTTCGTCTGCGATAGTCCCAACAACCTGAGTGGAGTGAGAGCGAGAGAGTACCTGTCCCCGCAGGGTGCTGATGGTGGTCGCCATGTTGTCTCTTCAGCGTCTGGGGGATTAGATTCTCGACGGTTCTCTGTCACAGACGGTTCCGGTACAGTACCCCCGTACACACAACGCCGTGGACCTGTGCCCGGATTACTGCTGACCCGGAAGCAGTTGGGTTCTTCTTTTTTTAAATTCCTCTTTATTTTCAGCAACGTTTCGACATTCTGCGTTCTGTTTGGTTAAAAATAAATATATATATATATTGAGCAAGAAAAATATAGTTTTTAAAAAGGGATTCCAAAAACTGAATCTTTAATACGAATAATGTAACTCATGAGGAATATATTATAATAATTATGAGAGCAATGTACACAATTCAAAAACAAATTGCGTATAAATAAATGAAGAAGAATTAAATACGAGTAAAATAACCTCTTTTCAGCTTGTATTTAGTTAGTAAAGGTTACGTTTTAGAGCTTGTGCACAAAAATAAATATCTACAACATAACCCCAGAATGTGTGCTGCTGCATGGTTATTTCTATTTGGAGACTCTCACAGTACAATGACACACTGATAGGTCTGGGTATCACAGGATAATCCGTTTTTAAATTTTACAACAATTAAAATCCGATGATACTAATGGGTCTCTTTAATTCAAAAATAAAAAAAGCATAGACATGAAAGGCGTGATCATTAGATAGGTATACAATAAGGAAGTATAGTAGTAGTAGTATAAGCTCCACTTAGTTCTCTATAGTTTGATTTGCTTCTGAAAAACTGCTCAACTGAGAAGCAATCGTTCTTCTAATTCAAAACCTGCTACTGTTGCACCACCTGGTGGCGGAAGCGGGGTAGCACATTCAGACGTACTAAAGTAACATTGCAGCCTAGAAAAGGCCTACATATTGTACAAGTACATTTGGAATATAAACATTGCCTGACTGGCCAGTTCACTGAACTCATTTACATTGTGTGCTCCGCTTTCTAAAGAGCCTGGTTCAGGAGCGTTTTAGTTGCCATATTGTATCTTGATGTTTCTTCGTGGCTTGTTGTTGTTTCTCAAACATAAATAAAACAGGCCTTTACAAACCAAAGCAAGCAAAAACTCAAATCAAATATGAAACTCTAAACACTACCTCCTCTACAAGTGTTTCTTTCTAATCTAATTTCTTTTTGTTGCAGTCGCTGAGGACTACGACTCCACAGCATCCTGCAGCGACCACCTGTACCTGGGCGGCTGTGGCTCAGAGGCAGAGCGGGTCGTTAATCGGAAGGTTGTGGGTTCGATCCCCGGCTCCTGGTGCCACATGTCGAAGTATCCTTGAGCAAGATACTGAACCCCGAATTGCTCCCGATGCCATGCATCGGTGTGTGAATGTGTATGAATGTTAGTTTCTGTTCGATGGGCTTTGCCATCACTGAGTGAATGTGTGTGAAAGGGTGAATGTGGCATGTAGTGTAAAAGCGCTTTGAGTGGTCGGAAGACTAAAAAGGCGCTATACAAGTACAGGTCCATTTACCATATACCTGGTTCTGTTAACTGCTGGCAGGGTGGGGAAGCTGTTTGGCTCCTGTATTCCTGTTGCCAACCTTTCATCTATAAGTGGCGTTGCTTTCTTCAAAACAAAACTAGCTAAGGCAAAGGCAGTTCTCTACAGGCACATTTAACACACATTACACACCATACTGTAGTTGGGCCTCCTTATATAGACTACTTCATATAAAAGATCTGGTCAAAATGTACATACGTTGAATACATTCACATTTGCATATTCAAGAAAGGCTTTCCAAATGTTGGTGTGTTGGAGTGTATTAGACAGAAGCTGCAGTGGAATGTGCTCTGTTACCATCCTACCAACCAGAGATTGTTGGGGTCTCACAGAATGTCAGGACATTAAAGTTTATTATGAATTCTTATTCTTTTGAAACAAGCTCCCCTAAAACATGATTTGTGACATTTTATGGATCTCTGCAAATACTAATACTAAAACACTGCCAATATGCTATGTTTGCCATGCATTTATATTATCGTCATGGATCATTATAGCCTAAAATGAGGCTATTATTTATGTATTTTTGTCACTAACTGATTATTGAATATCAGATGTGCTGCCATAAAGCAAGTAGGCCTATGTTATAGTTAGCACACTGAGGAACACCAAGTAGAAACGATACAGGACCCAGTTCAAGCTCAGTTCCTAATATTTTGTGCAGTCCATACAAGACAGCATTTGTGTAATTTGAGGTAAAGACACTGTGTAAGGCTGCCTGTATACTTTATATTGGCAGTTTATTTTTATTTAATGCACAATGAGGTGATAAATGTGCTCTGTGTATTATTTTCAGTTGCAATAGCCTGGTTCAGTTAGATTGTTATTTTGGTTTGTTCCAGATATCCTCCCACATACCTTCTGTAATCTCTACACCCAGTTCCTTGTCCCAGGTCTGTCCCAGCTCCAGAAAACCAGCAGCTGAATAGCTTCTCAAAATGATTACTATGTCTCCTACATTACAAAATATCTGCCTTTAAAAATCAGACACATTAAAATCAGTTAATAAAGTGTTTTTCTTAATATCTGGAGGAAACGAGATATTTTCTGGATATATCATATTTCTGATTAAAGGATTTTAGATTTTTTTAGTTGTTAAACAATCTAACAACTGTAATGTGGTAGTTAAACTAAGTACCAACTAAAAGGAAGCACTGATTTTCAACTGCTGTTAGAAAAATAACAGCAATAATGAGCGAACTATTAAACCAGTTGAAGCATTCCTATTGAGACACTGCACACTGTAAACTCCACATGGACTCTATTCCCACTGTCATTTAATTAGTAGCTGTGTAAGAAAAAAAAAAAAACGTGTGCCAAACAGTTAAGAAATAGATAATAGAAATGTTCAGTTTTTAATATAATCACATAACAAAAACAAACATAATTGATCAGGATCCCTTAAATTAGAGTATTAAAGAATTGTGACCAAAACAGGAGGGGGGCATTTTACAGTGTAAGAAAAAACCTGACAGCGCTCTCTGGTGGACAAACTGTGTAATGGACACACAGTCTCTAAATCTCAAACATATCTTAAGACATTCCTCTGCTGAAATACACACACATACTGATACATCTGTAATATCCCCAGGTGATCTGCATGCAATAAAAAGTAATAATGAATATTTTCAATAATCTGCTGTAACAGAAAACCAATCAGTTCTATCAATTAAAAGTGTATAGAGTTTATTTTTGGATTAATGGCATCCCGACACAAGTACAGGTAAAGATCAGTGTGAGGAGAAAGTACAGGTCAGAGAGAGCATCTGGACAGATGATTTGTGCATTATTAAAAGTAATGTACAGTACAGTTGGAGTTGAGGCACCGCTACTGATTGCATTACTGTGTGAGGATAAAGAACTGGTCTGGACTAGGACTCTGCCGCTGGAAGAACATCAGCAAAATATGTCTTGGGAAAAGACAAAAGTTCAACTGAGCATGCAGTTTTTTTTTCCTCCCTTGTTTGTAACATTTACCTGTGTCCCTCCCAGGCCTCTGTAGTTTTACCACCTTCCAGACATCATGTAGTCAGCATGTTGAGCCATCCCACATCTTCAGTTTGGCAATCCACTACTGAACATGCTGCAATGCAACTGTAAAGTCTGAATGACTTAGAATATGTTTGTCCTATATCAGTGTAACTCACAAAACCATTCAAGTGTTTCCACATTGTTTTTCAGTGTATGGAAAAAGACTGATGGTGCCCTTTAGAGCATGTGTGGTAATGACATATAGATATGATTTGCAGTAAACTGGGTATCAAACCTTTTCTCTGTTTTTGGTTTCAACTAAAATGTGTCCCTGGCTCTGAAAGGTGCAACAAATGTCTGCCTAGATTCATAACCTTTTAGATTTATTCATTCTTCCAAGTAAGGTAAGTAAGGTGTTTGTTAGAAGTTATAAACAAATTCAGTTAGAGGTAGAATCCAACCAAAAGTGTTAGCCAATTACAAACCTCAATTTATCTCAGATTCCTACATATTCAAATTTTGAAATCCCTTTTTGTCTGCAGACGCTGCAGGGTCGCCTAGGGTGGAAGGCATCATGTTGAACCACCATGTTTCTACAGTAGCCCAGAAGGGACAAACCAAACACTAGGGCACACAAGGGCCTTTTCATTTTTCAAGTTAGTTTGCGCAGAGCGAGGGAGTTGCAATCTGCAACTTCACCGCTAAATCCTACACACTGGACTTTTAATCTGCACCAAGTTACACAGTTCTCTTCAAAAAACCCTCCTATGGATTTAGTTAGATTTCAGATTGTGTCTATGAAACTGTGGAAAACTACAAGACCTGGAAAAGTTTTATTCAAGCAGCATGAGATCATGGGTGAATGGTAGATTACACTCCGTACAAGTCACAACGCGGCGGGTCCACCGGTCTGGTAAACACACAGACTGAAGTGTAAATGAGTGTGAATACACACAAACACAAAGAATGCACACACCACTGCTTATGAGTAGGACACCTGTGTTTGATATCAGCCTGTGAGCACTCTAGCTTTGCACAAACTTCATTTAATGTGGCAACCAGTCACCTTGTCATCAAGCCTGAGTCAGTTCTTCAGTAGAACCACACCAGCAAACCCCTGCCTCTACAACCAGTCTGACCAGTAAAGCCAGCAAGTCCAATAAAAAAAAAAGGGGGAAATACTGATTGTGCAAAACATTTGGCACCAGTTTATTCATCATTTTTAACTTAACACAAACTAGATCACATTTTGCCAAGAATTTCAGTGCAGATATAAAAAAAAAAAACATGCATACTAAATATACTGTGACAAAAGTCTTTGTGTCTGATTCTCCACACAAAAAGAGCAGAACAGCATCGTGTGCTTGCGGAGGTGAGCCCACAGGCTTGAAAGTAAAAACTGATTTTTTTTTCTTACACTGACAATAAATGTTACCTCCTCATAACATCACTCAAATGGGAACTCCCAGAGGATGATCCCTCATTAGCTAGCCTAGAATTAAATTACAAAATGTCCAACAACACATGATCGCTAACTTGCTTGAAAAGTTTTTCTATCTCAGGAGACACACGCCAACACTCACACACAGAGACAGATTAGCTGCTTTCACACGAGAGAACACAACAAAACCGGAGGGTGAGAGGCACTGGGAGGACTGCGCCGCACAACACAGGCGATAAAAACAAAGTTAAAGGTCAGACTCAAGCTGATTTAGCAAAAAATCTAGTGGTTGTCTATGTCAGTCAGTTCTAGAAAAATAGATTCTCTTTTATTTTTTTTTGCTCGTAATAATTCTGATGTGACTTTTAAACATGTCCGGTGGCAGTCTTTCTAGTGCCCCTGTTGGCAGCACAGAGGACATATGGGAAAACAAAACCTCCTAGTAATCAATGTCAAACACAAGGTCAAAGGTGAATTTGGAAGCATCAGAGAAGCGCAGAAGACAAGGACTGGACGATGAACTGTGACGCCACATCAACATGCTAGGGCAAACAGGAAGAGATCTAGAGAAAACAAAAAGAAAAACACAACAGGGAGACAAACCTAGGTTAAACAGCAATGGAACACAGACAGGAGAGAGAAAAAAGAAACCAAGAATGATCATCTGTGTGTGGGGTTGATTACAGTCTAAACACTCAACAGTCAGTGTCGGGGACAGTAAGGACAAGCCACATGCTACCACAAACTGAGGTGGATGACAACAGCAGCAACACACACATGAGACGGACTAAATAAAAATGCCAGGTCACACAGGCCTCCAGAGTCCTAAATCTAAACACAGCTAGTCACATGGGAAGGCTGGAGAGCACCACGGCAATAATGACTATTTATAAGATCTGTTAAAATCAGTTTTTAGAAATGGCTGACTGGTATTTAAATGATGCAATTAAATAATTCAATTAAATAAATCACATTTCTTACTACAAGCTACTGCAAGCTAATGAGTTGAGAAATTATTTTAAGAAACAGACTACAGTAGTTGTGCATGTTTTATCTCATTTACTATATAATACCTAACATCAGAGCACTGTGCTGTGTTTTAGATTTCTGGATGTCATTTTGCTGCCATGTCAGGCACTTCTATTTGCCATTCATTTCTGTGAATGATAGATATGAAAATCTATTAGCAGACTTTTGAAATTGTGCGAGCTGTGCAATCCCTCGCTGCCAACATCAGCTGACGTTTACATTACCGTAGCTTAGTGATGCAGTTTTGTTGCAGATTTGAGTCTGCATTGTTTTAGTCCACAACAAAAGTGCACTTCTGACAAAGATTAATGCAGACTTGCTGTTCACTCAGATGGTTTCTATAGTTTGCCATTTGATTTTCATGCCATAAAGAAATTAATGGAAACTAATGGCTTCCTGGAACAGGAGGTAAATTGCGCCTGGACCTACCCAGCATGCATTTAAAAATGGTTGGTAAAAATGTAAAGTATACATGATTTGTCGTTTGTACTTCCGTTTACAAATGGCTGGTCTGTCCATATCCCATGAAAGTGGACCCTTCCTAAGCCCCGCCCCTTTTGGAACCTCGGTCAACCTTCTCCTTTCCTGTACCGAGTTATGCTACGAGCTAGCCTCGTTCACCTTGAAAATACATTCAACTTGACCTCAAAGACATTCTGAAGATGGTTAAAAGATTTCCAGTATAGCTATAGTCACATCTGAAGTTAGCCAACAATAGCAAAGCGCTAGCAGACTAGCTAATTAGCTTCACTAGCTTGTTTTACAAGTTTTAGCTATAAGATGTAACTTTTCATGTAGATTAGCTAGCTTGTAAGCTAGTGTTTCTAGTTTATGTCTGTAGTAAAACACTACGTAAGTAGCTAATTAGCTAGCTAACTGATGGAATAGACTGATAAAGATTAGCTGGCTAGGGTTTTGTTGTAGTTAACTTAAGATGTGACTATATGTCATTTTTATTTTCTTAATCATCCTCAAAATGTGTTTGGTTTTTCAACATAGACCTAGCCTAGCACATAGCATATCTAAGTACAGGAAAGGAAAAAGACAGAGGCTTGCTCAACTGCTATTGGATCACAGAGATGCTTTATTTTTCAGTTTTTATTTTACCCACAATCTAAAAGGATGAGTCTGGTGATATTCATATGTGTGTGTGTGTGTGTGTGTGTGTGTGTGTGTGTGTGTGTATGTGTGTGTGTGTGTGTGTGTGTATGTATGGTCAACAAATCCCATGTACACAGCCTAACAAACAATGACCAGATCCTTTAAAATGTGTCTCTTTCTATTCAAGACATGCTGCCAGTGTGCCAGGGTAAAAATGAAACAAGGGCCAGCCTACAGAGAAGTAACAAGATGTGTCACTGGCCAACTCCTGACCTCTGAGGTGAGTGAAAGAAACGTCCTGAAGAGGTAGGTTCCTCTAAAGATGAGACGCTCTGAGCACATAGAGACTGAACGTGAATTTAGGTGATCCTCATTAAGATATAAAACGTACCACCAGGAAGTGGCACTCAAATGGCTGACAGTGTAAAGAGCAGTAGTAATGGGTTTATAGTACCTGTTGTAATATTTCACTTCAGCACGTAACAGACCTACAAATCACCAATTTAATGTAAATGTATCAAAGTAACACTCTGTTAGTGACTAACGGTATATCCTGGCTGCAGTAGTTTTTCAGTAGTCCAGTTCATGTGATGAATGATTTACATTCACCCGTGCCCTAACCACTATTAAACAACACTTAAAAGACACATGCAGTGGTCTTATCTCACAACACAGCTGGATCAGTACAAAGTCCCTGATACATAATCGTGATTTTTGTGCAATAGCATTAATGCTCTGATATACCAAGAAACTTCCAGTGCCAACATAACATTAAGTAAATGGGACAATATTACATAGAACATGGTGACCTTCAGCTGCTTTGACATGAATAACCCTGTAGCAGTGAGACTCTCTGATATCACATACAGTTTTACTCTGACTCAATCTTTGGACTGGACCTGGAATCAGTTTTAAAACTTGTTCTACTTCTAGAAATACACCCAGGACTTCACCTGGTGTGATGACTATTGATTCAAATATTCAAATTGAAAGACAGGACCAACAGGCACATGTTGAAATGGACTTTTAGAATAAACTATGTCTCCCTGTGTTTTTGGAAAATTAGTGATTTATTCAGATGAAGGCATGTATAAACAGAGAGGGGGGATTCTATGAAGTCTGTAGCAGCACCGATCCTACACACACAAGTCCATGCCACATGACACGTAGCACATGTCACCGAAAGGAACCGATGCTCAACAGGCAAGGAGAGGACACACACCAGGAGATCAAATGGAGTTGTTGGACTTTTACATTTGTTTTTCAAAATAATTTCAATTCAGATAAATAATTTAGGAAATAAATAGTTCCCCAACACACAGGGGAAGTATAAAACCTATATAAAAATAGAAAAGGCATAATAGTTTAAATATACATCTCAACAATTGTCTCGCTTCCTAGTTCTATTAAAAAACAAAAAACAAAAAACATTCTTGCAAGTTTAAGCAACTAACAGGTTTGTCTTGAGCAATTTGACATTTATATGAATTCTCCAATCACAGAAGATATTCAGTGAGAGACATAGTGGTGTAGCCCTCTATAGATTAGCTAGCCGTAAGCTAGCAGGACAGTAGCTGAGGGATGTTGATGATTTTTCTTTTTACAAAACACGTGGATTCAAAAGGTAGAAACTAACCAAAACCATAAAATGTCTTCATACAAAGCATTACATCTGCATTAGACAGACTCTTAGATATTAAGATTAGTGGAACGAGCCTATGATGTTTGATTTTATTGCCAAATTTCACAGTATTGCTAGCAACAGCTGACAGTTGGGTCTTCAAAGCCACATCAGCCCAACCGGTCACTCAGAAGCACAGGAGGAGCGCCACCAAAACATGCAGCGTGTAGTCTTCTGGAAAAGTCTACACTACACGACTACTTCACTACATGCAAATTCAACTGCATTAGAAATGTGTCTCACTAACCTCCAGATAAAGCATGCAAATATCCATGTCATACAGAAATCAATTCCAGCGAGCGTTTGTTTAAAACATAACCCATACGCAACTGTGTCGCCATCCACCTGAGGCCGTTTGATAAGTGTAAGCCAGATACGAGCAAGCGTCAATGTGTCGTCTTTAGATAGAACAGGTGGCAGTTCTGTTACACCACAGAGCTCCGAGGAGAACAGTTAACAGAGAGAAAATGTCTAAATGCAATCTGCATGTTTTGGTGCAGCTCCTCATAAACAATCTAAGCTTCTGTACCTGACCTTAAGCCTTACGACTAATTTACAGTGCATACACAGAGTTTTCAGACACTTTCAAGTTTTCCACATTTTGTCATGTTTCCGACTCATCTTAAAACGGATTCATTATACAATACTCCACCATGACGAGGCAAACGAGTTTTGTTAATCTATTAAAAATAAAAGACATATCCCAATATCCCATAAGTATTCAGACCATTTGTTATGACACTCGCAATTTAGTTTTTAGTCCTTGAGGTGCTTCTACAACTTGATCAGAGTACACATGTACCTAATTGAATTCATTGGACATAAGAAAGGTAAGCTGGCTCAGCAGCTGGACACAAAATCACAAGATCACGCGAGAATCCAGGCTTCAAGCTATACACTTGTGTCCAAACCATGGTGGTTCGGAGTAACTGCTGGCAGCTATGGCATGAGCTACGGGTATGGTTTAACCATAGACATGGGTTTAATACTAGCTGTATGTGACAGTGTGTGAGAAGTGACTGTTCTGCTTGAAAACAACAATGGCGTAGATGCTGCTAGCATCAGTTCTATCAGAACTGGAGAGGATTTCTTCAGTGAAACAAGAGCAACTGAAAGAACAGCACTCTCATTAGAAAATATGTTTTCATCTTTTCTCGACTGGCTTCAGTAAGAGTTTGACTATGTTCTATGGGTCACTGATTTCATTTGTCGAAGTTTGCCAATCACTTGCCTTTTCCAAACAGTTTCAATGACAACTTCCCAAATGGTTCTGTGTAACAAACCACATGGGGCAGTAGGTTATAGGAAAGGCACACACCTGTCTATATTAGGTCTCCAACTGTTTGTCAGAGTGAAAAGCAAGCCATGAGGTCTGCGAACCTGCAAGACAAGATTGTGTCAAGGCACAGATGTGGGGAGGGATACAAGAAAATGTCTGCAGCACTGAAAGTGCCCAAGAGCACGGTAGCCTCCTTCATTCTCAAATGGAAGAAGTTTGAAGCGAAGAACAGTCTTTCAAAGAACTGCCTGCCTAGCCAAAATAAGCAATCGAGAACAAAGGGCCTTGGTCAGACAGGTAACCAAGAACCCCATGGTCACTATGAGTGAGATCCAGAGCTCCGTTGTGGTCAGTATCTCAGGGTTACATCTCAACACAAGACAACCACCAAAGCATACCGCCAAGAAAACACAGTCCTGGAGTGGCCCAGCCAGCATCCAGACCTGAGCCCAACAGAGCATCTCTGGAGAGATCTGTAAATGGCCATGCACAGACACTCCCCATCCAACCAAGACCATCCATGCCAAGAAGAGAAGTAGAAAGTTCCAAAACAAACGTGTGCCAAGGTTGTAGGATCATTTCTATGAAGAAGTACCAAGTGAAGGGTCTGAATACTTATCTAAATGGGATATTTCAGTCTTTTATTTTTAATAAATGTACAAACACTCCCACAACCTGTTTTTGCTTTTTCATTGTGAACAGTGATGAGGAAAAAAACTTATTTAATTAATTTTAAGATGACTTTGAAACATAACAAAATGTGGAAATCTTATAAGGGTCTGAAAACTTTCCATATGCAAAATCACATATATTTTAAATTTAATTTAAAGAGATAATACAGATACTTAATACATAAGCAGCGAAAACCACACGATTTGGCTTGTGAAAATGTAATAGAAAACCTAGTAAAGATTTCTGTTTCCTAATCAAAGGTAGCTCTGTCTTTCCCAGCTGCTGCCTGTTCTCAGGAGCTTTATGCGGGGGAAGGGGAACAGGAAGTAAAAACAGATGGATTTGGCACCTGACTGTCAATGTGCAACACATCCTAACAATCAACTCATATGTGTATTATGTACCACAGCAAACTGATAACATTTCAACTTAAATGAAAATACACCTGTTTCTCATATTTGTTAAAAGGAAAACAAGGAAAACAAAGTGCATAAACCACAACATAACACAGGAAGAATCCAGTCTAGCCTGAAAAATCTTGCATGTAGCTTCGCGTGTCTCTTTGCCTGGACATGTTATAATGACCAGGAGAGGCAGCACAGCAGACATCACCCTGTAATGCACAGACAAGTTTCTGAGTGGACCAGTCTTAGTTGCTTATTCATACTCCACTTACCATAACACCACCCTGCCTAACTAAGTCTGCAGTGCCTCAGCACCTTCAGTAGGGCTTGCTGTCATTCTTTGAGCGCTTCAGCTGCACCTTCAGCCTCTTCATACCGATCTGGAAGCCATTCATCGATTGGATGGCTGCCTGTGATGACACGGGGTTGTCATAGCTCACAAAGCCTGAAGGAGAAATACAGACACATTTAGAACGGCAACTGAGGACAGCTTAAAATAGTCCCTCAAGGAATACACAATCCTGGCAACAAACCCCACATTGTCCACACAAGCTTGAAATTCTGTCCAATCCTCCAAACAACAACCAAGAATAGGGTAAAATCAGAAGAATGCTAAAAGGATTACTTTGGTATTTTTCAACCTCAACCTTATTTTCCTGTTTTTGTGTCAAAGTGACTCATGAGGACAACAAGACCAATGAATTTGGTCCATTGTTGAGGGAACCACATTGTGCCAAAAATAAACGCAATGTCTAAGTGGTGGATTTCCACAGGCGCAGTCACCCCCCCCCCAACTCAGTGCAGGTGGTGGGAGAGAGGAGTATAATAGCAAAGTTATCATCACTAGGGTTGGGTACCGAAATGTGGTACCAATAGGGCACCGGTTCTGACGTAAACAGCAGTAACCAGACCGAATAAGAACGAACATTTCGGTGCCTCATTTCAGTGCCTTTTTTTTTTTTTTTTTTTTTTTACCGCCCCCTGGTGTTCCGGTGTCAACTTGTATGACGTCAGTGCCGCTACTCAGCACACTTGTTGATCAGAACTGATAATGAGAGGATCAATGACGATGCCAAAGGCAAAAGCCTAAAGGTTTCCAAAAAGGAAACCCAAAAAAAAAAAAAAAAAAAAAAAGGAGGGAAAAAAAAAAAAAAAAAAAAAAAAAAAAAAAAATAAAAAAAAAAAAAAAAAAAAAGGTGGCCGCTGGACAAAGACTCCCAGGGGTGGTGGGACAGATGGTGACAAGCCTTTCCGTTTCGGGGTCTAGCATTTAATCAACCGTCCGTCAATAGGATAGCAGACTCTTGCTTTGACAAGTGTGCTAACACAGTGTCCGCTGCCTTTCTGCTTAATATGAAACTCATAATATTGTGTTCAATTTGGCCCTGGAAATAAAAGGGTATTGTTTTTTGACAAAGTGTGTGTGGTTTCGTACCGGTTCGAGAACCGTTTAAGCACCTAAAACCCTTGAAGCTGCTGCACAGACATTTACAATAATTTCAGCACAGCACTGCAAGATCTTAGGGACACAGATTCAAATATTTCATTTACTGTAAGAAGGCATATGTACATTAGTTTGCATGAACTCACCAAAACACTTGCTGAGATTTGTCTGTTTGTCAATGAAGACTTTAGCAGAGATGACATTTCCAAAGGGCATAAACATCTGGAGCAGGTCCTGGTCTCCAAACTCCTGGGGCAGGTGGTAAATGAACAGGTTGGCACCCTCTGGACCTGCCAATAAACAAGCCCCTTTTACCAGTCACACAAACATTAAACATAGTGATATCTTCACAATTTCAACAATTTCTGACTCAATGAATTAATCCATTCCTCCAAAATATGATCATGGTCAAATTACGTCCTCAACAAATGCAATAACAGCTCTATCTTATGGATCACCACCCAGGGGCTCATGTGGTATAAAAACAATATTGATGTGGAAATGTGTCAACCAATTAATAAACTGTGGGAATACATTATTTTGCCATGACTGGTAAACTGAGGACATGGATGGCACATTTAATAGACCATAATGGTTAATTGAGTAATCTAGAAAATAATTGGCAGATTAAGGTGGTAACTGCTGGTCAACATAGTGCTTATGAACTGCTATCACATTTCATTCTCAGACTACAGTCAATAAAGAAAAATCTTATCTTAACAGAAATGGAATATTCACAAAATATGTAAATGAAAACAACTTCACATGAATTTGGTTGCATTAAAACACAGTACAGGTGGTCACACAGACCAGGAAGGGACTTAATCCCTCCATCCCCTTACCTTAAACATGAAAATGTAGTCAGAAGCAAATTAAATGCACTTTTAAAAATAATTTGAAGGAATAAGCAGTAATTGATAAAAAAAAATAATAAAGGCGTTTATTTACATTTGCAAGTGAATTTCCCAATTCAAACACATTTTTCAACATCTAGTAGTTTATATCAGGCGTGGCTGAGGTCACAAAGTTGAACTTGAATGCAAATGGTCTGCCAATGACAATTTCCACATTTACAATTCCTTCCACCACATGACCCTTGGGGGGCTCTGCAGTATCATATACGACATTAAGTGTAAAGAAAATAAACAAATAAATAAAATTATTGCTAACATTAACACACAAACAAGCCTTCTGTTATGGACTTGAGCTTGTTTTAAAGTGGAGCTGATGACATGAGTATATCAGAAGCCATGTCAGAGAGAAGGTGGTGACTTCTTACCGGTGCTGCGACTGTCGCTGGCTGATGCAGCAGATTTAAAACAAGACAGAATCCTTAGCAGAAGGTTAGGTCAACACACAGCAAACATCTCTACCAAGCTGCCCACAACAGTACTTTAAACCAAGTGTCACAATATACTGAGGAACATCCCAAAAGTATATGCTTGCACCCTGCTGTTACCGTTAGCTTTTTTTTTTAATCTGCAAAGGGAGTCTATGGCAGCCTATTGAACAGGGCAGTTCATATGAAAATAGGTATATTAGGAGAAGGAATCTAAACTCCAACAAGTTTTTCTTTGCTCATTCTGAATCCAAATTGGACTGAAGAAAGAAATATTTTGAGGCATGCTCATACAGCAGTTATACAGTAAATAACCCCCAGTTACTCCTCTTCGACTACCTCTCCAGTCCCTTCATCTGTACTCTCTACCATCCCCCATACCATCTCTTTTTCATACTCCCAGCCAACAGGACCCACCTTCCTTTTGGCTGCCTGCTGCTGAGACACTCTGCTGGGACAGCAGGCTCTGGTTGTACAGGCTAGGGAGGGCAGCAGCGGCGTACTGCTGGATGCCCGAGTAGGCCTGGCTCAGTGCCTCCATGGTGTTTCCTGAGCCATTAGACAGGCCTCCAGAACCCAGGCTGCCATTCAGTGCTGCCATGCCTGCAACAGAGGTACAAGGAAACAAGAATTACATGGGTAAGTGTTGTAAGTGATGCTGAGTACAACATAATAACAGTCAAAAAGTAAAGTAACTCAGTAAGTTACTAAGTAATTATAAGCGTCACTCACTATGTATTTAAAGACAATGGCCAATTATAGGCGTTAATAACAATAATAAACTTAATTTATAAAGAGCATTTCAAGATTCTCAAAGATGCTTTACATGACAAATTTGATATAAGACATAACCCCACTCCTTTGGAACCTCAGTCAACTTCACCCTTCCTGTACATAGATGTGCTATATAGTGACATCTAAAGTTAGCTAATGTTAGGAAATGCTAATTAACTATCTACCTAATCTACATCAGTTGTTAGCTCGTTAGTACATCTGATAGCTACTGTTAGCAAAACTAACTTGCTAACATTAGCTATCAGATGTAGCTAGCGGGCTAACAACTGATGTAGATTAAGATAAGATAACATGTTGCTAACATTAGTTAAGTTAATATGTTACTATATATATATATATATATATATATACATAGTATATCTAAGTACAGGAAAGGAGAAAGTTGGCCGAGGCTTGCTCAACTGTTTAGGGAGCACAGAGCCAAAAGGAACGGGACTTAGGAAGGGTCAATACAGGCGCAAGGTATAACTTCTGAATAAATGACTGTTGAGTTGCACATTAGACAGGTATTACAAAATAATACCTAATAATAACTGGGATTTAATTACAGTACATCAAGTGCTCTCACAGCATATTAAACAGTCCCTGCACCATAGCAGTACACTGTGGGAAATCAAATCAGATTTGGTAGAAGCGGCGATGATGTGACAACTGTATTCTTACAATGACCCAATTATAAACACCTGGAGGAGGTTTGAGGGAGGCATTACTTTTGTCTTTAAATTGGTAGGCTCGGCTTCTTGCTGTCATACTGGCAGCATAAAAATACGAGGAACCAAGTGCAACAATATGTAGGCAGGCTTTAATCTCGAAGACAAAGATTTATATCAAGCGGGTTAAGTACCTGCCAGGGAGCCCATGTTGAGGCCAGCTCCAGAACCAGCAGCCAGAGACTGCAGAGCCCCCAAAGAAGCCATGGGGTTCACTGATGAGTTGCTGCTGGAAGTGGGGGAGGAGCCTGCTCGGGAAATATATTTACTATTAATGTTATAATAAACACAACTAGGAAATATTAGAGAAGTCTGTGTTACAGTGCTACAGTCTGTGCTCAGCAATGTCAACATTCTATTGATTTTGACAATTTCATAATGTGTCTATTCAAAATAAATAAAAATAGGCTATGTTACCATAGCACTACTGCGTGTACCTTAACTATGCAACAGTACTGTCGTAATGTGTTTTACCTGAGCTTGTTAGTGCACTTAGTGGGCTACTAGATGTTGTCATGGCGCTGGAGCCTGTGGCTGTGGCCTGTGTGGCAGTTGCTGCTGCTGCTAAAGCAGCCAGGTTCTGCATGGCATTAAGACCTGACAGACACACACACTTCAGTTAAGTTCAAGACTCCACCCACCCCTTTCTCTGACCACTATTGTATATAAAAACAAATACATATGGTCATGTTCTCTACAGAGAATCTAATCTTACATATTGGCACAATATTTCAAGGTGGAATGTTAAAGCGTATGTGTGTGTGTGTGTGTGTGTGTGTGTGTGTGTGTGTGTGTGTGTGTGTACCTGAAACAGGGTGCAGGTTGTTGAGTGCATTCCCCGTTGAGGCTGACTGCTGCAGCAACTGTAAGTAGAGCTAAAGCCAGGAGGAGATATGAGAAACATAATGTTAAATGGAAGTGACAGTTAAGTTTAAACAGGTGAATTGTTTTATCACTAGGCTAATCATTACATTTTGCATAAACACAGATAGAGGCCCTATAAACACACACTCACTGCTAGGTACTGTGGCCCCAGGCTGTTGAGCCCAGTTAGATTTCCCCACATGGAAGCAGCACTGAGTTGTTGCATCTGCTGCTGCAGCTGTTGGGCCATGCGCTTCTGCTCCTTGTCCTTCTGAGTGTCTGCAAACTTCACCACGATGGGCGATGAACAGCCCTAAACACAGACACAGGAAATCTTTTGTACTCTGACAGCTCAATGTACGGATATAAATACAGATTAAAACATCAATAACTTGCAACTTAAGTGCAAGTCAAATAACTGAAATGACTTTAAAAAGCTCTGTTAGTTTGAATGAGGATAAACTGTTTTTCTTGGTAAAATTTATAGTGGAGACAATATAAGCTACCAATTTTGAAATTGAAAGTGAAAACTTCACAACTGTTACAACATCACATATTGATTTTAGTGTGAAGCTGAACTTCACCTCCATGGTCTGGGACTGGTGCATGGACTTGATGGCTGACTGGGCCATTTGTCTAGCTGTGAATGTCACAAATGCACAACCTGAAAGTGAGAAAAACAATGTATCATGATTTATACAGATTGTTCTCTAAAAAAAATGCTAGTTGCACAAGATGCAGCGATTATGTTCAGCCGGTGGTGTGCTGTCTGAAGGGAATTTCAGTGTATTTCTAGCTCAAAGCCATTCTTAAAGAGGGCTAATTTGGTCAAAAGCTGTGAAGTCATCTTCTTCAGGGCATAAAAAGAAGAAGGACATCAACCATATTCACATAATGTGGCAAAAAAAAAGTAGCGGTGAGGGAAAAGTACATGGCATTTCTTGTAAACACAATGTTGAGAAAGTCTGTCAGGTGTTTTAACCACTGAACCACTGAAACGTAGATGCTGCGGTCACCATATTGGGGAGGTCAAGATCTGCCTGTTAACAATACTGAGAGATTTACATGAGAAATTTAACCTGATACTGGTTACTTGTAAGAATTAATTCAGTCACCGGGGACGTATCTAATCAGCTCTATGCCAAAATTCACCACTTGGAAAAATGCTGCAGTATAGAATGAAAACAATGAGTAAACATATACTACTGTGTGTGAGTTGGTGCATAAAGTATCAATACATGGTAGACTAGCAAAAACACAAAAACAAGCAACCAGGTGGCTTCATAACAATGAATTAATTGTATTAATATGTATAGAAATCAAATTTTTTAAAGAAACCAGTACTAAAATTCGAAATAATTTACACTTGATTTTACGTTCATACATTACAGCCTGCATGTCCCAGTGGAAGTTATGGCTATTAATAAGGTATATTTTTCGGCATAGAACTGATTAGATCCACCCCTAGTCATTGAATTAATTCCTGTATCAGCTTTAGTTTCTCACGTTTTTAACAAACCAAGTTTCATGAAAATCAGTCCAGAATTAAGCAAGTTACAGTTGATTTTGTAATGACGTCTGCATGTCTCAGTGTTGTTAACTAGAGGATCTTGACCTACGCAACATGGCGACCACCACATAGCAGCGGATGAAATAAAATGAGTGCATAATTCTACAGTGTATAAAGTAAAATAAGATTCTACACTGTTTTACATGCATATCATGCTAGTTGAACGTAGGAGACCTAAAGTGTATAAACCTGCAAAACATAAAGCAAGGGATCTGAAGGTAAAGTAAAAAGAAAATAATTCATTAATACTATTAATACTATACTATTTTTCTGTTTTTGGTCGCTTCCAACTCCTGAGGGAAATATCTGGTTCATTAGCTGCAAAATGTATCCATCTGCCGTTTGTTGCTGGGCAGTGGGTTTTTAGAACTTATTCTCTGTGGACAAGAAACAACACTTTGCAAGTGGTGAGAGACAGCTAAACAATGAGCTGAAACTCGCTATAAAGCCGAGGGGGGCTGCCAGTTGGGGTGAAAATGTCTTCATCATTACAAGCGACACATAGTCACATTGTTTTCACATGGTCATTTGATATATTTAATCTATTTAAAAGGCATATTGATTATTTGGCTGCACCCTGTCTTTTGTGTGTATGCCTCTATATAAGAACATTACATTCCTTACCACGACTGAGTCCGTCAGGGCCTCTGAGTATCCGACACTCCTCTATCTGTCCGTACGGTGAGAACATCAGTCGGATGTCGTTCTCGTTACATTTCTTGGAGATCATTCCAATAAACAGCTTCCTGTCTTCCACTGCTGTATTCAACACGACACAACATCAAACACACCTGCTCTGTGTCAAGGTAAATGGTGCAATACAACATTTAACATGTACTTATGTTAAACTATGGCTGTTTTGCAACTTATGTTATCAAGAGGCATGAGTTGAGTTTAGGACAGTATCTTCTAACAGCTGAGCTCTTCACTGCTTAAAGGACAGGTTTGCTGTAATAGTTCCTCCTGTTCATTCTGGCCAATAACAGATCTCTCCACACAGTAATATGATTCCACATAGCAGTTCTCCTTCTGGGCAAAAATATATTCACTTGATCTGATTAACTTGATTGATGATACCTCATATGAGCTTAAGACGAGGACTGTGGAGTTTGCCTCTATATAGACAGGATGAATTATTACAGGAAATAGGAAGTGTTGTTTTTAGACAGAGTTTAGACATTTAGACAAATGCTTAACTTATACTTTAACAACAAGGATATTGTTGAGGTTGTTTTCTCAGCTGGATGCATACATGTGGACACATTTGAAAAGACCAGTCTTACAACACAGAGTGGATGAGAAAAACAGAACTTTTGAGATTTAAAAGAAAAAGAAAGAGGAAACAACTTCTTTGTCTGACAGCACGAGGAAGGAATCCCACTTCATAGATAAACAGTGTTTTCTGATTTATTCACATTAATATAGACACAGCTCAGACTCTCAACTCTACTCTACTGAGTTGTCTGCTAGTATCAAAGGACAGAGAAGACTTGAGCTGCAACGATAAGTCAATTAAGCGATTAGTTGTCAACCGTTAAAATGATTAATTGATTTGATCAAAATAGTTGGAGATTAAATGTCCAAATTCTCTGATTTCAGCTTCTCAAATGTGAATATTTTCTGGTGTCTTTAGTGTCTCTATGACAGTAAACTGAATATAACAAATTTTGAGGATGTTAATTTGGGCTTTGGGAAAAAGTCATCAACATTCTTCACCTTTTTCTGACATTTAAAGCACCGAACAATTTTCGATTAACTGAGAAAACGATGACCAGATTAATCGATAATGAAAACAATCGCTAGTTGCAGCCCTAGAGAAAACAGATGGGAATGCTAGAAAATCCTTACCATTGTTTTTCTCACTGTCAGCTGGCTTCATCTGGATTGGATGGTGCATCTGAACAAGGCAACAAATAACACATTAAAATTCATAACATTGAAATATGCACAATGATTAACTATCCGAATATTCAGGTCTAGCCCTTAAAAACAGATGACTTGGATGGTTGTTGTAACTCCATGACTACTGCTCTGGAAAAATGAACAGCACAATATACCAAAAGCATGAAATACAAATAAAAGAATGCAACTCTACCATGGTTAAATAATGAAATATATCATTATCTTTTAAACTCAATACGGATCATTTGATCTACAAAAGTCTAAGACCTAAAATAGTCCTGGAATTACGCAAAGCAAAAACCTTGGCTTTAACACAAACTATAGAAACACCATAGAATATTTATGATTTATAAAATCAGTAGAAGAATTGACATAGAACTGCAGAAACTATAAGGAAATGATTATATTCTAAGGAAATGTAGTATTTGTTTCCCTATATTACACAACTATCACCCTAATTCTATTCAACCTGTCCTATCTGAGGTACTTCAGAAAGTTGAGCCAGCACAGCTAGTCGACCACCTCAAGCCCAATCAACGCTTGTAACAATCTGGTTTGAGAACAAAATATTCCACAGAAACTGGAAATAGTTATTTCGTTGAAAATGTAAAGCCTCCCTTGGACAGGAGTACAGTTAGTTTGACACTGACAACCATGGCATTCTCCTCGTCATTCAGTTTTCCTAAACAAGCCGTTGACTGATCTGAGTCATATCGTCAAACTAGAGCAGTGGTTCCACACCTTTTTCCTAAAGGGACCCCTTTCCTATCATTTAGTAAACTTAAGACCCATAAAAAAAGGACATTTTATGGATATTTCATATAATATTCAAAACTGTATAATGAACTCACTAACTGCAGAGAATTTGTGTAAAACAAGTGATTTGGATAGATTTTGAGCAGATTATTTTCTGTTTAGGGAACTTTATACAATTACCTGTCTGTTTTATGTATTGTCTTTAATAATTTTTTAACAATCATACAGACTAATCAGGCTTCTTTTAGACAAATTCAGTGTTTTCTTGTCCCTGACACAGGTTGGGAACCACTGAACTAGAGAGCAGTGTGTGAAAGTTAACTAAGAAAAGTCATTTATTTTGCTGCATGTCCACAACTACCAACAACCTTTGTTGCATGTCATACCCCTCTCTCTCCCCGTTTCCTGTCTGCCTCTTCACCTGTCACTATCAAATAAAGGAAAAAATGCCCTAAAATAAGCTTAAAAGACAAACAAAAAACACAAAGAATAGGTTCCCAACACTGTTGGTGCTTCAACCCCTGAACAATAGACCTGGTTGCTGAATCAGCTCCCGCAGTTCAGAAGACAGACAGCCCTGTCATTTTGATGGTCTGTTCATGTGCACACTCTAACACTGAACCAAGCTCTACGCTGAAGCTGCAGAGAGGAAGTCCAAGGTTTCCATATGAACCAGCATACACTGGGGGGGAGTTAAAAGAGACTGTCATCACCTACCCCTGGAAGAATCTTCATGTTGTGCAGAGCATTCTGTGCTTCGAGGGCTGATTTGCGAGTATAGTACGTTATAAAACAGCAGCCTGCCGGAGGAATGAAAGAGACACCCGTATCACACACCAGACTCAGTTACTGGATTTGGTGTGTAAGCTCATACATCTGCTACATGGAAGGTATGCACAACAGTACCACCACTAGGCCAGTATCAATCCAAAAAATGATGAATTATGTACAGTCATTACTGCCAGAATAATAATACACTATAATGTCATATTAGCCAAGTCCATCTAGTTTCTGTGGGGCCACAACATTTTTTTTACATTTTCTTAAAAGCAAGCAAGTGAATCCCATGACTACAACTCCAATGAAATACTATTTTGTGTGTGTGTGTGTTAGGCTGACCTTTGCTCTGTGGTGGATTCTGGCTGCGGTCTCGGAGAACATTAATCTCATAGACTGCTCCGTAAGGTTCAAATAGCTCACGAAGCTGCTCCTCAGACCAGGACCGCGGGATCTGTCCCACAAACATCTTAATGGCATCAACATCTGGTTGGTCGGGGTGGTCCAAAGATCCATTCATCTTCTTCCCACTACAAAGACAGATACCAGTGCATTAGTTAGAGGCTAAAACACACATGTTGATTTCTTATTTTTATAACTGCAACAATTCAACAACAGCATGCTGGGTTAATATGTAAAGTAGCTAATTTTTCCAGTGAAAATAATGACCAAGAGAAAGAGATCCATATGGAGGAAAGAGTTTTATTTTCTTTATTTATGATGCTGATTTTGTACAAAAAAAAATTCTGACCCACTGAGTGACCGTATGATTGAGTATGAATCATTTGCTTCCTTATAAGTTCTTGTTTAAAACTAGAGCTGTCAGTTAAACGCGTTATTAACGGCGTTAACGCAAACCCATTTTAACGGCCTCAATTTTTTTATCGCAAGATTAACGTTCTTTTTGGCCTAGCACACTTTGTAGTTTTTCTCACATGCTGTTGCAACAACTAGTAGCGTTAGAAAAAACTACAATACCACAGCGGATCTAGCTAGACCAGAAACAAAACAACAGGCACGCCGCACACACTTGTTTAAAAGTAGTAGACGTTACATTTTGAGTGGATGGCGAGCGCGAGACGCCGAAATGGATGCCAATAATATTCTGAATGGAAAGTTTACTTTTAAAAAGTTGCCAAATGGTTCCATTGACAAGACCAAAGTGTTCTGTGTGTTTTGTCGTTGTGAACTGAGCTATCATCGCAGCATGTCCAGTCTGAAATACCACTTGATGGTCAAGCACACAGCTGATGCGAATTCTCCGCCCCCTCGTCAAAGCCAGGCGACAATGGATGACTTCAGACAGAAGCAAATGGATACCACAACTAAGAACAAACTTACTGCAGCCATAGCTAAATGGGTGGCTACTGCATGTAGGCCTGTTAACGTTGTGGAGGACGAGGGTCTAGTATTTTTTTCCCTTTTATTGATGGACATTGATGGGTTACATTGTGTGAGAGTTTATTTGCTCCACGTGAGAATGTTAGTGTGAAATTGAACACTACAATATATGCCAATGTTGTTTTCAATAAAAACAACATTTGCACAAAGCAAGCCGATCCACTTTTCCATGTAGATAAGAGCATTAAAATGAGAAAAAATAATGGGACAAAAAGAAATCAAGGGACATTTAGAATAGATAATTTTTAATTGTGAGTTAACTATTTTAATTGTTTGACAGCACTATTTAAAACACAAATCTTAATATAGATAAAATAAAATAAAAATGTATTTACAGAACAAAATATATATACGTATATATAGTATCCCAAGATATCGCAATATACTGAATCGTACCCACCGTATCGTATTGCCAGATTCTTGCCAATACACATCCCCACTTCTCTCACACGCTTGGAAGAAGTTCACAACAAACCCGCTAAACATACAAGTTATCCATAAGGATACTTGTGGCCACGGCTCGGCCGAGCCAGTAACACGCAGTTAGGCTGTGAGTGTATTCAGGTTCTTGACTTAAGCAAACGTACTAATACCAACCCCACTACAAGTAAAAGTTCTGCATTCTAAACCTTACTAAGGTAAAAGTAAACTATTATAGCAAAATGTCCTAAAATGCAGTCAATGTTGCTGCATTAATGTGTATGTTGCATTTTACTGCTGTGGATGTTTATGATTGAGCTCATTTTAACTACTTTTTATACTGTTGGTAGTTTAATCTACAGGAATGCATCATATTCTGTGAGATTATCATATTTGTAGCGTGTCTGTCCTTGTGAGAACCATATATCTCTAAAAAGTCAATGATGTTAATGATCAGATGTACAATAACTAATTATTATAAATAATAATTAATGTTATGTATGTATTAATTGAATGTTTGTACTCATTGACCGATAATATATAGGCTACCAATATATCCTGCATCCCTAGATGTAAAAACAGGTGTGCTTAAAGGTGTACTTTGTCTTCTTAAATCTACTAGGAATTATCTGCTGCAATATTCTGCTCCCAACATTAATTTTTTTTATGATAGCTAAGAGGCAGACATGAAATGCGGGGAGAGGGAGAGAGGGGTTATGACATGCAACAGTCCCCTGCCTGAGAAATAATTACTTGGATTCATTTTTGTAATCGTGGAGGAAACTAGTTTGGAAGATGGGAACGTTTACATTCAGCAGCTGGAAATATTTAATTACTTTGATTTTTACAAACAAAACTGGATTTTGATTTTGTGGGGAGTAAACAAGTAATACAACTAGTAGTGCAACCAATGCCTGTTGGCAGGGAGTAAGAAGTAAAGTAATAATATTACTTTTGAAAAGAGTAATGAGTAATAAATGACATTTTTAGAGTAAACAGTAACAGTGACCAATACATCAGTTGGCCACTTTATCAGCCATCATCGGCTAATTGCAGATGAACTGTATTGCTGTCTATATCAGCTGATTAGTAACAAGAACTCATTGTAATGGAAAACCACAGGTGTATTTGAGCCATTTTATTTTCAGTGTCCCAATTGCAATTGTTGGTCCACTTGAGAGCTCTTTGACACACTGGTAGGAGTTGCCTGAAAGCATCACAGCTGAGCTGACCACTGACTGAGCAGTCTAAGTTTGTACGTCATGGTAAGGGGTTAGGAGTTGCTCATTTGATTGCAAAATAAAAGTACATGACTTGAATGATAATAAACCTTTATGTGTAACCCCAACTGGTCGAGGGAGATGACCACCCACCCAGAGCCGGGGTCTGCTCAAAGTTTCTGCCTGTTCAAAGGACGTTTTTTCATGCCACTGTCGCCTGTGCTTGCTCATGGTGGGAACTTAGAAAGGAGTGCGGTCTGGACCTGCTCTATGCGTCCTGAGATAACTTCTGTTACGAATTGGCGCTATACAAATAAAATTGAACTGAATAACCTAGGCTGAAGGCCTGTAGCATGTTTTGTCGTCAGCAGCACAGGAGTTGAGTGCATAGCCCATTGACATGTTTTACATGTATTATAGTCAGTAAGATAGTTCAACGAACATCGGCCCTATCATTTTCTCCCTTGTCAGTATTGTTAAAGCAAAATGTATAATTTTTTCAAGTTTTCTATAATCATGTATTATTGTGCAATTTATTATGAGCCAATGTATTTATCTTCTTGGTACACCTATGACACCTATAGCTAAATAACTTGCTTTGCTACCTACAAAAGATTAGATAACATTCAGCTATGATACTAATTTTTCTCCCTCTTCTGAGCTCAAGGCTAAGATGATCTTTAACATGTATTCAAAGATTACAAAAAGTGACTGTTTCTGCACCCCTGGGTCAGACCTGCAACATACACTCTGATGTATCAGCTGCCCTTTCAGCTGAAATAGACTGACTCTGTTACTCTTTTATTTCCACCACAAGTATAATGCTGACAGTCACTATAAAACACATGCTTGCAGTTCATCTGCTGCTGAATTAGTTTCCTAGTTTACCACAAACCTAGCTAATCTCATGGCTTGTCAGTACAGCAGAAGATAGCTAATGAGTTGTTAATGTATAGCGTTATACTTATTCTGCATAACTAACATAATGGGGAACTATATCTGTGACACATTTCTGGATGTGTCAGTACATTACAGTTGGTGCATTGGAAACAGGTTTGATCTGTTTGGAGAAATTATAGTTTCTCTCAAAAGAAAAAAATATTTTTCTTACATTACTTACATCAGCGGTTCTCAAACTGGGGTCCCTGGACCCCCCGGGGGTCCGCAAGCCATTGCTTGGGGGTCCACTAAATAATTTGCAATAAATTATTAAAGTTATGCCGTATCATTAAAAATAGCAAGTAAGTACACATGGGAACCACTGCGCCAATAAAACAAAAATACTGATCCAATTACTCCCGCTTACGTTAGCTTTCGGCCAATCAAAACTCTCAAAGGATTGTATCACGTAAATCTGACACACATCACTCACTCGCATCACTTTGCTCAGGACGCACTTAGCGTACAGCTCCTGCTGATGTTTAGCTAGTGGCGATGGACGCCTATTTAAGACCGTCCACTTCATCAAGTGATGCTAAGCCCAAACCAGCTAAACTGAGAAGATATGTCGACAGTTATCTCGAGCTTGGTTTTATTCAGAACAGCGACGGTAAGAGCACCAGCGGATCTAAAGGTAGTCATAAACAGTATCTTTATGTTGACATTCCCTTTTCATTGTTTTACATTCTCTTGTGATAGATGGACAGAAGCTACCTCATAAACTGTTGATTTTTCAGGTTAGAGACAACCAGTAGTAAAGGTTTGTCTGTCCATATTTATAGTCATTTGAAAATATGTCATCCTTATAAGGCTTGAATGGCCCTACCGTGTAAATATTTGTTCCTTTCCTCGAGAATGTGTTGATTTTTCGATTGTTGGTTTTATATAATCCCTCAAAGCGCTTTAGCCATGAAACTTGAAAAATTAACTGTGTTCATTAGGACTTTACCAGTCTTGTTACTGTTCATTTTCTGAAAGCTTTAAGATCTGTTACTTGAAAATTACAAATGCTGTGAGGTCAAAATGTAATCTGAATAAAAATGACCCTGTGTTTAAAAGTATAGAAATGGTATTAACATTTATTTATTCAAATTTAATTTGTTTAAGTTCATTTCTATGAAACTCGACGAAAGTATTTAGGTTGAAAAGTTTAAAATATAAATAATTCCTACAGCATCTAGGAGTACAAATGTCAGTAAACATATGTTTAAACGTTTGAGAACCCTCTGACTTACATTGGTTCAAAACATTAGTCATAAAGATACTTATTAAGTCAACTTATTAACATCCTGTTACTGTTATTAGTGACCGTAACATCTTGGACATCTTCATTATCTAAGCATCCCATGTCTAAGGATGCGATTATATTTAATGCTTCCATTGGGCCCTTGAAACCAATGCAAACCTGAAAGTGAGCACTGCCAGGGACAGGTCAGTATGAGGATGCACAATACAAACAAAATCAAATATGACAACAGACCTTGATATCAATATACAATGATCTACTGTGACCTTAATTCAGGGATGAAAATTGGTCCTTCCAGAGTTAAGATGCTCAAAAGACTATTCTGGGAAAGAAAAACTAACTGATAATGTGGTTATGATGACTGAAGTGGGAGAGGCATTCATTGTTGATTTCGGTTTGTTAGAGCCTGTTAAGCACAGAACTATGTCTCCTTTCTTGCACAAATAATATGCCAAGAATCAGAGACAGATTTACATAAGAATCTGAACTGGAATCAGAATCTGTCAAAAACAATACCCAACCTTTAAGGAAGGCAGCTAGGAAGTGCAGTAGGAGTGCTATGTACATGCAAAATGCGAGTAAGAGTAAGCAGTGTTGATTTGACAGAAAAACGGGTTTGATGTCAATGCATTAAATATTTAACTTTAGAAGCACAATGTGCCTGTTTAGGTGTCTGTTTGAATATTCAAACACTTTACCAAATATCTTACAAAAATAATTCAAACTTATTTCATATTGAATGTAAAAATTAGATTTACTTCTGAAACTTGACAACTGACAACTGCAAAGAGAAAACAAACCACCGAGAAAGGGGTACTGACACTCTGCAACACAGCTGCTCATGATTATTACAACATTAAATCACAAAAGACCTATCCTTCATAGCTGACTTCCAGAGACACAAGACAACCCTTGAAAACACAATACACACAGAACTGACCAGAGGGAGTTACTTACACAGGACTAGAATTCAAAGAGCAGTGGTCCACCATCATCTCAGGGAGAAAATCCAGCTTAAAAGAAGCCATGACAGCAAAATCTTTCTTGTTCTTTAACACGATTAAACTAAATTGACACTGTGCTCAGAGGGTGGTGGTAAACTCCAGATCGTACACTTGTTGGTAAGTTCCTGGCGAAGGGTATAATAAGGCAGCCAACAGTGCACCAAAGGCTGAGAAAAACAGTGTCCCACAACAAACCAATCCACATAGAGAACCCCGTCCACAGGAACACAAATACAGCAAACAGAATCTGGCTGAGGAACCACCTTTGTTTAAGATGGAAGAACAAATGACAGACACAAAGTGACAGGCCTTCAGGTTGGCTTTCCAGGTTCTGGGACTGGGACTAACCACTGCATAGAGATCATGGAGACAGAGGGCTGCTGGGATCACTGGGGACAGAGAGAGTAATGGCAATTTGGGGTCCCACAATCAAAGTGCTGATGATCCACGGCCTTTGTGAACATTTCTCCTAGGCCAGCAGATCTGGCTGCAGCGTCAGATAAACAGGGTGTCAGATTGATGGTGATAAGGCCCAGTGGGCAGAGGGAATGAAAGAGGGAGTGAATAGTACTCCCCAGCCAGTAGCTAATCCCTGGACTAGCCACACCAAGGGCTAACAATTAGGTTCCGGCCTGAGGGGGGCTGTGTTTACCCTGTTGTGCTACGGGCTGCACTCGTTTGTGTGCGATTTGTGTGTGTAAAAACAGAAGGGAGCCAATGTCAAATGGCACTGGCTTTGGTCTTTGTGCACCCCACAATGTGCGCACAAACTCACATGCACATACACACTCATGCCTACGAAATGAGATAAACTCCACGGATGTGTGCAACATCACTGGACTACAGTATCTGTATCCACCTGCCTTCAGGTAGCCGTGTGCTCAACTCAACAAAGGGGTTCTGCAGGTTTCAACAGGTTTGATTAAAGATGGTATTTAAGTCAACACTTTTGTAGTTGTGACAGCATGATCAATACAAATTATTCCCAGAAACACATTTAAAAATGAAACTGAAAAATGCACCTTTATACAAGTAGCGTTTATTTTTAAGACCTGTCAAAATCATATTTAAGATATGCAATTCTAAAGGTTTAAAATTCATATTTTAGACTTTTTTAGATGCTGCAACATAACCTTTTTTATATCTCTCATCACTCATCTAAGTAAAGCATATTTCTAATACCAAACACAAGTCTGTGAAATAACATAGCTAACAAAATAAGTGTGACAGCCATAAATAGAACCAGATGAAGGTCGCTTGAAAAGAAGGGTTTGAATAAAATAACATAATTAGATTAAAAAATAATAATAATAAAAAACTATAGACAAGAAAATGGTCCATCCAATGAGCAAAAATGTTAGGCTGTGCAATAAATGGGAGGAGGTTCAGAATAAAATGTCTCCTAGGCAAAAGTTATCATAAGAGAGTGGGCTTATGGAGGTTTTTCTTCAGTGGATCCCAAGATACCACGATCACTGGTAAAAGTGGGTTCTGCTGATTCCAGCTATGTGTTCATTCATGTCTGACTGGGTTATGTGTATGACGAAGCAGTATGACACTATAAACAGTATCAATCACTGTACCGTAATTATAATACCATCAGTGCATGTACATTTTTACTTACGGTTGTGGTTAAGTTGTTTACAGTTTTTTTATGTATGTACTGACTAATTAACTGTGTAAGGCATATATATATGGTGGTAAGGTGTGAGCAGTGGGTTACTGGGTGCTGACAGATTTTCTATAACCCTGTTGTCTCCCCAAACATCAGAGGACAGAGTAGAGTAGGCTGAAGGCTCCTTACCCCCCTAGTGCCAAGTTGGAGACTTCCGAGTTAGGGAGGGGGAGTGTGGGCTGTCCAGTCTGCTCCGGAGACACATACAGGGTTTCAGGGTCCAGGCTATCCATCCAGGGCCTTGCACTACTTCTACTAACATACACAAAAATACACATAAAAACACATTTAACAGAGACTCAAAACATGAATCAGTTACCAAAGTGGAAAACACAAACGGGTGGTAAAGTCTGCCTCAAAAACAGGAACATGCAGCGACATCCAAGACTGATAAAAAAAAATTACTTGTAAGATCATCCAGCCTTAGTACTTGGTACCAGAGATTACGTATGGGAGTGGGAGTAGTCAATCAAAATAAGACATTCACAGTTGACAGTGATAGACAACCAAAGGAGGAGCCTGCTCTCTGCTAAGATGAATAACAGGATCAATACAATTAAAGCTTTACTTTTTTCTGCATTTCTCAGATGAAACTTAAAAAGGACCAGTGTGTAGCATTCAATGACATCTACCAGTGTAGTTGCAGATTGCAACAATATGAATACAGCTCAAGCTTCTAAGCATGTAGGAGAAACTACGATGGTCGCAAACCTTGCCTCTAGATTCAGTGTTTGGTTTGTCCATTCTGGGCTACTGTAGAAACATGGCGGTTCAACATGGTGGACTCCATGAAAGAGTACCAGCTCCCTCTGTAGATAACAACAGCTCATTATAAGGTAACAAAAACACAATGATTCTTATTTTTAGATGAGCTATGAATATTATATTCCATTTGTGACATTAGATCCTCCTAAATGTTACACACTGGACCTTTAAGTTCTTCTGTTGGTTGAAAATGCATTTGAACTTCAGTATTTGGGTTGTGCCAAGCAGCAGTGATGCAGGCTATATTTGTTTCATGCAGACAGAACATCATTTCAAACCTTAAAACAAACCTTGAAACAAAAAAAACCATTCAAGTGTGGAAGCAAGCCTTTGTAAAAACCAATATTCTCATTATTAATATTCCAATATTGTGATTGTTGTGGAAAGAATGTGCCCAAGAAAAGCTGACTAATTCTGAGACACTGTTTCTTTCTCTCTCAAGATAAAACCACTACCAACACTAATTCAAAGTGAAACTGCAGCTGACTGAGTAACAAGATACACACACCTGCCCCACACCCCCACCTAAACAGGACATGGCTACTAGAGATCGCATGATCACAGACTGCTGTGGAATGGGTACATGACCCTCAAGACCATGCAGTGGTCCCCTATTAGCCCTGGAGTCAGAAACATTAACTGCAGAACTGGCCGTTCAGTTTGTGGGTGTTTCGAAAGAAAGGTCCAGTGTCTCACAGCCACAGGAACTCTTAGTTGTCCTAATTTATGGATGCGACTTAGAAAGACTAAACATTACAGTAACTAAACAAATCCACACTAAATCTTATATGGAGTAAAAGCAATGCTACACTGACCGATGTGGGTTTCCTGGTTCAAAGTGTGGTCTGCTATACTTAAGGGGACCTCAGGCTGTAATGTTGTGTGGAAAAATTAACGGCAATTCACAGATGTCAGCACCGTGATAGAGCTGCAATACTGGGAGGACAATAAACACTTTTGATTTAAAAAAAAGTTAGGATTAGGATTTTGTATACCGTTATATCCTGAATACGTACACATAAAAAGCTCAATACTGGAGAAGTTGAGTGTATATCATGGTGTAGATGTGTTCCTCCAGCAACAATGATACTTCTGATATACATCTACATAGAATTTTTAATTTTATTTGATGATTTATAATATTGATTGATTTTAAAAAGATAGTAAGTTAGTGTTAAGTGTGTTCATGTTGCAACAGTTGCCTATGGGATGTGAAATCCAGGAAGTACATTTTTAAAGCTGGAGCGAGAATTTCTTTCTCTGTCTCAGCGTTTGTGAGTCAAACAGTAGATTTAGCACAATGCTACAAGGCATTTGAGGTTGAATACCTTGATTGGCCAACAGCAGAGCATTATCCAATGATGTTGGATTGCATAGTGGCAGAAGCTGACCCAGCAGCAGCTCCACTGTTTGGATACTGCGGTCACATTGAAATGATCGAAGAGGGCACATTTTCTCACACAGTGACCTTGCTGGTCTGAGCAGAGTCTACAGTGAACACTGACTAATTCGCCTTTCATTTTTAATACACATTTTCTACTTACACTTTGTATGAAACCTTTCCAACTAGATCAGAGTTATGGTTCAGTTCAGTTCATATAACTGTACTGTTTCTGTGACTAAAAACTAATCTTAACTTTTTTTAGTTAACCCTTCCCAGACTAAAACTGAGCTTTTCCAAAAGCCAGCCCAGTGAGGGTCCGGGCTTTGTGTCAGTAAAGTTGATAAGAAAACCTTTGGTTGCCTCCAACTTTCTCTGTGATCATTCACTGTCAATCTCAACATGGCCAAACACACACCAGAGTTGTTGTCATTAACCTGTTGAGTTTGACAAACAACACTTCAAGTATAAAATAATAATTTATCACCACAGCACAGCAGCCTGGAAATATCAGCCATTTATGGGCCGTGAAAATGAAAAAGCCATTTCATACTCTCATTCATACTATACTATGAATTTGGCTGTATTAAAAACAGCATAGTTGACCACAGAGAGCAGAGGAGAATGAATAGAGGTGTAACGGGCTGGCACTCTGCAGAGTAAGCAGCTGTAGCCTGGTCACAGGCGGGGGGGGGCTGCATGGCAGAAAAATAAAAGGATCCCTTTCTGTCGAACTTTTTCTGTGATCATGAATTTGCTCAGCTGTCATTAAACTGTGTTTATGCTGATAATGTCAGACAATGTCGCAACCATAAAATAATGATAAACCAACTAAAAAAGGGAGGAGGGGGAGATTTGACCATTTTTATGTCGTGCAGGTGTTCATAGCCTAGAAATGCTAGTGTGGTCACACAAAAGCGTAATTTAAAATCATGTACACATAGTTTTACTGCTGAGTCCTTACTGTGACTGTGACTGTGGCTGCGGCTGGCGGACACGTGTCCAAAGCCATGCTGTCCTATTTCAAAGTGGGATTTGTCCACCTCATCAAAATCACATAGATTTCAACGCATTCTGGTTGTCGAGTTTGTTAAAATACTACTTCAGAGTGTGTGCTTGGTTAACATTAGATACACAGATCCTTTAAAAGGACCAGAGCGTAGCATGGATGTATAGAGAGAACTGGATACAGCGTTGGAGGTAGCACTACGTCCATTCCGATGAAAGCTGCTCAGTGCCACATGAAGCCAAGAAAGCCACTTCCTGCTGTAAAGAAGAGACACTTCTTTGACAATGTAACCTCGTGGAAAAAGGTATTTTTGGGCCAGTGTGTGACAGACACCATTGCTGTGACTGTACTTCGGCTACTATGTCAAATTGAAGACGACCTGCACCTCTGTAGATAACAACAGCTCATTCTAAGGTATCAAAAACACAACGATTCTTATTTTCAGCTGATTATACACTAATGAAAACATACCTGTAAGTATTATATTCCATTTCTGACAATAGATCCTCCTCAATGTTACACACTGGACCTTTAAAAGTGCCACTCTGCTATACTTCTCTTTAGACTTCAGTGGTAATAACTTGTCACAAGTCTTTTTGTACCATTTTAACAAGGTTTCTTCATTTCAGTCCCTCAACCTGACAGATCCTGATAGTGGGAGGGGTTAACAGTGGCGACTTCCGCGTTCGGTGACATCACGTGCGTACCCTCTTTTTGGATATATATAGCGTTAACTAACTCTAACCCTGTCACAAACACCGCACCGTTCCTACTTCACTGCAAATGAAACGTAACATCACAGTTCAGCCATGCACACCAACTCTATCATGACGTCATTTCAGCCACAAATTACTGTCAACACATTAGTCATATTGGCAAGCTGCCGTCCAGCCCTTAACAGTACAGTCTGTATGAAGCCCGACAACCAGCGGTGCTAATGTTAGCTGTGAGCCGGCCGACGAGCGACCTGCGAAGCGACAGCACCGTGGGTCTGTTATGGTAACGTTAGCTAGCTACAGTACATTTTGACAACTTAAAATGACCAACTTACCCGTGTTTTTTACGCCACTGTTAATTGGACTTGTGCTTAAGACAAAATGTCGTTTAGGATGTTTGCTCACAACACAACGTTATTTACGCTGTACTTTTGTAAACAAGCCGACGACTACATAGGTGAATTAGTTGTTGTCTGTCACTTTGGAGATTTAGCTAGCAGCCCCTGTGTAAAATGGCAGTCTCGCCTGAACCGTTACCACTCGACAGCTGCAAGGGGGCGGGGGGTGGGGGGCACCGGGAAGAGCCTACGTTATACGCCATATGTGCTTTGAGGTTGATTCAGATAGTTGGATCTGGCATTTTATCGTTCAGTGGACAAACTTTTCTTTGTGGGAGACCCTGGCATTCAGTGCTGTTTGAGACGGTAGTGAAAGTTCACCTACCAGTTCCCTGTTTTGGAGTGGAACGTGGTACGGTCCACTCAGAGGAACCCTATCATGGACTAATTTCCCACAAGCTCTTTATGTGGTCTATCTTTTATTTATTATGATGCATGAATCCAGTTTAACAAGTATAAATAAGTACAAAATATGCACCAGCTGAATAAATATAATATAAAACCTAATTCCTTCAGAGCAACAACATAACTTCATATCATCCCTATTAAAGATTGTCCAATAGTCCACTGAACTTCTGAAAATGTCAGCTGTTTTGTTTTCTAACTGAAAAACAAAACTTAAAAATATTTAACAAGGATCTTTTAAATTTGGTTAATAAAGAATAAAGGTAATAAAGATATGTACTGAGTGGGGATATTTGACAAAAATAAAACTGTCACAAACACAACACTAACTTCAAATTTAACAGTAAACCTCACTGGAAAGTAAACAACCCAAATAAAACTAAAATACATCTTTGAACTCGAGAGAACAAAAATTATATATATTTATATATATATGCAGTCCTTAAAACAATATAGACAGATAGGATAGATGATAAACTATACTAAACTGTAGTAAATAATAAATAAAGTAGTGCATGACATCCTACCACCAAAGATTGCAAATGTATCCTTTATTTCCCTCTGTTCTTGTAATGTAACACTCGTGATGTAATATACACACACACACACACAAACACACACACACAAACACACACACACACACACACACACACACACTCAATAAATGGGTGTATGAAATGCTGAGCAGGCCCAGTTGACTCTGATTTTGTCAGAGTGATAATATAGTAGTAGGTATTGGGTTGCAGCACATAAACCCCTCATTACAAAGGCTGAAACACATTTGTGTTCAGTGGTGCAAAAAACAATACACTGGTGTACAGAATCATGGAAAAAAGTGATGTGGTCAGATGAATCACCCTTCACCATATTATCCACAAGTGGACGAGTGCATGTGTGGCATACACCAGAACGGTACAGACCTGAATGCTTGTGAGTGAGGGGATTCAGTGGCTGTTATGCTGTGGGGGGCATTTTGCCGGCATGGTATGGGTCCACTTGTCCCTTTAGAGGGCTGGGGCAATCAATACAAAGTAGTTCTGAGTGATCACCTTTATCCTATGATGAAACATTTCTATTCTGATGGGATTGGTCTCTTCCAGGATGGCAATGCTTCCGTCCATGGGGTACGAGGGTCACTGAACCATACCAGTTATACACATCACTGCACTTTACATAAAGTACCATTTACAGTTGATGTACCCGTTGAGCAGAAAGTGTTCTGGTATGGCTGATCCAGTAGAGAGGTGTTGGAGTTGGTTTGCAGGTGTACTAACATACTATAGCACTGAGCACTGGAAAAAATGCTACATCCAGATGTGTGGGGGCAGAAGCACATATGTAAAGATGAGTATTTTGATTAGTATGATATGAATCACATGCTACGGCCTTCACAGTCACCAGATCTCAACGTATGAGCACCTATGGGAGATTCTGGACTGACATGTTATGTGACTCTTTCTACCACTATTGAGGGAATATCTTTTTCCCAGAAGCGTTCCAGAGACTTTTAGAACCAGTCATAAGCACACTGAAGTTGTTCTAGTGACATGTGGTGGCCGAAAACCTTACTAAGACACTTGACGTTGTTTTTCCTCCTCTAATTTGTCAACCGTCTATATATAAATATATACGTATATTAATTTATTTATATATACACATCAGCCTGGTATAACTTACCTAACTACAGATGTACTGATGTACTTATGTTGGAACAATGGGCAGTCCCTTTTTTTTTTTTGTCTTTCCTGGATCAGTCATCATAGCAGCTGACAAAGGTCCAGCCATAGCATAATAATTAAAATTCATAGAAAAACGTATAACTTTATAATAATACTTAAAGAAATTAATAAATAGAAATGAACTGTTTTCTGATTGTTCCTGGTATCCATCAGTCACCAGCACATTCATTTATTAAGAGTATACAGTACAAATACAGTAATACAGTAAATGTACTATACATACAGATGTCTTAAAACAGACAAGAGCAATAAATTAACTACAATAAATTCCATTAGGTAATGTCATGTTTGCAGTGTTCACATCAAGGAAGAAAACTGTTGTTGTTGCATCACGACATTGAGTTCTCTTTCATCTGATGTGTTTCAGTTTCTGTTTTACTACTGACAAACCGACTTTCACCTGTGTGATGCAGGTAGCCGTTATGGAAGTCCAGTGCTGTCAGCCTCCTTCTCAGGAGCACTGCCTTGAATCCCACCCAGCCATCCTGGAACAGGGAACGCAGATCAATACAAATGTTTGTGAGGAGAAAAAATAAATAAATAAATAAATAAATATAGTCTGCAATATACTGTATTGTAACCCCTGTATTGTGACACGTATCGCATCCGCAGACTCTGGCCAATACACAGCTCTATTGCTGTTCATAAAAACTTGACACTTCCTCCAGTTTACCTGTAGCCTTGATAAATTCAGCATGATGTACATTTCCACAGCACTAATTCCATCAGTACACCAGTCATGTCATACTCACTACTCTTGTAATAAAAACATTCTTTTAACTCAAAAAAAGATCAAAAGCAACAGTTCAAGCTAAAGTTCTGCTTGAATTTATTTTTATTGTTTGGTAAAAAAAAAACTTCTATTAATGCAACAGAACACTTCCTGCAGAAATGTTTCACATTAAAAGACGTTTAAGGACTCAAATGGCAAAATATCTCCCTGTCCTTGAAGCTGAGGGTGAAACATTTACAGGAAGACTTGGTTTTCACAGACTGCCGGTTAACGGCGATAGAAAAAACGGCAAAGCAAAAGTGATTTGGAACGGTTAATGAATGAGGATGGTATTTGTTGTAAAAAGAGAAAGTGATAGCAGAGTGCTGAGTATTACATAACTGTTGTTGTACTGATAGAACACTGTGTTGTATCACAGCATTGCTCATCATGATGACTTTTAAAAATGATTCATGGGGTATTATAATGTGTCCTTTATTATAGCCAACAGTAGAGATGTGATAGGAAATTATGACAGAACATGCAGCAAAGCTCCCTGTCCAGACTTGAACCAGACTTACACCTAAGGAACAATTTTCTAAGTATACTGTAATATAATTAATTATTGGGTAGTGAAAAGAAGGAGTCAACTAGAGAAAGCAGGCAGACAATTGAAAATACACAAATGTTACAGGTACGTGTATTATTTTTGTCAAATTCACTTGATTATTGAACAAGATTTCAGAAAATATTTCATTTGCAATGACGGAAAGTAAACTGTAAAACTGTGTGTATACTGTGTGTATACATAGTCAGTACTATTTTAGAGTTTAACAGAGTTGGACAGACCTTACAGCGGACAGCCAGAGTATTGGACTCCTTCTGATAGCTCACTGAGCCAGGGACTGGTTGCGTCCTGTGATCTGAAAAATACATGTCAGTGATATGTTTGGTTATTCTTATCCCTGTATAAATATTTCTAACATTATCAATGTTTGTCTGTCTGTGTGGAGAATTTATTGGACTCAACATCACCACGATTCCTCACTCACTCTGCGTTCTAGCTGTCTGGACTTTGCTGCATTTAGCTTCTCCATCCGGTCAGCCATTTAATGAAGGACTAAAGCCATAATGTATCCTTATAAGTGTGTCCAGTGTGTTATATTCATATTTCTGACTATGTGGTCTGATTTAGGGACACACCTGCACACATAGAAGACTGTGATCAGAAACCTGGATCTGCTGTTTCTATCAGAGTAACCCTGGCTATTTAAGCTTCTAGAAACAGGATTGAGGCTTATTTCACTTTCTGAAACGAGAATGATTTTTACATTCACAAACATACAAACTAGACACTGTTAACTTGATATATATAAAAAGCCTGCATGTGTTGTTAGTGTACTGTAAAAAACTTAAATTAAAAGCAGGGTCCTAAATAGACGCAGGTGTCCTTTTCTAGATTGGTGTAGCTACACATTTAACAACTAATGGCCGGTCTCAATTTGAAGCCTGGTCCTGATTTTGGGTGCAAATAGACACTCTGGTCCAAAAAATCTGATTTTACCAAACTTACCTGCTAATGAAATGTGACATTTTCCTACAAAATCCAGAAGTTGTACTGTCTTGCCCATCCATATGGTCCTCAAAGGTATCTGATGGCAGAGATACAGATCATTACAGTGACATTCAACAGTCTTCCAGTGCTCAAACTGAACAACGGTCCCGACCGGTCATCCTTACCCGGAATCCGATAGAACGATACAGGCGATCGATTTGGTCACATGTCTGTTCCTCCCACACCACAAAGCTCATGGAAGTGTTGATTTTCGGGGCTGTTCAAGGAAAATAATGTGTAAGTTGAAAGAATTTCTCGTTTTATATTTTATATTTCCTTTGTAGTTCAGACCTACGTACCGAATGTAACACCCGTCTGTCCTTGCTCCCTTTTATGTGCCATTCTCTCAGACAGCGTCATCAACGTATCGATCAGCTGCAATCCAGAATACAGATACAGCAACTGTGTTACCATGTTAGTGAGACGATAAGGTAACCCTCTTCTACCAGCCGTGTCCCAGCAACTCACCAGATGTGCTCCCTTAGAGGCTAGGGCAGCTCCGAGCTCTTCAACAGTACATTTCTCGGGGACCGGATGGAGCTCCTGGTTGACAATGGGGCCCACATCAAACCTGGTGATGTGACATTTTGAATGTTTATAGTAAGGCAAAAAATAAAAAATAAAAATAGGAAGAACACTTAAGTTTTTCCCTCTGTATACCTGTGAGGGCGGATCTGGATGATGGTGACCCCTGTCACAGTGTCACCATGCAGGATGGTGTGGACGATGGGTGCTGAACCTCGCCACCTCGGCAGCAAGCTGGGGTGAACATTCAAAATCCCGCTGCACAGACACACATACAGATTATATACCATTTATAATTTCATTCTGTCTGTGTAGATCAGACTTAATGTTGAAGTATATGTAGTGGTCAGGGCTCCAGGCTAACACCATCCTGCTGCTGTGGGAATAATGTATATACATCATCAGTCAGCTAATACTATCATAACATTCAGTAGCAGACATGTAAGTATTGGTGTATATGTTATCATATAGCCATTAAATACATTGATTTACAATACTACGGCAAACAGCACAGAGTAAGAGAGAAGAAGCAGCTCTCAGCAATGTCAACTAGAATTGCTTGACACTGATTATGTTACATTTTTTAACATGTTAAAGAATATTTAACTTTAATAATGTTCAAAAATTCACGATATCAGCTGCATATCGGTAATGCTGCTCTAAAATCTGTATCAGTCGCAAAAGTCGCAGTCCCATATCGGTAACGCTCTAATATACTAAATATTGTTTTGGATAACAATGTTATACAATTTCAGGCAGTTGTCTTCTCTCCACCTAGGACCCTGAAGAGACAAAACATTTATTTAAAGCTGTAGTAGGTAATGTCTTGAAAATAACCTTTTTGTCATTATTGCTGAAATTCTTGGCTCTTACTGGTTATTTCCATTCAGGCCCAATGAATATTTGCAAATCCCATTAGGAGCTCTAGGAGGAGCCAGAGGTACCGGATTGTTTCACAGATTATCTGTCTCATGTACTACTGTCAGGATATAGTGAAAGTTTCAGCACATATGACAAAAGTGGTGGTGAATTCTTGGTTTAGAAGCAGTTACTGATATGATATTCATGGCCAAAACACCGGCAACGTTCATGCGGAAGCCGAAGGGCAGTACCTGCTCCAGCTCGTGCGAGCTGACCAATCAGAGCAGTGCTTTTTGGAAGGGGGGCGTTAAAGAGACAGGAGCTGAAACAGAGTGTTTCAGACAGAGGGCGCAAAGAGGTGCTGCAGCTAAGGGCAGTATAAGAAAAATAATGTGTTTTTTGAAAACTAAAACCTGTAAACCTATTCTAGTAGACACACCAAATGAAATTATGAACCTGAAAATTTGCATCAAATGTCTCCTTTAACTGAAACTGTTTCTATATAGTTATTCTTAATGCCTGTTCCTGAGTTAAATTCACCTTGAAATCAAAGAAAACAAAGTGGTAGAAAGACTTCTGTTCTTGTCCACAAGGGGCGCCAGACTCAACACAAAATGAAAGTTCGTTGCAGGATCTTAAACTAGTCAGACCCCAGCACACACTTCTAGTGGGTCATGAGTATGACTGAGAGGGATAATGTTTGTATGAGTCCTGCATAGTTTGCCTTTAAAGCTTGGAGATGAGTTTTCTATCGGACAGCCCCTCGGTTTAGGTTCAGTGTGTACTGAGAATGGTGTCATCATCACATTTAAGAAACAACATAACTTGTTATGGATCACGTGGCCTCCGCAGACCGGGGTCAAGCAACAGTCCACAGTTTTTAACACATCACAGACAGACAAAAGGTGCTCACTGTGGAAACTTATTGATCAGCTTCTCAGGGAGTAAACAGCCAAAAGACACCACCACGCCAACATCAAACTGTCCGTCCACCTTGTCAGGGGGCCAGCTGTGGAGTGGAAGGCGGTTCTGTTGAGCAAACCTCTTTACCGGGACGTCACCAGACAAAGTAACGACTTCGAGGGACTCCACTACCCCTCCACTGGAGCTCCTGCAAACAGAACCCGGAGGTCAGTTCTTCCGAGATAAACTACAACAAACTACGTAATGGTAGTTTAGACACAGAAACTAAAAACATACACAATATGGCAAAAGAATGCATACACCCACATAAAATATCTGCACTCCTAAACATTCAACCAAATGTGATACTTGACCATGTGACACAATCACCGCGGGCATTAGCCTGCTGCTATAACAGCCCCCACTCTTCTGGTCTCTGGCTTTCCACCAGATTCTGGAACCTGGCTGCAGGGATTTACTACCATTCAGCCACAAGAGCATCAGTGAGGTCCAACACTGATGCTGGGTCAGTGTTCGGGTTACAGGGGGAGCCAGTGGGGTGGGCTTAGCTCCCCCAAAAAAGACCTAAGCTCATCTGGAAGCATTAAAAGTCTGGATGGGGGTCTAGAAAAACTGATAGATCCCCATTAGCATTTCAAATGCTGCAATGAATGATATAGGAAATACATCAAAACTACTTGTAATCTGATGTCTTGTTGGTCATTTTAAATGTGAACCTCAGCTCTGCAGTGTGTCTGTCTTTATCTTCTGTCACTAATGATGGAAATAGAACAATTATCAGCCAGTCTGATTATTGGATTTCATATTCAGCATTTTTCTGATTATATGTTTTTTTTTTTCCCCAAATCAGATTGCTGATAAAATAAATAGATTCAATAGCATGCTATGTTGGCTCTAATGCAGACCCCTCTCTGTCTATGTGCCCACAGCACATCTGATTGGTTGCACAGTAGAGTAAGAGGTTTTTAAAGAAAATGTTGAAATATTGATGCTAGGAGTGGCTTGAAGCTTTGGGACCTAAAGCATCGATATCTGACAACCTGGGAATGAGATTAAATCAACTATTAATCAACTATCTTTCTCGGCTCTGATTGGTTGTTTTCATTCGGGCCCGGTGGATTCTTGTAAACACCATTAGGAGCTCTAGGAGGAGCCAGAGGAACCTGAATGTTTCACAGATTGTCTGTCTCATGTTCTACTGTCAGGATATAGTGAAAGTTTCAGCACATATGACAAAAGCTTATTTTAATGAAAGTTACCTACTGCAGCGTTAAGTTTACATTTAATTGCAATACTTTTTTCAGTATCATTTCTGGCACTTTGTTATTTTATTTATATAATTACATGTGTAACATTTAAGTTGCTATTCATGCAGCTTTAACTTCAAACATAACTAAACCAGTAAGTAGTCAGGGGCCAGTATGGAAGCTCACTGCCCCTCTGATGCTCTGTGATCCAGCTCAGACTGGAGTGTGTGTGTGTGTGTGTGTGTGTGTGTGTGTGATATAATGCAGTATGCCCTGCAATGTCATTCGTATCACTTGTAGCACTGTCACCTGCTGGAATTGAGGAGTTTTAGAGATTCCACAGCGAAATGATCCGTGCCAAAGAACAGGAGCCTCCATGGGGGTCCTGACGAGGACATGAGCCTGCAGAGCCGCCGCGGTCCCCCATCAGTCGGCCTCCAGCCGGAGTGTGTACAGCAGCTCTGGAGGTGGTGGAGGACTCTCACAGAGGCTCCAGCTGTCCTCATCCACATTGTTAAAAGAAACACTCCACAGTGTCAGTGCGGACACTAGTTCCGTTTCTGTGACTGTAGTCGGTGTGTCCTGAAAGTGTCCGCCATGTTTCCTATTACACTTCCGCCTCCGTCTTCTTCTTCCGTGTGGATGGTGACTGGCGAACAGGCGTACTGCCACCTACTGGCTGGTGGAGGAGGTGGCGGGATAAAGTATGTACTTCATGTGACTGGATTTCTAAAGCTCTGACAGCCCTGCGCAGTGTTGAGTCCAGAGATAACTGAAGCTGAATGGTTAAAGCTGCAGCAGGTAACTGTCGGCATACAAACATAATCTAACAAACAGACAAAACAAACAACCCCCCAAAAATACCTCTGACATATATACAGTACCTACACACACCTACACACATCTGCACAGTAATAGGACTTTTCTCATCAGTTTCATCCATTCACAGCCAATCTGCCATAGTCAAATCAGGGCCGTAGTCAGGATTTCGAAATACTGAGGTCAATGAGCCCAAGCTAACTAGGGTGGGTTGAAGTTGATTCATGTCTGTCACATAATGTAATGAGTTACATTTTTAAGACATAGAGATAGGTGACAGTTTTAAGGAAAATCAACACAAACCTTTCTAGTCTCTGGAACCCTGTCCATTCTCCCCCAGGTTCCACCGATTCACATCATTCTCATTCTCATCAAACCATTCAACGACCCCTCACGTTCTGTAGGAAAGAATCTGTCATGTTTCTCTCATTCATCCAGGTTTTTCCTTCCATATGTCTCCCATCTGTATATAAATCTCAGTGTCCTCAGTGCTATCTACAGGCCTGAGTCTCTTTAACCAAAATGTAATATTTATTCAAATTTTAAAAAAAAGAAATTTGTAAGAATTTATATAGTTTAAGTGCTGAAGTCAAACTTTCTTAAGGTATGTGATGTAGACTGCAAACAGCTGCTTAACCTGAAAAGATCTTGGAAACCAGTTGTCAGGGAAATCATAAACCTCTCGGGCCTTGTATCCTAAATTGATTCATATATGATAAAAGATTTCTATGAAAAGAATCACAAGTCTTTTAGAAACCAATGCAGCAAGCAACTGTATGCATTTCATAATGTTATTAATCAACTACTGTATAACTGAAAAACACAGACCACCCTCACACTGCGGTGACAGCCAAAGAATCAGTAGGTAGTCTGCAGCTCAATCCAGCTTCCAGCTCATTTCATAACTGAGGTGTCTCACCTAAATCTTCCTACTTCCCCCCCAAAAACATTAACTGCTAGATCCCGGCCATTTCCTCGTCTTTATGCACCTTTATGTTTGTGTGTGAGAATACTGTTCTGTACGTACAAAGTTGTGAAGCTGCCATTTTTGTCACTAAATACCTAACACACATAATACATAAATAAAATTGAGAGTGAAAAATAAAACATAAGTGTTAAAGATCCTTTGTCAGTGTGTGAGTGTGAGTTCACGACCACGAAATGCACGGTTCGATCAAAGCCAGGAACGATTTTAGGAATACTGAAGTCCAAATTCCCACAGTGCAACTGCACCCACATGAGAAATGGTTTAAAAACCACCAAGAAACCTGTAATATTTTTTTATTTATTTTATTCATTCATTTATTTAACGGTTTAATTATATTTTGGTAAAATCGTCATACATGATAGTCTAAAAGCTGTTTCAAAGGCTTTGCAACAAGCCAGGATATGATTGTGGTAACACTGAACAGTCCCTCCAGGATTTTGCAGCTTTTTTTGGCATTGCTGCAGCCAAAAATGGTTTTGTAAAACATTATGATGCAATGTCTTGCGATGTCTCTAGGCTTTTTTGAGATGAAATTGCAGGAGAAAGTACAAATTGTAAAAATAGTTGATATTTGTTTGTATAATTCATTAAAAATCAAAGGCAACTTGTTCCAGAGAATAATATTGCTAGTAGTTTGGTGATGTATGGGTCAACCTTTTGCACCAGGGACTGCTGATTGGTGAAAATTGCAGTAAAGTTGCAGTGATTAACAAAGTTTGTGCCAACTGTTACAATCGCAACTTCCTGGAGGGACTGATTTAATATCCTGTCTGTCTCCTACCAACAGTCAACCATGACCAACATCTTTTCCAAACATTACGTAGTTTTACTTTCCTAAACCAAACTGTAACCACAGAGGCGACTGATCAGAACACACTCATGCCACGTTTAATATAGTCACTTTTTGATAGAACAAAAAAAGATTTGGTGGTCATTTTGGAGGGCAAAAAAACCTGTTTTGTTGTTTAGGTTTAGTTTCTGTAATCACTATAAAACAATAAACAAACAATAAAACAATAACAAAAACACCATTCAGATCCACTGTACTAGAGTGGAGGCAGAATTCTTAGAGACTGATATCTAAAAACAATTGAAACCTAACTCTCTCCATGGCTACATACCAGTGGCACAATATGTATTATTTAATGCTATGTAAGGCATAACCAAAACAAACAGAAAAAGTACATTTGAAAAACGCTGTGGCTGCACTTTTACAGAGACATTTACAGAGGCACACAACTCCTCATACGCCTAATATGTGTGTAACAAGCTGATGTGTGAAATCCTTGGCCTAAGCATGAAAAGGATGCGTGTGGAAGGGAAAGAGCAGATGGCTGAATGCAAGGTTCTCAGTGGAAGTTCACCTCAAAGCCGCACAGCACAGATCAATGAGCATAAAGAACTACTTCCTGTGTCGCTATACTGTCTTTTCTCTTATTCAGGGCTCTTGGGAGAGGGCCACACGTCTAGACTGGTAGAGGATTCATTGCCTCTTTAAATATCCTCTGGGGGGAAGGCACACATTTCTGTAACACAAATCCTTAAAAACAAAGAGTAAACTCAAAGCAATATCAACATTACACAAGCTGTCTATTCAAACAGATCATTCTGAGTAAGCCTGTGGGCCATCAGTCTGGTTGCTTTGACATTTCTCTGTGCTGGCCTTGGCTGGTGATCTGAGGTTCCGGTTGCGAATACTCCTCAAGGAATCTGAGGTGGAACTCCTTAAGCTTCTCCAGGAGGACTTTGAGCTTCTCTGGGCTCGGAAGGATGGTCATTCTAAGGAACACACAGTAAAAGCAAACACACAGTAAGTCAGGACATTGCTCTGTCTCACATCCTATTCCTTAATAAACACTGGGTTGGTCTTCTTGTGTAACCTGAAGTGATAGGTTCCCTCCTTCTGGCCGAATCCGCTGCCTGGGACCACACAGATACCAGTTTCCTCCAGCAGCTTGAGGCAGTACAGCATGTCAGGAGCCATAGACAGAGACTGCAGAGACACAGGAACAGGACTAATATATTAAGCTGTCCACACACAGGCCACTCTGTGTGTTTTAAACATGTACCTGAATGAAAAACTAAATTAATAGAACAGAATATCATATTAAAACAGAATATAAATATAAAAGAAATATGTGTTTATGTATCTGCTGTACTGTGTGACAGGCCCCTGGTTAACAAACACTGTCACAGGGAAAAACTTCCCATTGAAGAGTGCACGCTGCAGTAACAGACCTGGGCTTCCTGAATTGCTGGTGGTGGGATGAAGATCTGAGGGAAGGCATACATGGCTCCTTGGACTGGGTTGCACTTGATACCAGGCACAGAGTTTAGGATTTGCTCCGTCAGGCTGGCCTTGTGAGCCAGAGCGTCGAGGACTGAGCTCTTTTCCTGGGTACCAATGTAACACATAAGGCTTAGGAAATACTCAAGGGAAACTCCTGTAAGTCAGTCAGGTACTAACAACTCATTTAAGATGCCAAACATTTTTTTTTCTCCAAGTTTCCTCCAATGGGTCACTTCACCACACATCAGGCAGAAGATGAACATCACGAGTACAAGCTAAAATGGTATTGAAAGCAGCTGCTAATAATAACATTATTTTGATAATAATAGTAAATAAATAAAATGATGCTGCTTTGCTCTCATCACCTGCACATCCACAACACTATCAGGGGCTTATTTTACACATTTGCCCACAAGCAAACATCACACATGGTATCTGCAGGTTTCTACAAGTTACATTTTAAGCCCATTATGAATGCAGTTTAAGACCTATGTTGTACTATGGTTGTCAAAAGTATCGATACTCTGACACTTTTTGAATACCATGTATTTAAAACGATACAATACTTTCATTTGATAGTATCAAAAGTACCAAAGCTGTAAAAAAACAGATTTACAATCAGATTTTCAACCCAATGCTGCACAGATGAAACACTGGGGAAGAAAATCAACCGGTCTGGTTCAGCAACCTTTTTAGAGGTCTCATTTTGTGTGCCTAGGACTTTTCGTTGCCATGGTATTGAAAGAGGTATCAAGTGTTGTTTTTTTAATATTTATTTATATTAGTACTGTATCAAAGTTTAAAAGTCTGGTATTATGACAACCTTAGTCTAGACTGACAAAGAAGTAAGAGGGAAGGAAAATCGGTATTGGTTCCATGTTGGTTTTGTTTTGTAGTTCTTACAGAATTATCAATACAACACAGTAAACTTAATTAATCCAGTCCATTTTTGCCCAAAACGAGGACTGTCTTTTTGTTCCCTTAGAATAAGACGGTCCACCCTACACACTGGACCTTTAATTGATTTAGAACAAACAGAAGCATCACACAGACACACACAGACACACACAGACACAGACAGACACACACACACCTTAGTAAACTGAGCGTACGAGGGCTCATGCTCTCTGGGGGGATTCACTATGACGTCCATTGCGGCCTGTCCTGAGACGGGAGGGCAGAGGCGAACGGACAGCAGTTTGACTAGCTGAGCCATCACCTGTGTATCCATGTTCAACACCTCCATGTAGCCTCCACGGAAACCACACCTGAGACACAGAAACAAAACACAGGTAATGTGAAAAGTCCTGCGTCAAGAAAAAGACACTCTGTGAACCACCTCATCATTACTGTCAAATTCAAACAGCAAGTCACTGCGCCCGTGTTTGTGCTATGCTAAGCTCACTGGCTGCTGGCTGTAAGTACATATTTATTGTACAGATATAAGAGTGGTATCAGTCTTCTCATCTCACTCAACAAGAAAGCAAATTTTCCAAAATGTGGAACCATTCCTCTAATGGACAGGTTTTATGTTCTTACTCCATATTTGAGACCATGCAGGTTGGTTCCAATAACAGTGGAGCATTGCTGGCATATTGACATTTATAGGCTACATTAGACACTACAATTGTCCCTACTGCTGCTCAGCTTTACTCAGGGGATGTCTATCAACTGTGCATCAGTTCCAAGCATGACCAATTGGGAGGAGAGCAGAGAGTTACACTGAAGAACCAGGTACACTTGTAAAAGCACATTTTTACACAATGAAACAGCTCATTCTTATCCTGTGTCAGCATCCAGTCATGAGATTAAAGCAGTGTGTGTGTGTGTGTGTGTGTGTGTGTGTGTGTGTGTGTGTGTGTGTGTGTGTGTGTGTGTGTGTGTGTGTGTGTGTGTGTGTGTAGTGCAGACGATACTCACTCTCCTGTATAGCCCTTGGAGGTGGAGTGGAAGGAGGCCAGCTCCACATTGTTGAAGTACTCAGGGCCCATCTCATAGAGGACCTTCTTAAAGGAGTGGAACTGACAGTCTGAGGAGTAAACGTTATCCTGATAAACCTGTAAAAATAGCAGCCATGTTGTCACAAACTGCTACAACAAAATAATATGTCTGTTCACAGACACATTCAGTCTGTGCAGCCACTGTGGACTGTAGTTGTAATTATGGATATGACAATTTGAGATTTTGAGATCGTGGTACTACAGATTATGTGCTGCTTATGTTACCTCGTCAGCCATGACAAAAAGATTCTCTTCATAGGCGAAGTGGAGCACCTCCTCTATACACTTCTTACTCTGCACCTGACCTGAGAACAGAGCGGGGAAACACAGATAACTATTATTAAGACAGGAAGTAAGCAGATGTACAACTTTGAATTTAACAAATTTAAGTTGTGTGTGTTAAGCAAATGGATATTCTTTTATGGTGCCATTTTACATCTGCTTACATTTAAGGAAGGAGTCTATTAAGCCTTTGAGAGAGCAGCCCATTCAAGTGTGCACTTCCACACACATCACTGATAAATCAGACAATTACACTGCCTTACATCAATAATTACCAAATAAAACTTAAAGCTGATGTATGTGACTTTCAGAATAGTGCATTAGCATCTCAAACAAAAAACAAAAAGCGCTGCAGCCCACCAGACTCCACTGACAAAAAGGCAAATTTGACCTCCCAGTTCATAAAATACACACTTTGTTAGCCTTTCCACTGTTCCATCAACAATTCTGGTTTGGTCGAAATTAATCCTTAATTCACTGAGTTAGATGAGAAAATAGCTGCAAAACAGGCTGTGGCTGTAATGGCTGCCACGTATTCCTTGTGGACACAGACACCAGTCAAAGTAGGCCCAGTACAGTGCTTGTTTTTGCCACAGACGGGCTCAGATTGTTATTCTAAAATTATGAAAATGATCCCTACAGAGATAGATCTTTTTTTAAAGAGTAGGATCATTTTTCTTTAACCACAAACACCCATAATATTGCTATCGCTCAGCATCAGAATCCATAGACAAAAACAGCGATTTAACCACAGATAATTGTGAAACACACGTCATCTTAACTTGGCAAAACAGTCTTTGTTAGTCTTTTGCTTGAAATAAATCCTTAATTCACTATAGAGTCTTCAGAGAAAGATGATAAAATACAGCAGTTTCATTCGCTCTACTCAAAGCACACAGAGAGACTCACATGCAGTGACATGCACATGCAGCCAGACTGGAGAAGAAAATGCTCGGAGGTCATTCTCTGCTCAGGACGTATGTCTTTACATAGCAAACAGTCGTTGCTGCTATATTAATGTCATAAATCCGTATAACCTTTTAGTTTTAAGCTTTCTATAGAGCCCTTTATGTGTGCAGCTCACTGAACTGAAGAAGAACATCTCTTTTCATAAACACAGTAAACACAGTTGTGGCTCTCACCCTTCTTAACAAGTTCCAATAAATAAAGAGTGACCAAGTTGCTCACTGTTTCAACCATGAATATCAATAATATCGTACCGGTGGGGTTTCCAGGGTTGATGATGCAGAGGACTTTGGGCTGGCAGTGCTCCTTGGCCGTCAGGTAAGCTCGCTGAAGTTCCTCAATATCTAGCGCCCAGCAATTGGCCTCATCCAGGTAGTAGTTAATGCGCACTGCCTCTAACTCTGAGATGGCTGCAGAGTACAGCGGGTACTGAGGGATGGGGATCATTACACCTGTCCTGGAGCGGCCCTGACCCGATACTAGCAGCTTCAGGATGCTCTAGAAACAAAAGAGATGACTCATGTTATTACTTTGTTTGCAACAGCTGCTCCCCACTATCAGACTTACATACTGCTGACCCAATCAGAACTATGTTACAGCTTTCTTTAACACTCCAAAAACTAAACTTGACTCCTAAAGAAGTCACACCAAGTCCAATTCAGTACTGAAAATAGTAATTTTGTACTACAGTTTTATTCAAAAACGTGCCGAGTGAAGGGAGAGTATTCTGTGTTCTCCTCTTCTCTCTTCTCTGAAAGCACAATGCCTCGCCATTCCTGTTACACCCATGCACACCTCGGCAGCTGCGCAAGGAGACACTGCCTCTAACATTGTTGATTTTGTTAAGTTAGCAAACATGATTCAGTGTTTCCTCTATGTTGATTTTGGAGCGGTGGCCTGTTAAATTTCTGCCACCACGGTATCAGAAATGGGGCAGACACACAATGTAGTCACGGTTGCCTTTTAAATGATCCTGCCGACAATGATGGCTGCCGCTCACATTGCAATTTAACAACAAGTAGAACTATTCAGAGGTTATTGGGACTGTCCAGTTTAACTCCAACTGAACTGGTGTTCAGACGGGCCTGCCCCCACTGCTAAAAAAAATGCTAGAGGAAACACTGCATGATTCACCATTTCACTTGGGAACAACAAAACAAAAAAAACCACTAACACCAGGCTACAATCGGCATTTCTTCCCAGGTCAAACGACTCTGCTGTAGTCACAGGTATTTACCAGCTCCAGCTCTGATCAGCAGGGGTAGAAACTTGACACCCAGGTGGACATTTTAGCCCATTTTCTGGTGCGATGCTGACGCACGCTGAAGTTCTACATTATTTATTGTTTTTTACAGTCTATGGGAACAACGTGCATCAGCGATTTGGTTCTTAGTACCGTGCAAGCTGCAACACTGGCAAGAGACAGCGAGGTGAGAGAGCTTCTCCTGATTCAGGGGAAGAGGAAATGAGGAGACAGGTCACTGGCGCTTTCTCCAGCACTGAGGAGATGGGTCTGGCTATGCGAGAGACAGACAGAGCAATATGCAACAACATGTAGAAAATGCTGAGTGAAAGAGCCATTGCTCACAGCCAACGCAAGTAACAAATGCTGGGGTGCCCTGATGGCTCGCCTGATGGAGCTGAGTTCTTGCCGCAGCAACCATGGGTTTAAGTCCAACCCATTGCTATGTGTCATCCCCTCTCTCTATCTTGAGCTGTTCTAATAATATACACATCATTTTGGTATAAAAAGGGCATACCATGATGCCATCACTGGCGCCTGTGGTGAGGTAGATGTTGTTCCAGTCAGAGGGTACGCCCTGGTCTCTGTGTGTTATGTAGTCAGCGATGTCCTTGCGGACACACTCCACTCCCTGGCTGGCACTGTACGAGCCTGAGTCCAAAACACAAAAACATGCAGAATGCACCTTTAACATACAATAATAAAAAAGAAACACACATTTTGTAAATCACAAAGGAGATATTATTCAATGTTTTATACAGATTGGAGAACTGTACTGTGGAGTAATGAATGTCCCTGCTGAATAGCACTGTGCTGCTTGTGGCTGGTAAGTATTGCTTGACAGTGTCACAACAGGTTGGACATTGCTGACTCATATTAAATTAACCCACACAGCAAACACCTGGTTGTAGATATTCTTTGCTGTATGTAAGTGCTAGGTAGCACCCTGTATAAAGGAATGAATGTATGTAACAGACAGTACATGTCGAGGAGGAGAGTTGAGGAGAGTAAAATGAAACAATATATTTACTTTTTATTTACTACTTTTTATCTACTTTTGTTGAATTACTTTCAACACAAGCAACCTATATACACTGCTTTATACAAGTCAACAGGCCCAGTTACCTCGAGAGCATGTATTTATATTGTTCTTTTAGGCCTAAAGCAGACATGTTGGCTGATGGCTGTGAAAGTGGCATTATTTTAATTCATCTAAAAACATTAAAGCATCATTAAAGCCAAAATTGAATTAGTTGTTCTTCTGTTTGTGTGTGTGTGTATATAATTTAATTTCTTGAATTCCTTTTGTATCTTATATCTCTATATTATTCATTCTGTTTATTTTCCCCCCTTAGCTTTAATTGCTTACTTATTACATTTAAAATATGGTACGTTAAGTTTCTTGGGATGGGAGGGAGAGTTTATTTTATGAATGTTTGTTCTGTTTATTTAAAATGAGCATAAAGCCGATACACATAGTACGGAAGAAATAAAATGTTTGTTGTGCATGTACAAATGTGATGTACACAACTTTCAGATAATTCTATAAATGTTAATGTCCATAATTTACTATCCATTTACAAACTAAAGTTTACATTATTCATCAGTTACAGATGAAACATTGTTGCCACTGACATTAGGAAATAAAAACATGAAAGTGAAATATAAGAAATACAATAATCTCTATATTACCAACCTCACTTACAGAGAGTGGACTGGCCTTTGCAGTTACCCATGGTATTTCTCTCAATTCCACCTGCATTGTCATTAGATCTCAGTATGCAAATTAGCTAGGTGGGGCTGGTGGACCAACATGGTGCGTTCCAGGTCACTGGAATTAATGCAATGGTGTTATATTTTTGATGATTTTCCTTTTTGTAAGGAAAGACTTGCAAGATATTGCCAGCTGGCTGAGATCTGATCATAATGCGAGCCAGATACAGACTGGCTGGTCCAATCACATTCTGATCACTCGTATGTATGTCTTTACACCTGCATTAACAGTCTTTGTTCCTTAAACAGGATTTGTTGTATGACAAGTGAACAAGCAGCACCCGCAGTGTCTGATAAAGGAAGCCAGCATGGAAGTGCTAGTGCTGCTATATAAACATCCATAAGCAAACTAACCATCTGAAGCGATGAAACAATGCGATAGGAACAATATTGCTTTTGTCCACAGGGGGGGCCAGAATCAACACATAATCAAAGGTCCTTCTTGCTGCTTCTTGCTAAGGCCAAAACAAAACTTGGGTCTCGTTGGGTTTGTGTGTCTGCTCTCGACCAAAGATCACGTGTGATCCCGAGTGTTTCTGTAGTCCAACAACTCATGTCTGTTTGAGTTAAAGTCTAAAACAATTTAGCTGATCAGGTTATGTTAGTTTCATAACGCCTCTTGATAAATACGCCTCTGTGTACTCTGGTATGCCAACTGCCACTCCTCTCATTCGCACCGTCTAGCTCACAATGACAAGAACATACACAGACCTAAGCTGCGTCCTCCGCAGTCCTGTAGGATGCGCTGGGCTCGTTGCTTGGCATCATCAGGGAAAGTCGGACTGTCCAACAGCTCTGGGAAACAACACAGAGCCACCACCTGTAGACAGGCAGAATGAAAAAAGGGTGTGTACCAGAACAATCTACTTGTTTCTACCTATATCCCCCAAAGAAGAAAAACAACACTTTAGGATTATGAATGGTATACATTTTGATTACTGTAAATCTGTGGTTTTCAACCTTTTAATGTCAAGGACCCACAAATTGATACACATCAGGCCGTTGACCCATATTTGATTAGATATACTCAGGGATCAAGATTTAGTTATTACATAACTGTCTGTCCTGTAGATTGGAAGATTAACAGTGAAGAAAACTTACAAAACAGTATTTCGTATATATTCTCTCACTTTTAGCCAATTAAATAATAGTGAAATTAAAGTATTCCCCATTTGTCTGGGGAACCCGCTCAAGGACCGCTGGTGGAGAACCGCTGCTGTGAATGACTCCATGTACAACAGGTCTGTTGAGTCTTACTTCAGTTCCCGTCCCCCCCTCTCACCTGACGGACGAAGGTGATTGGCTGCTGGCCCATGGCGTGGGCATCCCCGATGTTGGCTTTGATGACCTCCGTGAAAGGCTGTTTCACTCCCTAGAAAGGCAAAATAAAGAAGATCTTCATAATAAAGTTCATTTGAGGATTTTGATGCAAAGGTTAAAAACATCCTGCGAATAGTGTTGACACATATTGATAAACTGATATTTATTGTACCTTTGGAAAACATCAAATAGAAACAATATCTCACCCTATTTTTTTTTTTATCCTATCTGAGTCCTACTTTTTTGGAGCTGCTAACTCGGCCCACTCTTATCCTCTTAAAAGATTTAAAGAAATGTGTTACTATGATAATGCAGATGATGGTGCTCTTGAATATGATTAATTTTATTATTCTATATCTGAAGTTTTATTCACAAACACAAATTCTCTAAATCACTTCCTAAGATCGTACATTTTTCCCCTTTTAAATGTTACATGATTACTTTTTAATGTGTTCTTTTTATGTCACATATGTGTATTTCGATCTGTATGTGTTGTTGTTTACCTGGATGTTTGTACATTATCCTGTTGTTAATAAAAAACAAAAAACAAACAAACAAAAAAAATACAAAAGTTGAACACCACCTGATAACTGTACACCCTGTGAATGTGGACAGGGCACTCTAAGTACCCAAACAACTGATCAAAACTGGTTTTATTTAACTGTGTGAACAGCACCGAGCAGGGACGTGCCGGTGCCCGCCGGTGCCCGCCGGTGCCCGGCTTTCAGGTTGAGACACAGAGGATGATGCAACCTTTATCTCGCTCTGCTGTCATATGAAGCCGCATTAACGTTAATATATTTCAGCCTTGTCTTCGTGTTTTATTAAATACGCAATGAAGCGTTCAATAAACCGTTAACAGTGAATCGTTATCGCCATGAACTCCTTCTACCATCACACAGAGGATGCGGCAGTGAGCGGAAGCTATTTTAGCAAGTTAGCTAACAGCGTATATATGTTTGCTGTAAACACAAACAAATAAACAATGTGTGTGTGTGTAAACAATGTGGTAGCCGTTAGTAACCCACTGACCTGCTGTAGCCCCCTCTCTATATCTCCCGCCTTAATAACGATGGGTCCTCTCACGGCGTACTCCACCGCCTTCACCTGCGGGTTTAGGGTCGCCATGGTAAGGGTCTTCTCTCGCATCCTGGCCGGGTCGCTTGTCTCCACGGTGGCCTCTGCCGTGCTGAACCGTTTCAGTCCGTACTGCTCCGTAGGGCCCTGCGTTTTAAACCGAGCATGCTGCCATAAATGTGAATACAGAGACGTCGACCGGAGGGGAACCGGGGCAGACCGATGTATAAAGAGCTGGAGGCGATGCATGTTTCCTCAGAGCCGGGCTCGACGGTTCATCAATCAAAGACAATTGGTTCGTATTGGTTAGTATTGGTTAGTATTGGCAGTACATCGGTGGTACGGCCATTATACCGCGGGGGAAACGGAGATAAATATAACGTGTGTTCCGCTGACTCACCGCCCTCGCTCCTCTCTGACACTGTCATCAAATCACACCGTATCATTTTATACGTTGGTCCTGCTCCATGTTTTTTAAGGAAACCTTTATTGACAAAGCCCATATTACAGCAGGGTTTAACTAAAGTAAATGTAAAACAACAGAGGCATGAAACAAATTAAATACATCTACTGCGTTGATAATGACAGCTTTTTATTAGCTTAAAGTGATCGGAATAGATTACAATAATATATTATATTTATTATATAACACATTATTTTATTTGTAATGTTTTTATTCCTGTTTATTTGTTCTTCTCATTCTATTGTTGTATTACTTCTGTGCTCATGTTCCTTATTTTCATTTTATCTGCCTTGTTTGGTTTTATGTTTCCTTTGTATAGCACTTTTTAACACTGTTAAGAAAAGTGTTATATAAATAAAGTTTATTATTATTTATTACAATAAAGACATTATATTATAGAATATTTTGAATTATAGGCACCACACAGAAAATGATGTCCCAAATATAATTTGGAATTATACTAATATTTATACTATTTATACTAAATGATAAAGAGCAAAATGAATAAGCCTAAAATACGTATTACCATCAAACCAACAAGGAACTGAAACAATGTTATAGGCTGCATAAATACTGGAACATATGACAGAATGACAGAAAATGAAGATGAAGACAGCCAGACTGACAGGATAAGATAAAATATCACATAGCCTACATATATATTATTCGTATAATATATCATATTTGAGCAATTAGATCATTACATTTACAATGACACTGATCTTTAGGTCCAGTGTGCAACTTGTACAGTGTGATGTAGAAACTTGAAGCCACCAGTGCTCATCCACTGAGAATGGACTTTACAGTGAAGGAGGAGAATTCATTATTTTTGACGAAGACGGAATAGATGTCTTTTCAGACAGCATATCAGATACAAAAATTGTTGAAAGTAGAGCAAAATATATGTTAAAACTTGTCTGGAGGGGATATTGAACATCCATCAGTCCTTCATCTACACAGGTTTACATTGAATCAGTTCACATTGGTGAGAGGCAGCGGACACCTGTACAGGTCACCTGTCTCTCACATATAGTACAGTCTCTTTATTCTCACATCCTTCCTATGGGCAGAGTTGTCATTTAACAAACCTGCATGTCTGTGGACTATGACCTGGATCACCTGGAGGAAACCTACACAGATACCCAGAGAGGCCCCAGCCAGAGAGTACTAACCACCGACCACCACCACACCAATACTCAATTGTAGTTGTTTGGTTTTTAAAGTCTGATCAAAAGACAGTTATTTGGGTCCATTGTTACAAAAACAACACATGACAGTGACATTAACAAACTCACAGTAAGACATTCGGGTGTATGTGGCAACAAATCTATCAATCTAACTTTATTGGGTGGACAGAATCTATAAGGGAAGGATGCAGTTCTCACATAGAGATTGTTTCATACACAACTTCAGCATCGATGAAGGAAGTTAGAATATGAAACAGTAAATCATATTTTTTATTTTAAATTAGAGGATTTAAATGTGCTTTTGGTTTTGCAACAGGCCCTGGAACGACTAGAATCATCAATACACAGTCTCAAGAGTTCCTGTTTTTTCACTGTTAGGTTGACGTGCAGTTTTGTCTTTTATCATTCTTCCAGGTGGTGGGGTATACCTGTAAACTCTGTTGAAAGGATTGGCTATGGACTGCAGATTATTTCCTAAACTCATTTAAAGTTGGCTGGACGGCTTATAAATGGATTAAATTGTGTGATAACATATGTGTGTGTTTGTTTGCCAGCCTGTTTGCTGCTACTGGACATCTGCCTGTGTTCCACTTCCTACCCTGGAACACTGTACCAGTCTTCACAATTCTAGTGTTGCCAAATTACTTTGTCTATTATTATTTTAGGAGTCACATCAGGCTGCTTCTTAGCTGGGACATTTTAAGATTTGAATTTGATCACTCTTCTGCAGCAGCATCACAGTTCTCCATGCCTCAAACAGAATTGGACAGTATGTGATATAGATACACATTAATCAGGCTGATTGTCATTTTGACATAATCGCATCGGCTGATGCCTACAGTCTCTGCTGCGGAATAACGTTAGTGCTCCCCTTGAGTTTTATAAAGGTGGTGTAAACGTTGTTTTCCACTGTACTGTAACTCTTGTGCATCCTGCTGTAAACATTTGCCTACATTTCCTCAGTCACTATCACCTGTGCTTTTTATTGCCTTTAACTGACAGTGACAGCAGAGTGTTGGGTGCCAGCTCTACCAGGTGAGCTACCACGGTGCACAACTATCATCTTTTGTAAATGTTGACATTTTTCTCCTAAATGAATGAAATCTAATCTAAAATGATTTCTAAATACATATTAAGTAATAATAATGCAGCTCTTCTGACATACTGTCCCCCGGCATGAACCAATGTATTTTTTCTATTTCATTAATTGATAAAAAAGTCCATCTAAAACATGTTACTGGCTAAGAGAATCAAGTATATTAGACTGTAAGCATTGAATTATGGAATTATACATGACTTTTCTTTTTTGATATCATCAGCTATTGAAAAACCTTTATCAGTCGACCAGCATGTGCCAGCACACCTACCTTAAGTTGACACTAAACCTGAAAGCTAGTCTGTAAACTGCATTATAATTTAGCTCAACTTTATTCAAAAACGCTTTGTGCAACAGTTAGAGCTAGATTCAACCAGGAATGGTTGAATCTCTCTTCAGAAATATCCTCCTTGCCCAGTGAACTATCTGTGCACTACAACCTGTTAAATCTCTTCAGATAAACCTCATCAACAGGCTGTTTGAGATGAGCCCAGCTTACTCAGATTACAGTAGCTCAGGAGTTAGAGCCACACAAAGCACAGCAGTCAGAACCATTTGACCAACATATCTCTCTCTCACTCACTCACTCACTCACTCACTGTGTTTACTGGTGAAATTCAACTTTGAACTGTGGAGGTTCACTGCCAACAAGTAAATATGTGTGGTTGATGAAAACCTTTAAATTCATTCAAATGGTCATTAACAGAAGGTCATTTAACTGATTTTATTATTGTGAAGTCATAGAAACCCTCTGGCGGCCAGCAGGACGTGTTGATTTTCAAAATAAAATCTGTATAGAAGAATGTTAGAGCCCTGACAGCCTGCCATACTCTGGGTGGATTGTGACTGAACATTAAATCTCTATGAAAAATAATAAACATGAATAAATGCAGTTATAATTATAATATATTGTGACATTATCACAATATGCAATCACATATGGGATTCTGTAATCAAACATCAGTTAACAATAAAAGTTGGACAGAATGATAAAATAGGATTTTAAAAGAAAACTTGTTCACAATCTCATAAATATTTATCTGACCTCTTGTATGACTCTAGGAAAGCTCAAACGAGGGAGCTCAACATTACCTATAGAACACTTAACAGCGATAAAAAACTTTATTTCATTTTAGACTATTGGCTTTTGAATCATCTTCAGTTATTAAGAAAACACAGGTACCAAAATGTCTTGGTCCCTTCTGTTAATCTGAGGATGTGCACTTGATGGCGCAGTTCATTTATGTCAAATAAGATGAATCTAGTATGTCTTCAGTCTCTCACTCTGCTCAATTAAACTCATTGAAACTGAGACGCCTTGAGAACACAGTATGGAGTGGATTTATACACTCAGGTGTATTATGTACACAACAGAAATGTCATCAGCAACAATGTATTTCATTATAAACAAACCACACTCGTGCTTTTAGTCCAGAAACACGTTTGCATGTGTGTGGTGGCCGTATAATGCAAGGTGCCGAAGAGCCAGGATTTCCTTCTTGCCCCGTCATCCACGTGATCCAGGTCAGAGTTCAGCTCCAGCCAGTTCCGCCCTCTTTGGTCATCTTCTTGCTATTTGATAGGTTCTCTATGCTCGTCAGTCAGGCTTTCACCTATAAGATGAGTGTTTGGCCCAGGATCTTGCGGTTGATCTCAGCCAAGGCCACCGAAAACACGAAGGCCTTCTCGTCAGAAAGGCCGGCATAAATATCCACCTCCTTCTCTTGTTTCTCTGCCAACGCAAGAACAACACCATCAATCACAGAACACACTTTTAGTGCAAATTCCCTCTTCGTGTTACCATCCCTCCACCACAGCTCAGCAAGGAATGACAGTCAGGGAAAAAACAAGTGGGGAACTCTATACTAAAATAACTAGCTCTGGAAGAGATCCACCTGATATGATTAAAGGTGCAGTGTGCTTAGGAGGATCTATTGTCAGAAATGGAATATAATATTCAAAGGTATGTTTTCATTAGAGTATAATCACCTGAATATAAGAATCAGTGTTTTTGTTACTGTAATATGAGCTGTTTTTATTTTCAGAGGTAACAAATTCCTTCTTGTTATATTCCATTTCTGCCAATAGATCCTCTTAAATGTTACACACTGGACCTTTCACTCAGATGGCAGCAGCCAATAGCATCCATCCAACTGCTTGCTGTCTGAAACCACTTCAGGATGTGGTTTTAGTTGCAACAATGCTTTGTGAGTGACTGGATGGGTTTTGGTTCTGACCTGCCCACTGTTGTATGAGTTTGCTAAGAGTACTTTTACGATTACTTTTATTGACTCATAATTACTAAGATGTTACATAAACTTTTGCTACAAACAAACTTGATCAGCTTCACACACACTGGATACTTTTATTGTGAAGGAAGCTTTGTTGTTACTGCTGTTGCACATCAGGTGTGTTGTGGACGTGGTCGTTGCTGATATAAGTGGTTGTCTTATACCTTTAAAAGTTGTCTAAGGCTACGTTCACACTGCAAGCCATAGCATTCAGTTCTTACTTATTGCTCACATCTGATTCTTCTTATTTGGCTGTTAATATTAGTTGTTAAATGTGGCCCCATATCAGATTCCAGTTTGAAAAGTCTTAAAGTGACCTGCATGACAAATGTAGAGTGACGTAAAAGTCACATGAATTCAGATTTGATTTGGAGCACATATGAAAATAGCCCAAATCAGAATTGAAAAGACCAGATTCCATGTGATCTGTGCTGTTCGCACTGCCTGATTCACTTATGAGCAAATAAAATATGATTTGGGTCAGCTTGATTGTAGCCTAAACGTTAAGAAGTTGTTCCACAACCTGCACAACAGGATCCCAACCATTTTAATAAAAAATAAAATCTGTTTACTTTAATTTTCATAATCAGATATGGACTAACATGAGAAATTACTAAGAGGCTCCCAGAGAATTCCCGTGATCTCTTGTGTCAAAAATCATTCAATGATAAACATGCAAGATGAAACTGAGAATAATCACTTCTTTTACCTTTTTCCTCTTCCTGTTTCTTCAGCCCCACTGTTTTGGGTCTGCCCCGTCCCCTCCGGATGGGATCTGATTGGCTGTTGGTGCGTGATCTTCTCCTGTTCTCCATGTCGCTGGTTAAAGACGAGTCGATCCTCTCTCTGCGAATGCGCTCTGTCCTCCTCCGCTCCAGCTTTTCTGGAGTAGAAAACATGGATAATAAAAACACACATCACCATCATTTATGTGTTAGGCCGGTTCCAGGCCGCTGATTTGTTCAGCGAGTCTCTCACTGAGTCTCTGGTCAGAAAAACAGCCGAGCCAATCTGAGCTTTGTGGGCAAAATCACCAATGAACTTGCTCTGCTGCAGAAGCTCAACACTCATTTATCAAGCCAGCCCTAAACACAAGGTTACACTACATTTTCACATATAAATCGTTAGCTTTTTGCAAGCTGAAGCTTACCTGCTATGGCTGGAGAGGACCGCTCGTTTAATTTGGCATTCAGGAGTTTTCTGCTGATAAACACATAACCACATGGGCAGGACTTGCACGCAACTGGAATCTGAAGAGAATCAAACACAAGATTGAATTAGTGTTTGCCACTTGGGGGAGGGGCAGTGAAGATGTTAGCTCATAGACTCAGCGCATATAAAAGGATTCTTCCTCTTGGAGCGTTCATGTGTTTTTAATGTGTTCTGTAAATAGTTCTTCAATAAATATAACCACTTCAAACATATTTGCAAAACTACAACTAGGTTCCTTTTGACATCATTTCCCATCCTGCTCCTGGTGGAAATCTACAAGACAAACTGTTGAACACGGGAGCAGAAACAGAAGCAGATGCCTTTGTGATTGAAGTGGTTTATTCTGAAAAACCAGCTAAAAGGAAAAATAGGAGAGAGAGAAGACAGCAAAGTAATAATGTATGAATAAGGTAATGTTGGGCCATTCTGCAGGAATTCTCTGATCTCAGCGTCTCACGTGAATATTTCCAGGTTCCTTTGGTCATTTATGACTGCAAACTGAATATCTTTGGGGCATTTTTCTAACAATTTATGGACCAAACAACTACTTGATTAATCAAAAAAATAGCTGACAGCGTAATCAATGAAAATAATCGTTAGTTGCAGCCCTAGTCCAAAGCCAACATTCACTTACTTACAGGGTACTTCAAGTGTACCCTGTATCAGGTTTGGTAAAAGGTCAGTGCAGCCAACAGGTTGTCTGTTTTGAAATGACAAAACCAAGTTGGGAAACAGATTTAGAAATATGGGGAACAAAACAGCTCATTTAACGATTGGTTCTCATTTCAAAAAGAAAATCTGTTGGCTGCAAACCGTCCAGGGTTGGTGAATGTATTAGCAGTGAACCTTTGGAGCACCATTTTTCCAGAATCTGAACATGGTGTTATAGTTCCCAAACGTACCCATACCGTAACAACTACTGTGGATTTTATAATAAAGCAAGGTCTGCATTAAACACAGTCTGGGGTTTTGCAGAATCAGCCTGATATCAATGTCCTAACAGTGTTAAAAGAATTTCCAGCATTAATCCTTCTGTGTATCAATTATTGGTCTACAATTATGTTGACTTGGATTTACTGTTTCAATTTGATCTTGTGATTGTATCCAGGTCTAATGTTACAAGTTCAATCTCACACAAAAGTTTGCAACTGCTTCATGAGGCTTTCAGTTCCACCCTGAGCAAGCTGAACAGAAGAATACAAGAAGCTGCTATTGCTTGCAGTGGCTGTGTACAGCTGCTAATTTCTGGCAGGTTATTTTTGTAGTCTTCTTCAAATTCCTCATATTGAAGGCCACGTGAAATGTGAAATGTACACACTGCTTTCCAGAGCCAAGTGATATTGTCACTCATGTTCTCGCCCCATTAATACCGCACCCTTTGAAAAAGCTGTCAACCACAGTGGAGAGAGAGGTACAAACAGAAAACCACAACATATGTTGGACGTGACTCTTATGTTAAATAAAGTAAAACACTTGGCCTTTTGGATGGGGAACTGAAGTAGTTATATGGCTCTCTTCAAAGCCACCAGACTCCTCTGATAAAAACGTCTGACCTCATACATACATGGGAGTTGCTGGTCTAACGCTGCCTTGATCCGTTGGTTAGTTTGTGTTACTGTGTGACTTTGGTGATCCAAACTATGGTGTTAAAATACCAAAGAGTCAGGTGGCTTTGAAAGGACCATAGATGGATAGAACTGCTTAGAGGTTGTTTTTTTAGTATCTCAATCCATTCTTTCTTCTCAAAACTTGGTGTCTATGTTACCCACAATGCAACAGGACCACCAACAGTTAACAGTATGTTAAGCTGGAGACATGTTTGCTTTTTAAACACGTGTTTGCATAGATTTCCGAGGAGTGAAAGAGTGAAAATAGAGGGAAGGATGTATTCGTAGAAATATAAAAGTGCACATTTTCAGACAGTCTCTCCTGGAAGGCATTCACACTCTTTTTAAGAAATGATTTTCCCAGACCTTTCCAGGAGTATTTTTGACAATACAGGACAGCACTTAACATATAAAGAGTTTTATTTCTCCTTGTTTAATGACAGGAAGGAGGTCACAGAGTTTTCAGCTGTGTACAGTAACATTACTTTGGCCACAGCCCATAAGAAATAATTTAATCTTCTCACTTCTTAGTCTATCAAAAGAAGTAGTAGAAAGTGTTAGTTGCCAAAAAGACGCTGCAACTTTGTTCCAATTCTGGTAAGCCTATTTAAAAGCGTCATACTTCGCAGGTTCTCCTACCACCATTTGAGTTTAAAACAAAATACGATCTGAGTGACGGGCTAAAATACAATTAAATATTTCCAGAACAAAATAGATTATTTCCAAGATATTTGGCCATTCATTCAAATCCATTTCTAGGTCCATGACTGGAAAATTAGTCTCTAAATTCCCAGATTTTCCAGGACCTGTGGGAACCCTGATTCGTACAGTTCCACTCGGTTGTTGACATGACAAATGAAAAAGTCGTGTCAATAATGAAAATCAGAGCAAGACAGACACCAAACCCTGGCTCCTTTCTCACTTCAATCGTGAAGTGGGTGTAACTGTGGTATTGCTGGTTTCAGAACACAAATGGTTGTACAGAAATATCATCACATGAGGCACTTTACCAGATTTTGTGCAGCCCCCTCTGGAGCCACAAAATGCTTTATACACACCTTTTCATCAAATCTTAAGTCACACTTCCCGTGACCTGCTCACAGACTGACTGTAAACCCTGTGGAGTTCCCCTTTAAAAAAGGAGAAGGCTGCAGCATTAACTGTAAAGCCAAACAAATGGCACTGTATAATGCTTTCTGACATGTTATTTTGGACAGAATGAGCTGTATGTGAACTGTATTCACTTTAGGCTTAAAATACCCATTGTCACAGAATAACAATAGCCCTGACGCACTAGTGTAAGCTATGGAGAAACGACCATGCCAAATTCCATTGAATTTTTAAAAAATGTAATAACTTTAGGCTTATGGGCAAGTTACCTTGCGGTAAAATAATTAAACGGCCGAGATTTTGGTGAAATATGCCCAACTCTTAAATTCGGGTCACAGACTCGCCAGACACCACTTGCTTTAGTGATATTTTAACTTTTAACTAGTTTCCCAGCTCTCCGCGTCTATTCTTAGGAAGACGACTGCAACAACAAAACAAAATGTGAAATTTAACCAAGTTATATTATTTGTGTGTTACATGTGTTTGATACAGGATTGTCCAAGACCGACAACTGCCTAAATATGTGTAAATTTGTCGTTAATTCAAAGAACATGAAGGCTATTTTGCTCGGCAGAAAACCAACAGCTAGCCAACTAACTTGTTCATTCTTTGAGTGGGATTTGGCGACACTCTCGTTTACACACGAGCAGTGGAGCTACCACAGAAGCCCATTTCCGTCTGTTGAGCTGGCTGTGACTGTATGACCAGTACAATTACCAAGGGTACAAGCTAGGCAGTCGGTAACAGCGTTCAAAATGTAATGTAAATGCATTTTCTCACCTGTTGGTCGCATTCAGGACAAGATTTAGTAGCCATTTTGACTTTCTTTGTTTTATTTGCCGACATAGTCCGTCTCCTTCAGCGACACGCCGATAGCTCTGCGGTGGCTACAACTTTTCTCTGCAGTACATGGACGCCGACAGACCCGCTCCAACGGACACTGACACACGGACAAAACTAACACACACCGATGGAGCTAGATGACAACACACCTTTGAGTAGCGCACACACATTACAGTATAGCGATAATGCTAAATCTGCGAGCATGCGCACGGAGAGCTCTTCTGCTGGCGTGTTGCATTCAAGTTCTTTGGGGAAAATGGTAGACAGCAGGAGTCTACGTGACAAAACTGGTCTCAAAAGATTCTCTGGAAACCTCAGTTATTAATTGTCTGGTTTCTGAGTTTATACTTTGTTTATTAGTCACATGTGTTATTTTAAGAACGTTCTGTATCTAAAACCAAATCATATTTCTTTTAATGTTTATCATAATGTTATACTTAAAACACATGACATCAAATTTCATGAATGCAGTATATCTTTTAGAATTGACACAAAAAGTAATGATTTTAAAATATGAAATATGTTCTAAGTGAAGAAAAATTATGCTGATGCGGTGGTCTCATAGGCTAGTTCTCCTTTATCTGATGGTGTTACCATGGTGTCACCCCCCCCCCACCTCCTTTATTTCTCATAGATAGTTTACATGTATAAAAACATGATAACATGTACTAAGAAAGAAACAAGAATCAAAATATGTGGGCGTGAAGAATCTATATAGGAAATATTAATCATGTACACATGTTCTTCTGTACACCATCTTCCAGGAGACCAATCATTATATTCTTCCAAAGCAAAACAAAATCTTTTCAACATATTTTCAACATTCAAATCACAAAGGTTTTGCCAGAAATTCCTCACATATGGGCAATGACAAAATTCTGGACATCAGTCTCAGAAACTACAATCCACATCAATGTCTCTGGATAGAATTTATGGATGAGTTTGAAAGAAATTTTTATCTAGGTTGGTTGTTGTACTTAAATATAACTTTAAGCTCAAACTCAAGTATTTCCATTTTATGCTGCTTTATACTTCTAGTTTATTTCAGTGGAATATAGTGTACTTCTACTTCACATCTATCATGTATCTGAGTTATATATCTAGTCACTATTACACCTGGTAGAGCTTGTGTCCCATGTACTGAGACTGAGTTCCTACCACAGCAGCCAGCAGTGGTTAAAATCCAGTTGTGTTATACAGACACAGTTATTTAATGAGGAAGCAGATTGCTTAATGTTTTGATGTATGTAATTTTCAGCTGATAGCCACAGCAGACTGCCAGACTCTTTGAAGTTCAAAAGGGAAAGAACAAAATGTGCACTGAATAATTATGGATATAATGTTGCTATAAATCAAGACACACATGAAGAGTAACATGTAGGAGAAAATGACATAAGACCATAATATATGACATCCACTCAGTATATTAATAATGATACGATTTTATTATATTCATATGCTGCGTGTAAAATTAACTAAATGCAAATATGTATTGTTAATTTCAATTTTATTTCAGCAAATGACAATGATAATTGCTATTTAATCTTTAGTTATTTTTCTTTATCTGATTTACAAGTGGGTTTACATACAGATTCAAAAGGGGAGAGAAATTGGTCAATACTGCGGCCAAACAAAATCAACAATAATAGCAAAGAAAGAGATCAGCAGACACTGTCAGATGCTGCAGCAAACTATTCCAAAACCTTACACACAAACTTGTACATCGTTACGTTCTCAGTGTGGCAACTTGTCAACTAGCATACTATCCTGAGGAATCACTGCATCACCCCCCCTCACGACAGATTCATCTGAAAGGACAGTGTCCCCGAGCAACAAGATTTCATTCATCGACAAAATTATGACAGTCAGACATTGTAGTTGCTGGGATCCATATAGAGTTTAAACTGAAAACCAGGCCTCATGGTACAAGCACAGTAAAGCATGCAAACACATGCTGCAGGTCTGAAAGTGTCAATCCATTGGTGAGAAGTCCAGAAATAAACTGAACACATGAAATATGGAGTCCATAGAGAGATTGAGAGACAAATTTGAGGTTATTAAAAAGTGTGAGATGATAGGATCTTCTGAAAAATATGACAATTGACCTTTGCTAAGTTCCGCCCCTTTTTGCTCTGTGCTCCAATAAGAGCTGAGCAAGCCCTGGTCAGAACCTCGGTCAACCTTCTCCTTTCCTGTATTTAGATATGCTATGTGCTAGGCTAATGTACGTTGAAAAGACAACCACATTTGAAGATGGTTAAAAGATAAAAGTGACACATGTAGAGCTAATGTTAGCAAAATGCTAGCTAATCTACATTAATCATTAGCTAGCTGGTTACATCTGTTATAAGACTACAGTGTTAAAAGTATAGTCAAATGTCTGTTTTGGCTGTCATGTTTTAAGATGTTCCATGTTGGTTTTGCTACCTAGCTAGCTACTCTACATCAGTTGTTAACTAGATCGTTACATGTGATGGCTAAGATTTGACCATGTGTCACTTAACCATCTTCAAAATGTGGTTGTCTTTTCAACATAGATGAGCCTCGCACATAGCATACATAGCAACCAGGGTTCCAAAAGGGGTGGGACTTAGGAGGGGTACATTTTCGCTCTTACAGATGACTAGATTTGTGACGTTATTTGTCATTTCTTTGCAGCCCAGCTGGCTGAAGACTATGATCATGCAAAAGGCTGCACAATTACTAACTGAACTGACTCATTTCCCACAGTCAAAGCCCGACCAGATGAAAAGATGCTTGTTCTAAAACATTTATCAGCTTCTAATGGGAACAACGTTTGTTGCGTCATTCCTGTGGGGCCAGTTTGTATGTGCTTCCATTTGTCTGGTCTTCAGTTTGGGTGGTCCCATCCTAAAGAACAGCAGAGTTATTGATTATTCAGGGGTGGGAACTAGCTCGTATGCAACACAGCTGTAACACCACTACTAGATGCTGTAGCCTTTATACACTCAGCTAATACATTCACTTCTCAGTATGGAAAGATGTGAACAAGTGAGGGGTTGATGACTCCGTGGATACACCTACAACAACAGTCTACTATCGACAATAAAATGATACAGGTTAAAGACAAATTGGTCAAGTAGGAATTCATAAAGGAATGATGCCCAAGACTTGTGCAGTGTTGCTGGCACACACTTCTTAAAATCTAACACCTCTGACCTGTCGCAGAAAACACTTCTGCTAGTGAGGGACAGCGAGGAGGAAATGATGCAGAAAAATGAATAATAAAATGAAGGAGAGTTCTTTTAGCTCTTCTTGACATTAATTTTATTCCTGGCCTACAGGATGGGATTTTGTGTGTGCGCAGTTGTATATTCATAATATTGTGAAACATCTAAGGATGGGCTTCACATCCTTCCAACCTGCAATAGTTTTAAAGGACCAGGCCCTCATAGGCGGGGCCCTCGGATTCAGGGGATTCCCTCTGCAGGCGAAGATGCTCCAGTGTGTTATGGAAGTGTTTGTTGATCTGCTCCGTTTCCTCGCTCGCCTCCAGGTTGGGAAGATCTTCCCTGATCTTTTGGATCAGCTGGTTTAATACTTGGACAGTCACCTGGAGGGGGAGAGCACACGGCACAGTGTAAGACTTCCTGGTTTATTTCATTAATAGATTTTATAGACTGTATTCACATCATATGGAAGCAACTGTGTGTTTTGAAGGTTAAAAACAATGTTGGCTTCAAATGAATACAGACAAGATGTCCCATCAAAATGACTAAACTTCCTATGTCCCACCCCTTTTTGCTCAGTACTCAGTTGACAACAGGTGAGCAAGCTTCAGTCAGAATCTCGTTCAACTTCCTCCTGTCCTGTATTCAGACATGCTACGTGCTAGGCTCGTCTATGTTGAAAAGAAAACCATAATTTTCAATTTGGTTTAAAGATAAAAGCGACATATAGTCAAATCTTCAGTAAACCATGTTAGCAAAACCCTAGCTAACTAGCTAGCTACTCTACATCAGTCATTAGCTAGCTGGTTACATGTGATTGCTAATGTTAGCAAAATGCAAGGTATTTAGATAGCTAACGATGGATGTACATTAGCTAGCTAGATGGCTAGCATTTTCCTAACATTAGCTATCTTAGGATTTGACTATATGTCGCTTAACCATCTTCAAAATGTGGTTGTCTTTTCGACATAGATGAGCCTAGCATTTAGCATATCCGTACAGGAGAGGAGAAAGTTGACAGAGGTTAGGAAGGGTCAGTTAGTCAACTGTTAGCTGTACAAATCAACATATTTAGACTTACAGAGGTTGCTTAAAAGGTACTCTGGAATTTCTTGCATGTTTTTACAAGAGTCCCCATTTTGTTTGTATGCATGTCCATACAAAGTGGTACCGTCCCTGTTCAATGTATTGTCAGTCTGATGGTTGTACACAGCACACAAAAAAGCTTTTTTTTTTTTGGCATTTGGGGTGTCCTACCGCATCGTTTTCTCTCTCATAGAAGCAGACGTATCTGTTGAGGATTTCAATGAACAGCTGAACTTGCAGCGATGGGTCCATGCACTGGTTGGCAATCTTCAGAGCTTTCTTTAGACACTCCATCACCCGCTTACCATCACGGATCTAAAGACGCAACATCACCACATCAGGGGTTAGCAATAACGGCTCTGGAAATGTGGCAGAACAATGATGTAGCAAACTTACTTATTGAAATATAATTCTACTACTCACAGTGAGTATACTGATGACACTGGACATTTAGTTCCGTCCTCTGATGCAAAGATTTTTCCAGATAAAAGTATGTTTGAAATTGTGCAAAAAACCCAAAACAACTGAAACACACCTCTTCACCATTTTTGTCAGTGCTGCGACCGGACCAAAAGAGATGGGCGCAGATGCTGACGGCTCGGCACTGGTCAGGCTTTTTCAGCAGCTTGGACGCAGCCAGCGCACACTGAGTCCTCAGCGGCTCGTGGTTTTCCTCGCTGAAACATCGCATTCGCTCAAAGGTGCCAATGATCAGTGTGATGGCTGCCAACTGGGCTTTGGAGTCGCTGATCTCGTCCTCGTACAGAGAGAAGGCCTGGTGAAGAGGCAAGAGGAGAAATGGAAGAAGTGGGGTTGGTGGGTGGTTGAACACTCAAGACATTCAAAGGACCGACAGCTTTATCAAACATTCTACCTGTGACATGAACTCATAAGCTACAGTCTCGTGGTTCTCAAAGCCAATCTCGCCCGCAGCCAGCGCCCCCTGCAGGAAGAGTCGAAGAGGCAGCTCGGCCAGCTCAGCCTTGATAAGTGCACTGATGGTCTGGTGAGCGAAGGAAAAGATCTTCTGGCACTTCTTTTCCCACTTGTCATCCTGATGAGACAGATTTGACATCATTTATATGGCAATTAAACAGGTTAAATTTAAGGCTTTTTAATACCTTTGTAAGACCTTTATGAATGCAGTTTAAGACATATTGAAGACATTTTAAAAGACTAGTGTGTAAGATTTAGTCACATCTAATGGTGAATTGAACTGAACACCACTCTGTATTTGACAACCTGGGAATGAGAAGGGGCTGTAAAGTGTGTAGGAAAAACTATGCTGGTTCAACATGGCGGACTCCATGGAAGGCAACCCTCAATGTCTGTAGATAAAGACAGCTCATTCTAAGGTAACAAAAAGACAATAATTCTATATTTATGTATATTATACACTAATGAAAACATACCTATGAATATAATATTCCATTTCTTACAATATAGCCTACTGAATGTTACACACTGAACCTTTAAGAACCCAGGGGTACCCTGTAATGATGAGATAAAGTATGTCTGCATACCACTGACGAGTTTTCCTTGTATCTGAAAGCCAGCTGGTAGGCAGCGAACACAAGAGGAGGAAGTGTGTAGCGAATCCTTTGGTTTCCACCTGCACCAAAGTGTTTCCGGGCTGTGTTCAGAATCTGACCACAAATCAGAATGTTAATTCCAATGAACACCAGAGATAATAGTAAAAAGACACAGCATTAATATAAAGTTCAGTAGTGGCAGTAGACTGTAAGATGTAGTATATCTATAATATGAAAGGACTCACAAGGTACTGCTGATCAGGGTCGTCAGAATGGAGCAGATGAATGAAACGACCAACAAGGCTCTGCTCCTCAGCAAAGTCCTCAGGGTCGGGATCATCAGCTGGTTGGTCTGGCTGGTCCTGTATCAGTGTGGATACCAAGTTCAAGATGGCGTCCACCTAAAGAAAAACAAGAGAGGGAGCGGTTTTGATTTGATGTACTTTCCTACATATTTTCTTCCTGCTTTTGGCTGAGTGGGTGAAGAAAGACTCAGCAGTCACATATCGAACAAAGCCATCTCCACTGCAAACCCGCTCATTGTGATCACTGCTCTCCATCACAGTGACAACGTAATGGACTGGATCTAACTCCAGCTCTGTAATTACACAGGTAGCCCACTCTGTCTCGACGAAGTGAAGTGAAACAGTGACTGTGGGGAATATAATAAAAGGAGGACACAGGCTGATCATGTAAGATACATCCATCTAGCGTTGCTGCGGTGCTATCAAAGGATGCTGCTATTTCAACTCCCTGGGGTCACTGAGCGCTGGCCCGTAACTTTCTATTAATATCTCTGCGATAATAGAGAACAGAAATATGGTTCAGATACTGTCTGAATCTGTAGACTCTCCGCTTCCAAGTCTATATTCTGACAAGAGCGTACGTGATTCACACAGCAAATTTGGAGGAAGAGGAGAAAACGTCGTCTGCTTTTCAGCGTGCCTAATTGGTGGGTTCATGTGTCTGTCTACATTTTGTGTGAAATTAACTGATTTATTATACATTTATATACTTTCTTATTCATATATTCCACAATTTTTGTGAACCTAAGACTTTGATAAACCCATTTTCAAGCACCAAAACAATTGGTCCACATGAGTAAAGGTGTGTTTTGGACTTTTTCAGCTTTATGGTCAAATTATCTCTTCACTCAGTGCTCTAGGACAAATGGTGCCTCATTCTACAGATTTTCTCTTTTCCCACTTGGAGAAACTTGCATTTACTTGCAAACTTGTGGCTTTTTAGTCCACACTCCTACGCAGAAAGTTGGACAATATTGAATAAACAATATTATATTTTTGTTAATGTTTACTTTTTATTAATAAGAACCAAAAATTTCTTGAAAAAAGTTAAATAATTACATTTTCATGGCATCTGTCCAGCTTTGTTTATTCACTGTGTCCATGGAAATGATGATGAACGGCATATAAGGTTTCCTTATGCATAAATTAGTGATGGGCAAAAAGTATTAGTTTGAACTACACCCCAGCTGTTCAAACTGCCTGCTACATGCAGGACACCCAATGAATGAGAGGGAATCATTATACGCCACATTTAGCAAGATGTATCAAAACTAGAACAGTTTCGACACCTTTACATGCATCAACTCGAAGACACCGATTCTGTGAAAAGATTCAGTCCAGCCATCACTAGTAACACATTCAAAATGTGCACTGAATGTATAAAAATGTTAGCAACAGTTATCAGGATTTTGCGGAATCGTCCAATATAAACAATCTGACAGGTGATAGAGTTGGTGCTACATTCACTGTAACTTTCATCAAAAACATGAAAATGTTGCGCTCAAGTGGTAGCTAGGAGTCAGACCTGTTCCTGTGCCACGATGGTGGTGTTGTAGTCCAGCGTGTTGCTTAGCACATAGCAACTCATGCTCTTCCGCGACTCATAGTCAAAGTACTCGAAGAGCGGTGGGAAGTGCTTGAGCTGCAGCACCGTCAGGATGTTGTTGTAGGTATCCACCGGGATCTTCAGCAGTCGGGTGAGTTCTTTCGACACGGCGCTGCTGGTCGCTATGCTACAGGAGGGAAAGGGTAAGGGTCAAAGTGTGACACGAAGTGTGGAAGCAAGTGAGCACATTACAACCCCTGTTCTCTCCAGTCTGTGATCATATTTGTATTAAAAAGGTATATATGGAGTAACAATGCAAGTAATATGTATGATGGTATCCGGCAACTCCAACAACTTCCACTCTCCCTCCTCTCCCCATTTCTGTTTTTAGGTTCTCTCGACTGTGTGAACATGTAGGTCTTTTTTGTGCCTCACCCTCTTTCACCCATTAGCAGTGTTTCCATCAACGTATTCCTATGCACATTGTAAAGTAAACATACTTTACAATGTAATTTTAGGTAATTCCCCCCCAAAAATCCCAAATCGTGTGTCCAGACTTTTTTGAGTCAGATTGCACAAGAAGGGCAGTGATTTTTCAGTTTTCCAGCCATTCCCAATTTATGCAATTCCAATACCGTTTAGAACCCCAGTGAGCAGAAATACTCAAATACAGGTGGTGAAAATAACACATTTATACCACATGCACAAAAAACTGCCTGGTTTTTGACCAAAACTGCATTGGATTAGTATAAAAGGGGCATGTAAGTAAAATTAACTTGGAGCTTACTTTGGAGCTTACTTCCCAACATGTAAGCATGAGATGGTGCCAATGGATGCATTAGGCCATCTAGTTTTATATGATACCAGTATATTCACTCTAGCTTTAAAGAGCCTGCTAGAGCCAATGGTAAGGATAAAGGGGGGAAACACCAGGCAGTCCCTCTAGACACACCCCTGACATCATCTTGTTGCAACCCTTTTCTTCTAGTTTTCCAACCAGAGAATTGCTGCCACCTACTGCTGATCTCAATGAACCAACTCCTAATATTCTCATAACTGTAGTGGATGGAAACAAGCATTCATTTACATTTTCTATTGCTGAATTACTCGATATTCAGTTAAAATCTGAGATACATTTGGATGGAAAGTTTTTTTCCTTTGAAGACTGAATGTGTAGCTCGTCTCTTTTTTGCATTGTTGTGAAAATTTCAACTTCTTATAACTGAGTGTTAGTTTTATGTTTTAAAATAACTACTAGCAAACTGCTACCCTGGGAGCTTGGAGGGGTTACTGTAAAACATCCAATAATGGCCAAATGTCCAGTATTTGCTAGACTCACTCCCCTGACACTGTTAAATACTGCAGACCTCCTGTGACCATTCACACCAAACGCACTGTTGGTGTGTCAGGACTTTGGGGACTTACTGTTCCAAGTTGAGCTTGTTGAATATCTCCACAGTGCCCTCCAGGACCTTGTCTACATAGTCCACACGATCAGGGTAGCATTTCATGGCCAAGTTGATGAGAGATACCTGAAGAGATACCACATCCTCCGATGGCATGTCCTGGCGAGACTGAAGGAGGAATCGCAGAATGAAAACATCAGCAACGTTTGTTTGAAACTCAAACTTGAGCTCACCATAGCTTTGGAAGGGGCAGCCTAGTTTTTTTTTTTTTTTAAAAAGGAAATTACATCCAATCACAGGAAATCACTTTAATACATCTATTTATTAAACACTGAAGGACCCCAGGCTATTGATAATTTAAAACTGATGTACTACCTGTGCCCGCCACAGACACTGCTGAGCCAGTTTTACAAAGCAATCATCAAGACTTGCACACCTCCAAAGTCAGGAAACAAGCAGGGAGAAATCACTCAGGACACAACCTGTTTCAACATCTCCCCTCTGGTAGGCTCTACAGTACATTTTCAAGGTTTTATCTAAATTTGGGATTTGTCAAACATGGTATTAAAAAACAAACAAATAAAAAAATAATTTAAAAAAACTATGCACATCATCGTGTGATACTGCAATAGTTGAAAAAATGATTCCAGACCAGACAGATCATTATTTAGCCTGGCTACCATCAAGCCAAAGGAAGCGTTGTCAGTCATCAGCTTACCTGACCCATCTCCCAGGAGACAAAGCTGAGTGATTCTGGTCAGGGCTTTTCCAAACCATTCTCCCAATTTTTCCAGAACTATTCCCACAATGACTGTAAGGAAGTACTGCCTCTGTGTTACATAAGAACAGCTTGAGTTGGAAATTGAACACAGTGCCACTGTGTTACTTTTCCTACACAAGCTGTTCTGTATCAAGGCCATCTGATCAGTCATACTGTATAATCTCTTGAATTGATAAAAGCACCCTATCCTTACACAGGTCTTATCCTGTATAAGTCAGGTCTTATCCTTATCCCTCTCAAATACAATTCTAAGCAGAGAGCATAGAGGTGTATACTTGCTATACTGTGCATAAAAACATCCACAATACATATCTCTCCAGCACTTTAACATACTTGACCATTAAAACTTCTGATTCTGATTAATGTGACTGCATTCAATTCATACATGAGCCATGGGAGAAGTGTCCAGTCGAGTCCGAAAATAAATATCGGCTGCATGGGACTTTAAACAGTCCCATTCCATTCAATCAGTCTGTACTGTGTGGAGACTGATGGAATTGTCTTACAGGCCAGGTAAACCTAATGTGACCTACCTGAATGACAGTGGCCACTTGCTGAGAGAAGATGTCAAACAGCTTGATCTCAGCTGGAATGCCGGGGCCATCTTCTCGATGAGCAAACAGAGCCAGTCTTAAAAACAAAACACACATTCTCACTTGACAGTCATTTTATTAAACCATCTCTTGATACTAGTCATGTTTCATTTAGTTGCAAGAGAAGTTATTTTCCTTTTTACAGAGGACCCAGTTAATCTAACTCTTTGAAAACCCCCAAAAATCTATGGCTTACCCTGGGACAGCAGTATACTATCAGCACTGTGGACTGTATGGAGCAACTGAGTATCAGTAATCAGCAGTGGAGGGGGGGGTCCCTCAGGGTTTAAAAGGCACTTAATTTATGAAGGGAGAATGTCCAAGTTAAAACTTTACTAAATAGTACCAAGTACGTACTAAAGGTGAGAACTCCACCATGGATGTAAATAGGGTAAACTAAATTATGAGACACACCTTTAACCATAATGCAATTCAAGACAACGCCATCACTAACTACTGTCTGAAGTTAGATTAAACAGTTATACTAACACCTCTCTGACACGGTTTCAAAGACTAGCTATTATATAAGATTGTAGTACATGGTACATCATTTTTTGGGGTAAATTTAACAACTTCAATTATACACATTGACACTTCACTGCGCTATATCATGAATCGGATAATTGGCTTCATCAACAGCATTATATGCAAATAATGACATTGCTAATGCTGTAAAATCTCAAACCACATATGATTTACCATTGGCCATTAACCAGGAGTTTTCCATTAGCTTTGTTGTTTCACAGTGAATCAAACTGTACCTGTCAATGAGGGCGATGATGATGTTCTTAACATTGACGTGTTGATGGAGCTCAGCACAGGAACGCAGGAAAGGGTTCAGGGTCTGAAGGTGGAACTCATCTGGGAAAACCTGACAAGAGAAGTATAGTATAGTTTAGGAGTGCACGGTTGTGCTTTTATCTAAAAATGGATTCAGTGCATCAGTGCATTCTACTCTACCCTTCTGTTGTAGACATCAGCCTATCCATAATGATTAACATCCATTCCATACTGTAGACACGAGTAGGATCCATTCATGTCACGTCATTCTAGTGGTCTCCAGTCTGCAGTGTAGTACCACACACTTCACCAGTGGACCAAGAAAATTACATTGAATTACATCCAATAATTGTTAAATAATTTTTTTATTTTCACGCCCCCCCGGTCCATCCGCGCTCACCCAAATTTAATCTTACTATTTCTTTCTCTTTCTTTAGGGAATTTAAATGTCAGTATCATTAAATTAATGAAGTTTGAGCAAGTTCACCAGAGTCAGCCCCCAGCCTGCCTCCCACCCTAGTCAAATGGCAGGTTGTGGAGGAGACAGACTGCAGACACAGGTTGGAGCAGCTCTACAGTCTGAAAGGTGGTTTATATTTTCAAACAGTTTCTAGAAAATACAGGTCCTCTTATTCACACAGCAAATAATAATAAAAAAGTGAAAAGACGGAATACTTTGTTAAATCACTGTATGAGCAAAATTTGATTGATAGTGGGTTGAATTAAAACAACTGAATTTCCTCTGAACACTACTGGTCTCATCAGGCATTGCTTGTACACTCAGTAACAGCTGAATCAACCGATTACCTCAACTTATGGTATCTAGAAAGTATCAATCCAATACCAGTGCTCTGTTACTTTCAAATTTAAACTCTGCATACCAGCCTGCATGGGATCAACTGGGATCATTTCTATGAATGAGTGAGTGAATGAATGTAAGTGAATGCAAGTGATAGCAAGAAACAGTGAATTATATAGCATAGATAAAAAGAGTGTATTTAATGTGGATTGTCATTCCATGGCCAATATCAGATACTAAGGTCAGTATTGGCTCCACCACTAATCCAAGAGTTTGAATCAAAGCACCAGAGGTGTCTACCTGAATGATGCACTCCATTAGATACTCCTGAGCCAAAGAGTCTCTGCAGTTCACAACCTGCTCCAGCACTCCAGCAAGAACAATCTGTGGAGAGAAACACAGAGGAAACCCAGTTTTAGCTGCTTTTCAGTCTGGTGACAAAGAAGCATACAGCACTGCTAGAGCGAGACTAAAAGCAGGCATCAAGGAGACATCGGGAGAGATGCCAACTCCCCAGGAAATTCTGACATGATTATGGCCAAAAAAAAAAAATTCAGAAAAGTTCTGGACAAGGACATAACACAGAAATGTGTTTATATACTTTCTTAAGAATTAGCTATAAACTGAAATTCTGATCTTATTTAAACCACTAGAAGACATGAGTGCAAACCAAATATTACCACTGTATGGATCTAATCTCAAAATCAATCTTATCTAAAAACAACAGACAGACAAACACACACCTGTTTGTACTTTTCCACGTTGACGCCCTCCAGCTGGCTGAGGCGGACGAGGTTTGTGCCCACCAGAATCCTAAGCTCCTGTCGTTCCTTTTCTCTCTTCTCTCGGTCTCGGCTGTGACCCTGATGCTGCATTCGAACCCATAACTTGTTCATTTCCGCAAAGTTCAGAAGGACAAAGTCGATGGAGTCATTGATATCGCCCGTCATTTCCTCTGTTCCCCTGTGGAGTGAAGTTAAAAAGCACAATGTGGCATGTATGTTTGGCAAGCAAGCCAGAATAGCATGCTATGAGACAGCGCAGTGGACAGGAGACTCAAAGAGACGCAGTTTGACTTGCTTACTCTGACTGCTCTCCATCATCTGGCAGTATGTTGCGGGTGCACTGCAGCAGATAGTTTCTGAGGAAGAGCCCCCTGAGCGGGTGCTGGACACCACGACACATCTCGACCAGGTCCTTCAGAATGTCCTTTCGAGACTGGGGGAAGGAGCGAACGTACACCACGCCCACTGTGATCAGCAGATAGCTGTGGAGAGAGGGGCAATCATCTGTTAAGATGTATATTTTTGCCAATACTTTCAAGTATAAACCCAAAACAAAAATCAATGGGAAGGCTGGCGTCTATTTAGAGAGGCAGCATGCTGAACTCTGACTGATAATCAAGCAGCAGGTAGTAGAGAAGCAGTAGGAAACTTTGATTTCATCTTTTCACAGCTTCTGAGTTCCAGTACAGACAGTGCAGTACTGTTTCATTTGGATTCAGACACAACATGTCCTGTAAAAGATATGTTTACTAGTCCCTAGATTTACTGATGCTCTTAGAAAATGTCATATTTTGATTACTAGCCACATAGCTCAAAATCTACCTAACTCTAAAAGCTAGAAGCTGAGACAGCACCCAACCACCCCAAAAACATTAGTTTTTTTACAGGGTGATATGTATATTTGTTCTTCCTCAGAATCGCTGGCTTTCTGCAACTCTGACACATTTTGTTGTTCCTAAAAAGCAGTTCACCGCGTTTTACTCGACCGTCTCCCACACATGTTCCATTTATCAACATTTGTTCTGCTCCTCTTTACCGTTTGTCATGTAGTGCAATGCACACTTGTAATTTGTTGATGCGTCATAACAAACTGATAATTACTTTCCAATGGCAGACTCGTCACATAAAAATTAGACTGCAGAGGCCTGAATCAAGATCATAATCATATTTCCATTAATTTTGCAGCCCTACTGAACAATTAATCTGAAGGCCAGGCACTCTCTTGTGTGTGTGTGTCTGTAGATCAGCCCCGCCATCGTGCACACAAGCATTGACACAGACAGCAGAGTCGTGAATGGCAAAATTCCATGTACAGAACCAGACAGCCTGCATTATCAGACCTAATAATCAGCTGAAATTCTGTTCAATTTCAAGCAACAACAAAGCAACAAAGACCTTGCTAATGTGTAAGCAAGTGCCTGTAGCCCTATGTGCTGCAATACACACCCTGCAATATACATCTGTATTGAAAAGCTTGAACATTTTAATGATTTACAATGTATTAAATATGTTGTGTGCAGATTGGTGGAATTTCTGAAGCTACTTCCTGTTTGATTGAAGTTCAGTCAAGGTAATACTCACAGTCTGGGGATGATGTTGCCTGCATACTGGACCAGCTCATACAAATCTGCCACCTTGCGTCCTTTGGCAAACTCATCAGTCAGATAAACTTCTAGGTAGTGGAGTTCGTCAGAGATGGCCATATCTGAAAATACTGTCAGGGACCAATGCAGACCCACCATGAATCATTCTCCAAACAGTAAAACATTATGTTTTCAGTATCTTTCACTTGATCTGGTCTGTGAAATCTCCCCTGTGGGCATAGGGTCACAGCACCCATAGGAACACCACCAGTCTCCTGAACGTCACAGCCTTACAGCAGCTAGTTCACCCTCCTTGGCCACAGCAGCCCGGGTTCAGTTCCAGCACGCAGCCCTTTACTGCATGTCACACCCTCATCTCTCTCTCTTCCTGTCTATCTTCACCCGTCCTATCAAATAACAGACAGTCAATGCCAAGCAGTCTTGACTGTCCTTTGTTGCCTTCCTGGCTTAAAGCTGCTAGAATCCAGGGCAGTGCAGACGGGTCCACGGAGTTTGGGTTGGAAGATTAAAGGGGAAACATTTAGTCATTTAAAGTCATTTGTTCATTTGTGTGCCAAATCTAATGGTTCTCACTCCATGATCATCTAAACACTGGCTTACAGTGGACTGATTGTTGACAAAACAGGCAACTTTTCTATGAGACAGGCCAGCACTAACTGTTAGTCACTAACAGGTTTAGGTACGATTTAACACAAGATTCAGCAGTCCACTGTTAAAATATCTTTACAGCAATGCTATGTGAGGCGTCATTATATGGTCTTGTATCCGTCTCAATGCAATTTCCAACATGAATAACATACAGATGAAGGATACAGAGCTCATAGTAGCTCTTTGGAGAAAGCATGGAGGTCCTCAGTTCGCCCAACATGTTAGAGGCATGCTTCAGAGCATCCATCAGCTTGTTCTTGTCCTGCAGATTGCACAACAGAGTCAAGTTATGAACATACAATATAATCACAACAAAAACATTTCAAAATTAAAAAAAAAGCTATTATATCACACAAATAACAAGTTACTCTCCGATTTAAATGTAATGCAACCCATAATCTTTGACAAATGAAAGGGTGGACAGTGCTTCCATGTATGGAATATATTTGAGCAAACATCCAACACACACAAGCATCCTGACAATGTGCTCTTCCACCATGAGCCTCCAGAACAACTTCAATGCTCTGTGGCATCTCGATTCTCCAAGTGTGTGAACTTTTACTAGAGGGATGAACAGCCTTCTTCCAATAGACTCTCCCTCATATGTTCCTCCTCATTCATTACCTCTCATGAAACACTACAGTAATTGCATTTTTGTTTCAGTTTCTCTGAATGTTTTTATTGCATTCACAATGAATAGCACTATGCATGTTGCCCAAAGACCGTAAGGCAGGTTTTGAAAAGTCTGGGGCTGGTGGTGACACCATGTTAGTATTGGTAGAGTCTTCTTCTATTATGCCAACAGTATGAACAACTGGTGCCTCTCATCCTGGTAATTAAGACTGAATTGCCACTTTGTTTCACTTCATTAGTGATTTGAATCACTTTTTGATCCCTGTGAAAGGTCAGAATTGTGGGCAGTGATTCAGTGGTCTGGAATTCTCATCACAAGGGGTGCATTACACAAAACCGGGTTGAGAAACAATAGTTTCAACAATTATCACAACCATGATGATATTTATAACCAACTGAAATGAATCCTACCAGGCATCGCTTCATCTGGAATGACTGGACCTTGACAGCCTGCACAGCTTCATCTAGAAGCTTCTCCTGTTCGTCCTGGGGAGACTGCTGTGTGGTCGGCTGTAATACCAGGAGAATGGAAACACAATTTATTTCAATCTTTGTTCGATCTAAATTGTAGCTTCTGCTATTTGCATATTACACTTGGCCATATTGCCATTTCGATAATATTTGGATTAATTTTGCAGCCCTAGATTAATGTACTAGCAATTCTTTACTATCTATTATTTGTCAGAATGAAGCCATTACATTACAGTACCATCCTATATCACCTTTGAATTTCAAATTAGTGCATTTATCTACTTTAAAGCTGCAACTTTTTAATAAAAAAATGTGTTTGTCATATTCGCTAATACTTCCACTATATCCTGACTGTAGCACATGAGAGGAATAATCTGTGAAACAATCAGGTTCCTCTGGCATGGTGTTGAGCTCCCAATGACATTTGCAAAGAATCCACCGGGCCTGAACGAAAGCAACCAATCAGAGCCAAGGAAGCTATTTGAGTATTGAGTCTCATTCGTAGTGCTTCATATACAGACACTTTGAGACTGTGGGAGTGAGAAGTTGTTTTTATAAAAGTGACCTACTGTAGTTTTAAGTTAGCAGTTGACTGGACTGAAAACAGAACCAGACATTATACTGTGTGGTTCTTCTCACAGATCGATCAGATACACTTACACCATACCGGACACATTTACTGGCTTTAATCTGACAGAGACCTGCAATACTTCCCAATGTTTTCATTCAGTGTTTTTATGTAGTATTTGGACGGATGTTTCAACAGTTTAACCCCCGTTTCATCCATATCCTGTGGAAAACCTGAATAGGACCTCTATTTCCTGGCTGTCCAAAACAAAACCCCTAACTCCGCTACAGTTCCCATTAAAGTGCAAATCATATGTAACTGCATGTTTGGGGTGGCGCAGGCATGTTCGCACTATATCCGCAAATATGAATGTCCGTAAACATGTATGAAATATGTGTGTGTGTGTGTGTGTGTGTGTGTGTGTGTCCCTAGCCTTCTGGCAGCTTGGGCATAACAGTGCTGCTGACAGCTGACACAATTCCTAATGTTTACGCTGAACCGAGTTCAGGCCATAGTAACATTGAGCTTCAGTGAAATATGACACAGCAAAGCGGAAGAGTGCGCTAACAACAGCTAGCGTTAACGGTAGTTGTCACCCGTTTTGTCCCTGAAATGTCCAGAGGTTGTATTTACTGGCTCAACGCGAAATATCAGGGCAATGTCTTATACACAAAGCCAATAAAAGAAAGGAAGTAACACACCTAGCTGGCTCCTCGCTTGCAAACAGTTGGTAGCACGTTAGCCTAGCTAGCCGCTGTCTGACGTTAGGCCATAGCAGCACTCACATACAAGGTCTGATTTTAGATCAGTTTGAGGTCGACACTTGACATTAGCTGTTGCATTGAGCGAAACTGCACACATGCGGATATCTGAAGGACTCATGCAAACGCACGGAATGATATTGTATTAGGAGAAGCGCTTACCATGATTATTAGATGTGTATCAGATCCGTCGGAGAGGCTGGCCTGTCATGTGACTCACTTTAATGCTGCCTTCACGGTCCGCACTCAGCGAGCACATCAGGGGACAGGCGTGGTCTGTGTTCCGCCACTTGCAGGATATGGGCGACTTCCACAACACTATGGTGCATGTTACATTATTTATCCTTTATTGAGCTCTCAGGTTCATACAGTCGAAACGGCTGAGCTCAATTGAGCAGCGAGTCAAACTGAATTTACTGTAAGAAATAAATATATATGTCCAACAAAAGATTCTTTAAAAAGCAGAAGTTATCACACTTGATACAATAATGGTAGTGACGTTTACAGCTGTACTGCATATCTTATTCTTTACAAATACATTTAGACACTGCACTGACATACAATAAGTCAGAAGCTCTAATGATTATTATATAAATCATTTCAATCACATTAGATTGTTCAGATACATTGGAATTCCTGTCAGTATGTGTATGTAAGCCAGTAGTGTGGACAAAAATAATCTGGGCCCCATACAGCCTCAGTGGACCCCCTACCACTTTTAATGCTTGTAATGTCCTAACAAATTACTGAATTCAACAAGTTAACACATGTATCTGCAGGGATTATACTGGGGCAGGGTAAAAAAACTAAAATGTCTCTACAATCTGAAATCTGTCTGTTGCTACATAGAAGTAGCATAATACAATTTAAAGACATACTTTACACAGTATTAAGAAAAACTGCACATCTTTATCACACTCAGACTGATTGACTTAATACATAAGTAGTAATATCCTCAGTCAAACTTATTCAACTTTTCTGATGCTATTGAAGATTTATTTGCATCAGTAATCTTTGTTCATTAGTAAACCTATTTCAACAATTATTACCTGAGAAACACTGTACATTACAAGCAAATTTGTTTCTAAGAACTTTTGGAATAACAACATGTCCCATTCCATGTATACATATACATACAACATGTATAATTCTCTGACTGGACTTCCCAGTTATACACTATGTCCATTTCGGTCTGTCTATTGGAGTCAGGACCCTTTTCACAGAAGCTACATACACAGAAGTTGTGACCTTTTCCAAATAAACTTTGTGTTTGTGGACAACTACTGACCTGAATTTGGTGTCCTGGATGCATGATAAGATACTCAAAATTAGGCTCAAAGGTCAAAAGGTTGCCAGGTTTTCCTAATTTGACACTTTGTAATCTTTTTGAGACCAGCCCATGTAAAACTCAAAAGGAATTATGCATGCTCACCTGGAGGATTTTTTGGTATGTATAAAGTTGTATAACTGTACTTTTTATTTGTATAAATAATACTGTATCTCAGTGTTCACAACGTTGTAAAGACGCAGAAGTTGGTACTTTAAAAGTAGTTTCAAAGTTAGGAAAAACATTTTTACACAGTCTGACAGTATCAATTATTTACTGTCTACATGCCACAAGAGGGCAGGGAAGATCCATCTGAGCAGCATCCATCTGTCTATCTTGTATTAAAATCCACTCTAAAAGCCTGTGACGGAGGTCAGGAGCACTCAGTCTGAGACTGAGGTGTGTGAGGTTGGGAGGGGGGTGAGACAAATCCACTTACTTCTCTGTGACCCCTGTGGTTAAAGTGGATGAAACTTTGAAGCTCCCTGAAGGGGGAGTCCACAATCCGTATCTAAAACTCACTGTTGGTCATCATATAACATAGTAGTGTCACAGCCAGCCTGCTGCTGATGGTGACACTGCAGAACTGTCAGCCGATGCCTCTAAAAATAGTTTGAAACAAACTGTAGCATTACGTTCACATCGAACTGCCTCCTACAGATGACCTAAGAGGAAGGTCAATCTATTCTTCTGTTATTATTTGATGGTAGAGTAAAAATTGCAATGTTTCCCTTGAAATGTAGGGGGGGATTAGAGGGATAAAGTAGCAGAACATGGAAACACTCAAGTAAAGAACATGTACATCAAAACTGTATATTGTAAAGTAAGTTGTTTTGATGTACTAGGTTTCTGTCCACCACTGTCCAGTGAACAAAGTTGCAATAAGTCAACTTTAAATTAAAGCTGCATAAACTGATAGTTTTGGCCACAAGCCGGAGGCAGAACAAGCTGTAACACAGCACTATCTGTGGGCAGGGACAGATTACAGCCTCAGTCTGGAGGTTAACACCAGCATGTGACCAGTAAAATAACTGGCATGTGTGAACTACAAAAATGGAGACACGCAATACAATTTACAAGAGGAAGAATTCACATATTTAAAACAACTGACTCTTCCTAAGCCCCCGCCCCTTTTGTTTTGTGTGTTGAAAAGACAGCCATATGTTCAAGATGGTTAAAAGTCCAAAGTGACATATATACTGTAACATTTTAGCTAGAAACAATGGTTGGGTTACATTAGAGTAAACTTTATTGTCTGCGAGGGGAAATTTGTCTTGGACACAGAGCTACAGTCTGTTGCTTCACAGAAAAACATCACAAAACATGAAACATCTTAAAACATGAGACATTTGACAAAACTTTAACAGTGACTGATGCATATTAGCTCACTAATTAGCAAGTGTTTTGCTAACATTAGCAAACTTAAGATGTGACTATATGTTGCTTCTTTAAAATGTGGTCATCTTTTCTACATAGAAGAGCCTAGCATATACAGTATTTAAGTACAGGAAGGGAGAAAGTTGCTCAACTACTATTGGAGCACAGGGCAAAAAAAGGCGGGACTTAGGAAGGGTTGATTAGAAAATACTCCATAAAGAATTATGTTACTGTGATCTAACTTACCGTCCACATCTCCTCTGTGCAGTTTAACATGCTTGATGGTCTGAAATCTGAGGGGCAGAGGGCAGATGTTCTATATGTCGAAGGCCCTCCCTGCAGTTTTACCCGGTGCAGATCCAGGCCTGAGTCTGGCTGAGCCCCCCCCCTCCTCCCTCCTCCCTCTGCTACATAAGCATAAACTTAACTCCAAAACTGTTACAGCGCTCTCTCCCACATCCTTCCAGAGAAATATCCTTGCTTGCTCTCTTCCACACCAGCCCTCCAGATGTCCATGCTCTGTTCAGCCATCACAGTCGGTCCTATTGCTTTCTCCACAGTTCAGACCTGAGGCTTTTCCTTTGGAATCAAATTTTGTTTGACTAGATTGATTATATGGGACAGAATAGGAATATCTGTTTTTTTTTTTCTTAAATAACACACTAGCTCCTATTCCACGGCACATACAGTATATTTTTCAAGGTCATAATTTACCTCATTGTAGACACGAGATACTGTTTTGTGAAGACAGGCGAACTGCCTTGTTTTTGTTATATTCTGTGCACAGTTTCATTCGGGCAGTAACCCCTGAGATCCATGTTTGTCATTTATTTGTGACTCCACACTGAGCACAGCTCTCCCCTGTGATCAAATGCTGAACAAACAGTTGTTGTGCCAATATCATGTTTGGTGAAGTCTCTTATTGTGGATGATGCTCCTTTTCTTACACTGCCACGGTGGCCTCTCATGATGTCTTCTCAGTTTTTCTTCTTGCATCAAACTCAAAATGAAATTCTGCACAGCATTTACATTCCAAGGACAGACACAAGTAAAACAAACAAGGCAGATGAACAAAAATGAACTAGATATGGATTGCTTATATCTATACTTAAAGCCCCCCATCAATCAAAAATCATGATCTTGTTCCTACAGTGTGCTCTTTGAATGATGTCTGTGCAGAGTTCTACACTAGAAGGATGTTTTCACATTCATCTGCTGAAAGTGGAAAGTTTCTCTGTGCTCATTGAACATCTGATTTTAAGGGGCGGGGCCTACCAGCAGGATTTGTGACATCACAAATAGTGAGGAAGTCAGTCCTGGTCCAGTGTGCAACTTGTACAGTGTGATGTAGAAACCTGAATCCACCAGTGCACATCCACTGAGAATGGACTTTACAGTGAAGGAGGAGACATCTTGTGTCCAGCAGGAAAACTTTAGAAACAACATTTGCATATTCAGAGATTCTGGAAGTTTAATGTGGAAAAAACATATCAGACACGTTATTGTACCAAGCGGACTACATGTGTATATGTCTTAATACAAACATCTGGAGTCAGTCTGGAGCTGCTACTAACTGCTTCATAATTTTATTCTACATATTTCCCTTCCTTGATGGTTAACGTCTGAAATAAAAACACTAAATTGAATTAGTATGTTGTTAACTAGTAGTGTAAAGATATATTACAACAGTAAAATCGCAATGCAAATAGAAGATTCGTCCAAGGAGGAGGGAGGGATGGTGCTTTTGTTTTGGTTGTTCCGAGGTTATATTTGTTTCTTTTTATTATTCTGCATTTTGTATATTTGAATAGTGTTGTTTCTTCAGTGTTGTCAATCTCAAAACAAGCTTTTGGTTGTAAAGCTTTAAATTCATGGCAATAAACATTTGATCACAAAAAAACGTGACTGTTGACTTGAATTTTGACTTTGCTTGTTCGATGTCCTACGTCACTCGTGCAGTAGCTGTATCGAGGCAGTTTCACTTTAACAAAGAGAAGGAAATATACATTGTTTTGCACAGTTTATACCCTACCGCAGGAATAAAAAATGATTCTATGATCTGATTAAGAGAATATATTTTGTAGATTTTTGTAAGAGAAATAAATGAATCAGTATTGTGAACTGTATTAAATAGTGAGTTACATCCCTAGTTAACAAGACTGCGGACAACCACAAGAGCTACTGTGTGAGGCTGTACTGCACAGAGGTGCTTTGAGGTAAATGCTGACATCAGAATGCTCACAATGACAATGCTAACATGCTGATATTTAGCAGATAAAGTTAGACTATGTTCATCCCCTTAGTTTAGTGCTACACTACAGTGACTGTTGTACCATTCACTCAATCACTCATTAGTTTTGCAGGATAAAGTTTGGATCGGGTCAGCACCAACGTCAGGACTGGACTGGGATAATAACCTCCAGCCCAGAGCACACATTCACGACAGAACACGCAAACTGTAACTGTCTGTGCCACCAACACATCTTTTAGTTTCATTACTAAACACAGAAACAGCTTCCAAAAACAAAAAACAAAAAGTGCCTTCAGTTTCAAGAGTTAGTCACTTCTATAATGAAGGCTACAGGCACAAGTATTCATATATATCATTTTTAGGGTGTCTGTGAGGCACTGGGCAGTTCCTCAGAGCTCTGATTGGACTGTTGATCATCGTGAAGCTCTGGTAGCTGTGAGTAAGTAGAGCTACTTCCACCTGACAGAAGAGAATACAGCTCTTTATTTTCTACGCTATTGTCATTCAAAGACATCACCTGCTTTCCTACAGGGCACTATAATGTTTGGTGCCATTTATTTGTTTTTTAAATCAATCAATCAATCAATCAATCAATCAATCAATCAATCAATCAATCAATCAACCAACCAACCAACTCGGGAAGGGTGGTTGTGATATTATGGGGCTGCTAGTATGCAATGTAGTCGTTCTGCAGCCTTTAACTGCACTTTCTTGCATGGCTCTTCCCCTCTTAATGCGCTCCCTCTCAGCTCTATCTTCTCTCTTTCACCTGTCCATTTCTTCTCCATACACTGACTGAATGCTGTCAGGATGTGAACGTGATGATCACACCATCGGGATGCAAGCAGGCGGGGTAGTCTACAGCTCAGAGTGACTGTTTTGTTGTTCACTTTGTATATCTGTCACTGGCCCGATACTGGCCAATCTAGCCATCTATCTAATGTGGGCATCATATTATCAGCTGTCAGCAACATCAGTCCAAACTAACTGGAATCAGTGTCAATCAGTCACAAACCCTAATACACACAGAACATGTGGTCATTTTGGGGGTGAAGTCCACTGTGTGTGGACAAGATTAGGTTCCTGTCATCTGCTGCAAGCTAAGCCAAGTTAAACACACAACTGCCCGATAGAGGACAAACTTTAAGTCCATCGTTCCATTGGCTCCAGTCCTTTTTTTCCCCTTCCTGTGGGTCCATCAGTTAGATAATCTGCTCTTTAATTCCTCCTGTTGTTCCTCTTCTTTTCCCCAGGAAGTCAAAAGCTCAGACTGAATCATGCCTAGATGGTTGCGTCTGTGAAGTCTCGTCTGGCAAATCCTTTCTGAAAAACATAAGACACAATACAACAACAGTAAACCATGTAAAAGCAGCAAACATGTTCCCAGAAAGGGATGTAGTGATTGGGCTAGATATTTACACTCCATCCATCATTTGCTTCATGCTCTGTCCACACTCTGTACAGTCAAGATAGTTTTGCAGTTACATTTATTGTAATGCACTTTTTAGCTGCATATATGAGTCTTGAGTCTGTCCTACAGTGTGGTCAAACTCTGCTGTCACATTATTCTGATTGTAACTTTATTACACTGGCTTGTAGTTTGTTTTAGAAACCATTTTTAAAAGTGCAGTATATTTATAGGTACTATGAATAAAAAGTACGCAATTTGAAACGCAGCATTTGTCTGCCATTTGGTGCTCAGCAGGTAGTGTACAGCCGAGTTATTATAGTTGGTAGTTTCCAGAGTGGGTTTGCTCTTTTCAGTTTAGTTTCTATTGTTTAAAAATGTTTAAATTCAGTTCATTTTTGATTAGTTTATTTTTATTATAATATGGGGGTATTGTTCAACATACAAACAACTTGACTCACAGTCATGTAGATATCTCAGTCTCAATAAACATATGCACCAATGCCTCCTCATGCTTGTTGTGTTGACAAATTTCATCAACGTGACAAAGAATACTAAAGACATTCCTGTATGTCTTACTTTATTTTAGTTGATTCTGTAAGTACACAATATCGTCTAAAGTCCAGTTTGTAACTAAAATGTTTAGGTTTTTTTACACCTAGTTAGTTTTAGTTAACTATAATAACCTCAGTGTCCAGTGAAAAGAAGATATTTTGCTTAAGACTAGTTTGTCTGCACTGTGACTTGTGAAGACAGCCCAGTCCTGTGTGAACTGCATGAGACTGGGTTGAGGACAGACACACAACAGGACATCTATAAAACATAATAACTTCACCATGGTCGCACAGAAGTCAGATAAACACATGCCTTTTGTTTTCCTCTGTCGGGTTCAGTTTGGCTGGGTCTTTTGTGTGTGGAGATGGGGTGGGGTGGGGTGGTTAAACAGTGCACGGGGACTGCCAAGTCCACCTAACTCTTTTTTTATTCTTCCCAGAAGGCACAAAGGAGACAAACCCAAAGCATCTCAGCCAGATTCTCTGCATTCCTGCTGAGAGCGGTCACTAAGAAACTAAAACTCCACAAACCTCAGGCCCGACCCCGGCAGTGATAGACACATGTAGAGTATTCAGTGGACAAAGTAGGGGTCCTCACAAGAATGTAGAGAGGAGTGTTGGCACTACTTTTGACAAAAAATAAAGGGATGTTACATCTCTAACATTTCCACTTACAATTACAAACCCTTAGAAGCAGGTATTGGAGGAATAAAGTGTGGCATTCCACAGCTGATTAGTAAAACCTCTCTTTCTTCTCCTTCTATAAAAGGAGCTGCTTCAATGTTGGTGCCCAGCCTGCTGTAATCCAGTTAGCCACTCACTCTGGACCTTTATCAACATCATAAACTGGGGAAAACCAGCTTGCTCTTAGTTACAGTAACATATTGTCAAATTTCTAAATTCACTCCCAATTTCAGTTAATTGCCATTATTCAGTGGAAAACATCGTTCAGCATTCCCTGTGATTTTACATCTTTACGTTTCAAAGTTTGGATTATTATTTAAAAAAGGTCCAGTGTGCAGCATTAAGCTGCATCTAGCGCTGTCTCACTAGCTCCACCCTCCGTTTCCAAGTGCGAGGGAGAAACTACGGTGGCCGCAAAAAAAAAAGAAAAGAAAAGTGAACACCCCTATCTAGAGCCAGTGTTTGGTTTGTCTTCTCTGGGCTACTGTAGAAACATGGTGGTTCAATATGGTGGCCTCCACAGAAGGTGAACCCTGCTGATGGCTTACCAATGAGTACTTCTGTCAGAAATGTCGAATAAAAAGATTAAACTGAATGTTGAGAGTGAAAGAAACATCACCACTGATTTCCCAATGTGTGACATGGCAGATTGAGAGCCGTCCCAGCGCAGAGAAGAACTTAAGTAACTAGTGATTGCTATCAACTACAGAGAAAATATTTGCGTTTGCGGAGCCAAGTATCCTCAGATAAGGCATGACCAGGGGCCAACAAGATGCAGGCTTTCAGAGCAGAGTGAAGGAGGGGGGGGAGTGGACCAGTGAGGAAAGAGGAGTGGAGGTCAAATGGGATAAGAAACAGATGTGTGCTGATGTAAACTAAAAAACCATCTGGTGGAGACAAAAGTTTTAAAACACAATGTCACCCACACATTCTGCGCGCCATTTTAACTGCAGGCCCATGTCTCCATTCACACACCCAGCAATGAAATGAAATACCATATTACAGTTCTGGATTAACAGGACATAGTAAATCTGTGAGGGCTTTGCATTTTCAATCAGAAAAAAATCCTTCTAAACAACAATCATCATCTGAGACAATTATGTATATCCTACAATATTTGTATTTCCAGAAACGTGCAAAAACCATGAACGGCCCTATCTACAGCCAGTGTTTCATTTGTCCTTACTGGGCTACTGTAGAAACATGGCAGTTCAACATGGCGGCCTCCACAGAAGGCGACCACGCAACGGCTCATTCAAGGTAACAAAAAGACACAATTCTTAAATTCAGGTGATTATACACTAATGAAAGCATAGCTATGAATATTATATTCCATTTCTGCCAATAGACCCTCCTGAATATTACACACTGGACCTTTAATTATGTGATTTAATGGTAGATTAAAGTCACCAAATCACATGAATTCCACTAGAGCCAGAAGCTGAGATTAATGCTGCTAAGCTTCGGTTGGTTCTCCACCATGGTTGACTTTCAAAATGGATCCTTTCAAAAAAATGTTAATTTAGTATAAGCTTTAGTTAGGGCTTGCTGTGGCTATCTCACCAGTTAGCTCTAGTTTGCAGTCTTTCTGTGGCAGAGAGTGCAGTAAATGCCACAATGAGTTCAAGATCTTACAGATTACCAAGCCAAAGTGCAGTTAGGGGAGTAGAAATAATGGCATATTAAAGAAAAACAGTAATTAGTGTCTTTCGTCTCAATAATGTGATGTGTTTGAGTGCAACCGAATATGTGCGCTGAGATTAGAAAGTGATGTTGAACAAATCCATAATGGCATGTGCACAGAGAAAGTGAATCATTTTATGTGATTACATAGAAATTTAATGCGACACAAATGGCACAAATACGCAAAATTCGCCCCATTTGCGTAACTTGAACATATTCAACTTTGAGTGAAAAATTCATGGGTATTGTGGGGCTTTTGTAGTGTTGTCTGGGGAGGACCAGAGAGACAGAGCTACTGCTCACTGACAACAAGCTGCTTGATTTTGGGGAGGTCTGCAGAAGAGAGCAGGGGGCAGAGCCGGAGCTCTTGGAGTAATAAACAGCCGTAGTCACTCCAGATCCTGCTCTGATCTGGAGCCGTAACAGCAAGAGGAGAGCTGAGAGTTTATTTTCTTTACTTTTGGGACTAAAAAGTGGAGATTGCCGGACATAAAAGGAGATGCTGGGAGAAAAGTGAGATAGGGAGTTGGGCTACCTGGTAAAAAATGTGTCTGTTACTTGATCAGCAAGTTTGGGGTTCAGCATCTTGCAGCAGCAGGAGCACAGGATTGAACCACCAACCTTCTGATTGGTGGTCACCCACTCTACCTCCTGTGTCACAGCCACCACCAAAGAGCTCTGATAAGTCCGCTGTACACTTACCAGTTTGTAGTCTTTGTGCAGTTTGTTGTACTGGAACATGTTGCAGAGGACAGTTGAGGCCGCTCTGGCAGCTTTTAGACTCCCACAGCTAAACCAAGACACAGTGACAGACAGTTAGAAACGAGGAGCACTAACAGGGAGGAAATACCACAGCATAGGGAGAGTGGTGAAACCCAAAGATAAACACTCAAAAATGACCTGCAAATTAGCAGAAGGTTACATTTTTGTTGGGCCAATGGCGGGGCGAGCAGTGACAGCTCCAGAATATGTAAAGTCATGAACAGGAAACAGAAGTCACTGAGAGGTCACAATCCTGGTTTAACTGAAAGATTGTAGGACCTAAAAAAATATGAACCAATAAGGAGGATGAAGAAAGGGGTTTGTTGCAATAAAACATTATTGGTTAGCAGCGAGTTCTACCTGTTGTCATGGGATGTCTTGATGCCCACCAGTTTCGGCAGGCCATCGAAGTACGAGATGTCGCGGGCTGCCAAGGAACTGCAGGTGACCAGGTTATTGAGAGCTCCGCAGATGTTGACCACCACCTCGCTGGATGGCGTTTTCTGAAGGCCGTCACTGGGCAGCTTGGACACCAGAACTCTCACCATGTTCTTAGCTGCATTTACAAAGAGCGAAGGTGGTTGTGTCTTACAGAACTACTTTTAAATAAACGCTTTAAACTTTATAATTATACATCATGAGGAGTGCTACCCAGCTTGTGAACTGTTGTATAATGTCTTTTGTGGTTCTTGTTCAGCAGCTCACAGGCTCTTGTGCTGTGGTTGTCCCAAGTTATACAAAGGAGGAAGTAGGCCTGTCACGATGACTACTTTTGTTGTCCCAGAAATAATTGTGATAAACAACTTAGTTGTTATTTTAAGACCATCATACCTCTGATATTGACAAAGGAAATAGTTTTTTGTATGAGATTGGGGGAATGACACACAGCAAAGGGCCACAGGTCAGATTCAAACCCATAGCTGCTGCCATAAGGACTCAGCTCTACCAGGCGAGCTATAGGGTCTCCCTGCGTGCCTATTCTATTTTATCTTCTAGATGTGTTTCATATTCTGTTTTTACATTAGATTATATTCAAAGCGACCGTATTATTTTATGAAGTCAGGATTTGTTGCCAAGGAGATCACTGCTGTATTATGATTAAAAGGGCAACACACAGCCCTGGGAACCAAGGTCATTACACTGTTCAAAACATTGGATGTTTGGTGATAAGCACTTTTTGTCTCAGTAAGAAAAACTGTAACAAAAAACTGGACTAGTCAGTAATATTAACTAACTAGCTATGCCCTGTGTTGTTGCACTTGCTTGATATTTGGCTGTGTTAGCAAAGTTATATGGCTGTGTCACAGAGGAACATACAGAGCGCTGAAATCACAGATTGGACTAAGCTTTGTCCGCCTCCTAGCTGGTTAACTGCATCTGTAGCTGTTCAAACTTAAGTGTAATTATTATATTAATAGTGCCTGACCACAAAGATACAAACAATAGAGAGATCCAGCCCAAAGAATACTTAAGCAATCCTAGTTTGCATCTTACCCATGTGGTCTTTGTTGGTGCAGTGTCTAGCCAGGTTTCTCAGCAGGCCGGTCAGCGGCCTCAGCTCCATGTCATTCTCGGTGTCTAACAGGTCCAGCAGAATGGGCAGCATCCTCTCCTGCTCCACTACCACACCAGTCAGCACTGATGACCACTGGCGAGAGGGGCAGAGATCACATGAGTTCTGTTCCGTCGATTGTGTGCTATTGTTGTTTTTCTTGCTGAAGAATTCAATTCCAAAGCAACCAAACAAATAAATCAGAGTATGAGGTCTTACCCTGGCCTCCCCAGCAGTGATATTTTGCAGGGCTCCTATGGTGGCCTCGCGGCTGGTGGAGTTGCTGTCACTGTTCTGCAGTACAAGCCTGTATAGCCCCACCACCTTAGGGTGCCACAGCCACTCAGCCCCATTAGGCTGTCGGGACACCTCAGACAGTATGGACATATTCTGGTTATGCTGCGGAGGAGGAGGTGAAAGAGAAAGAACATTTTCATTTGTTGTATAGCAACATGTAGTATATTCTGTAGTAGCTACACAACAGTGAGATTATTATATTTTCTTTCACTTTTGTGATATAAGGTTTTCTCTTTTTGCTCTCTCAGGGTTGGGAGAGAGTTGCCGCCCCAATCGAAGGAGTTTAAGTATCTCGGGGTGAGTGATGGTACTGTTGCCAAATCTGTCCAATGGGCATGAATGTTGAGGTTGACTGATGGATTACCCAACCTTTTTAGTGCTGGTACACTTTGTCATGGATCAAAGGTAGGTCAAGGAAATAATTCCCACCAGGACCATTAAGTATCAACCTTTGGAGACCCTTCCATTAGATCCTGACTGTAACTTCTTAAAGTAACTTTTTAAAAGAAAGAACTTCAATACTCATGTTAACACGTTAATTAATTTAACATACACTGTGCACTGTGAATCAACTCTAGCTATTATAAATATATATAATATATAATTCTGCTGAATAAACTTTGCAGTAACACCGATCTATTACCACAAGCTTTTTTTTCTGTTCAGTTTGATATCGGGCAACCGCTGTATCGGTCAGGCTCTAATTTCCATACCAAGTTTCACAGAAGTTGAGCCAGGAGTTGCCAAAATATCTTTCTGTAGACTAAAGTGTTAGACGGAAGATGGGGAGGAGGGAAAGAACACTGTTCTCAGGCCCTGCTAAAGCGAGATAAAAGTCCTCCCTGTTCACCCTCAATCTATCCTGGCTAATGAGCTGCTCTAAGCAAGGGTATATCACATGGAAAAATAGGTCATATAAACAGGTCATTTTCTCCTCATTCAAAGGGTGACTATGAGATCATACGTGTACCAGTGGGCCCAATGTTAACTCCACTGCTATTGAAATGAGTAATGTGATCTGCTGGTTGTGTGTGTTGTATTGGAAACCGATCCTCCCTGTGGACCTGTGGCTGCTTCTAATGTTTCTATCTCCTAGGCCGCTTATTATCTGGCTATTACCACGATGCCGGAAAGAAGCCTGACCTCCTCAATGTCAGTGGTTTGACCTAAGGCTTGACTTTTTGGGGGGGTTGACCAGTGAAATATTTTTTTAAATGTCCTGTCCAAAATGAATGTCAAAAACATCTGTATATCTGATAATGATGGTGCTTCGGACAAACAGCACTTGAGGTGAGGTAAGATGCTTGTGCATGAAGAGTGTGATCTATATTATTTATACAAGACCTGGATGCAGGCCCAGTGGAAAACTGTGTTGGTCCCCTGACATGTAAACAGGGTATGGAGTAAGATGGGTATTAAACAGTAAAGCAAATATAGTAAAGCATTTTCTCTCAGTTTTCAATATCTACTGTCCACAGTTAACACCTCCATTGAGAGAAGTGGATTTTGTTGGGGCAATGGTCGGCCAACAGGCTCAAAATATATGCGAGCACAAAGAACACAGATGGTGACATACAGCCAAGATAATCACCAGCAGACAGCCTTTTGTCGAGCAGCAGGAACGGCAACCAGCACAAGTCAGTGCACGGATTGAATGAGAGCATGGCTGCTTTACTCATCACGTAGAGGGATGTGATGGGTGTGGCATTAGCAGCTGAGCTAGAAGGCTGACATAATGTCCAACATGTTTCTGATTATATCAACTGTGGATCTAAAAGTGGACAAACTTATGATGAAGTAATGTAAATCAAAATAAAATTAATACATAAATATTTAGAATGTACAAAAAAACACTATTTTGGTAAAATTACATTATGTCAGATTTTCCTGTATTTGACAACTCTGCTTTAACATCACCGAATATAACCATTCAGATCATTTCTATTATAATTTATAGTTACATTAATTGCCAATAACTCTATAATTTGTGTTTGAAGACCTAGTATTTAGGTTATTGAAGTCCTTTAGACATTTAAAGCCTTGTTTTGGGGGTTTTTGTGGCCACTGGGAAATGGAACAAGCTGTAAACATTGCCCTATTATCACCTTTTGTGTTAATAAGTTGTTACAGTATGTGGAAAATGTTAACAAACATTTGGCAGACTCAGAGCAACATTAGCATTAGCTTGGAGTTTCTAGCCAAACATCAAATATAAGTCTAACAGAGGCACTCTCCTTTTAGCTCTGTTTTGGTCTCCTTCTAACCTTGCGTGGCAGTTGGACTCGCAAGATCCCTAAATCATGTGAGAATCAATTTTGCCAGGTTTCAAGCTATGTGCTTGACAACCAGATGATTTTATAACTGTTGTAGGCGTGTAATTTTATGCGTGATGAATCTTACGTCATTGTTCTTTTTGTTGTACAGAGTAAAGCAGCCGATGGCGTCACTGTTCCTTTGGGCCGAGGCCCTCGTTGGGCCCTCCAGACGGAGTCGGACTGAGTGAGGAAGCTCAGTGTACAGCTGGTAGGACAGATTCCTCATCACACACAATGAATTCTCCAAACCCTAAACATAAAGAAAGCCAGAGAGAGGAGACAAACAGGGGTGTAAATAACCAACCTGAGTACATGCAGAAACATGTAAACACTCATACTCCAGTATTTCCTCTATGTTGATTTTGGATCGGCGGCCCGCCGCTGTTAAATTTCTGCCGCCACGGTATCAGGAATGGGGCAGACGCACAATTCAATTAAATTTTTTTTTAGAGCGCCAATTCATAACAGAAGTTATCTCAGGACACTTTTCAAATAGAGCAGGTGTAGACCGAACTCTTTATAACATTATTTACCGAGACCCAACAGTACCACCATGAGCAAGACTTTGGAGACAAGGGCAAGGAAAAACTGCCTGTTAAAAGGCAGAAACCTAGGACAGATCCTTCGGCTCTAGGTGGGTGGTCGTCTGTCTCGACCAGTTGGAGGGAGGGAGGGAGGGAGAGAGAGAGAGAGAGAGAGAGAGAGAGAGAGAGAGAGAGAGAGAGAGAGAGAGAGACAGAGAGACACAGACAGAGAGACAGAGACAGAGAGACAGAGACAGAGAGACAGAATCAGAGTAAAGCAAATTATAGCACAATGTAAAGAAAGCTATCTGGACCATTGGGAAGAAACAACTAAAAGCCAAAGTAGACTGGAATGTTATCTTTCCCTTAAAAGAGATTATGAATTAGCAGAATATCTCTCTACTGTCAGAGATAGAAAGCAGAGACAGATCCTAACCAAGTACAGGCTCAGTGACCACAAACTGGCAATCGGCTGGCAACCAAAAGAAAACAGAAAATGTGGTCACTGTTCGACAGGTGAGGTTGAGACAGAGATGCACTTTCTCCTACAATGTACAAAATTAAATGATACGAGAAAAATGCATTTGAACAAGTTCAGCTCTTTGGTTCCAGATTTCAAAGAGCTGAACGACTTCTCCAAATTAAAAATACTCCTCGGAGAAGGAGAGCGGGCACACCTTGCTGCCCAGTATGTATTAACATGCCACAACCTGAGGGACAGTGAGTGATCGAGGCACACGCACACACAGACACACACACTGTAACTAATATAATGTTCATATAATAATAATAATAATAATAATAATAATAATAATAATAATGTATACATCTTTGATTTATTGTATTGAATACTTTGCTTTGGCAATATTGGTTTAAAAAAAAACTTTCATGCCAGTAAAGCCCATTTTGAATTTTGAGAGACAGACAGACAGAACAGTATTGGCAATGGCAATCTAGCAGGACCATGGCAGGAGGCTCCACCAGGATCGATAAGAAAGCACATGAACTCCGGGGAAGAAGTAAAGTTAGTAACATGCATTAATGGGACATGAATGAGTGCAGAAAGAGAGAGAGGAGGTCAGTGCACCATGGGAAATCCCCCGATGGTCTAGGCCTACAGCAGCATAACTAAGCGATGGTTCAGGACACACACACACACACACACACACACACACACACACACACACACACACACACACACACACACACACACACACACACACACACACACACACACACACACACACACACACACACACACCCACCAATACTGCCTGAGATGTCTGTGATATTGCAACAAAGTTTCAATAGCCTGAAATATGCCAACTGAGACCCATCAAGAGGAGAATGCAATTCCAGCTTTTTTGCTATTATCTGAATGTAGGTGTTATCATTTTACACACTGCTGGCCACATTAGCCTATCTGCTGAGTGGTTTTCAAACTGGAGTCAGGGAACCAACAAGGGGCCTTGAGTGGGTGGTAGGGGGTCCCCAGCAAAAACCTTTTCACATTATTTGTAATTTGGGAAATCCTAGGATTGGCCATTTTGACCGACTGTAATTTATAGTGATCCTAGTTGGATCATTGATTGACAATGAAGACTTTATAATCTTAAAACCTAAAAAAAAAAGAAAATCACTGAGGGGAAGACAAAAATCTTCTCAAATTGGGGTCCATGGTCCAATATGCATCTAGTGTGTGGGTCCTTAACATGAAAATGTTTGGGAGCCTCTGGTCTATCCTATTTAGCGCCCCAGTAGTAGGATGCATCCAATTTAGCGAGTTGGGAAACCAATACAAAGCAAGCAGTCAGGAGTCTAGCTGAGTAGTAGTTAACGTAACATTAATGTAAATGTAGTACTTACATTGGAAAATGCACTATTTGTGATTCAAATAATGATTGTTAGTAATGCGACTTCCACAGATGTATGATTTTACTGCTTTGCTGGGAGCTCAGACCCGTCCGCACAGGCTATGCACCTGCTGAAATGGGCCAAACCACAATGAGTGAAGAAGAATGCAATCTCCTTACGTCTTAAATAGAAAAGAGCAAGAGCACCTTCACCAGTAGGTAACAAGTCACGCAGGTCCCTCTACCTCATAATGAGCCAGTGATAGTACCATAGAACTCCACTGTGAGCCACACTGTTGCAATGGCTGATATGCTCCTTCCTTACCATGAACACACCCTGTAGTTTATTTTGTGTCAATCCCACATACACCGTCCTGCTGCTTTTAATTCTCACTTGAGTCTTGAGTAATTAGAGTGACCAACTGTTTTAGGAAATTACCGACAGGGTTCACAGTCTTTTTAAAGAAATCATTTACCATTAGTTTTACAGTTAATACAGGACAAGACAAACCTCAGCATATAAACCATATACGAGAGGGGCTATATCTAAACTCTATGGAATCATACAGAATGTGAATAACACATTGTCAGGCCCATTTAAAGAGGATTGGGGGAGAGAATTGGATAGGGAAATCTCAGAGGAGATGTGGGAGAATTGTATTAAGAACATCCATAATAGCTCAATCAATGCAAGACATAATTTGATACAATTCAAGGTAGTACATAGACTACACTATTCTCCCTCCAGATTGCAGAAAATATTTCCGGATGTGTCATCCCAAAGTATTAAGTGTCGAAGTGAAGAAGGAACACTATCCCACTTATTCTTGTCATGTCATAAGCTACAATCATTCTGGGGCTCCTTGTTTGAGTTTTTCATTAAGGCCTATAATCATCCATGTAACCCAGACCCATTCACCGTATTGTTCGGGGTGGCCAATCCAGATAGAGAAATAGCCTTAGCTTTACAACTACTCTTCACACTTTCAACATTGTTAGCCAAAAAAGCTAATTTTACAATCTTGGAAATCTGAAAAGGTCTCCTACATTTGAAATGTGGTTGAGAGAGCTGAGAAATGTATTACACTTCAGGTACATTATGTCTGTTAAGAGGTTTTTTTTTTTTTTTTTTAAATTTGGCAACCTTTTCTCGATTTAATGTCTAAAAACTGAACTTGTGCTATTCCGTCGCTGTGCCGTTATCTTTGTCCTATGTTCTGTTTCTCGCATGTCAAAAACCCCTGTCAAGAAACCTGTACTGTTTTGTGTAGCACCACCAACTATTGTTAATATGTCTATCTATTTCTCTGTTACGAAAACAATAAAAATAAATACACAAAAATACAGGACAAGACATGCTCAGAAACAGTCATATAATTTATATATATGACTAAAGCATTTCCACTGGCCCGTACCACTCTGGTAAACCAGCTTTGAAGATCAGCTTATCCTTCCAAAAGTGGATCATGTGTTCATACAAACACCCAGGTCTACATCCAACATCTTAGTGAGGGGCTAAAATACAATTAAAATGTATCAGGACAACATAAATTATTTCCAGGATATTTGGTCATATGAATCAATATCCAGGTTTTACATGACTGGCGTCTCTAAATTTACAGCTTTTCCAGGATGCATGGGAACCCTGCACAGACTGTTTTTTTAAATAAACTATATATATTAGTCTATTTTATTGAGTTTTTAAAGATTCACATCTTCAGTAGGGGACTAAAGCTGATCCTACAGAGTGGTACCAGGACGATCCTGGCATATTTTAATGGTCGTAAACCATGATGCTAACACATTACTGTGCTCTGCTATCTGTCCACCACACTGCAGTGCTGCTCTCCCTTGTAAGAGCCAGCCTCTACAGTGCATACGTGAGTGATATGTCTAAAGACTCAGATCAGGATCTGGGCAAGAAAACATGACTGGGACATCCCTGTCCTATGAACAAAAGTCAGAAAGTGTTGAGAGCTAACAACATGTTGTTGGGTTTGGTATTGGGTCATAGGATTTGTTGACAAGAAAAATATATGGTAAACGGACCTGTACTTGTATAGCGCCTTTCTAGTCTTCCGACCACTCAAAGCGCTTTTACACTAGATGCCACATTCACCCTTTCACACACATTCACACAGTGATGGCAAAGTCCATTGAACAGAAACTAACATTCATACACATTCACACCGATGCACGGCATCGGGAGCAATTTAGGGTTCAGTATCTTGCTCAAGGATACTTCGACATGTGCCACCAGGAGCCGGGGATCGAACCCACAACCTTCCAATTAAGGAACGACCCACTCTGCCTCTGAGCCACAGCCGCCATAAAACACAAGCCTTATCCGTTAACATAAATATTTCGTTATATGACATAAGATGCTGTGAAGTCTTTCATTTTGTGGAACCTCGACTTTCTGTCCTTGTATCTTTAGTTTTGGTGGTTAGTGCTCGTAGCTACTGACATTTCAAAGGCCCTGCCAGTGTGGTGTGCTGTAGCCATAATGACCATAGTGGATTTCAAATTATTGTTATTTACTGTGTTTAAAACGGTCACAGGCTCTTACAGTGCAGGTCAATGTTACCTTATCGTCTGCACGGTCTTCTTGTTGAATGTAGGACACCAGAGAGTCCACCAGGCCTCGCATATCTCTCATCTTCTGTCTCGTCCTCTCATTCGTCGAGCTCAAGTTCCTAATATGCACACAAACACACAGACATTTAAACCCAGGCTACGCTGTCAGAACATAATGCAGTAAAGCTCATCTCATGTCATCTTCATCGCTTATCCGGGATCGGGTCGCGGGGGTAGCAAGTCCAGCAGAGGACCCCAAACTTCCCTTTCCCTGGCCACGTCGCCAACTCTGACTGGGGGATCCCGAGGCGTTCCCAGGCCAGTGTGGAGATATAATCTCTCCACCCGGTCCTCAGTCTGCCTCCCATTTAGTATGCAGTAAAGCTGTCATACTAAAATGCATCTTTGATCTTTGAGTGATTTTCAGAAACTTTATGAAGCTCTCTTCAGCTCCCTTCAGCAGCACCTTCCCCACAAAAAATATTGCTTTTTTCTGGAGCTTATTGCACTTACATGTAATTCTATCTCTGCCAAGTAACTCCTCAGACAAGCTTTACAAGGTGTGACCTGAATGTAACCATTTTGCGATGAAAATGAAGAATTATTATGATTTACATGATCACGACTAAATTCTAAGATAACATGGCAGCAGTTCAAGTTTTATGCTACAAGAAAAAATAGATCATCTATTTAATTGAGTAATGTGTTTCGGTGAATAAAGCATTGGTTCAGTAAATCATTATGGTGTTCTTTTTCCAATAGCAGCAAACAAGTGCTGTGCCTATTCTTAACTGGTTGGCATCTCCATAGCAATAACAGATAAGGTCCATGGACACTGTAGTATAGAGTGCTACAGGAATGAGTCCTAAAACCTGGAACTAAGTTGGCATTTTAGTACACAGGTTCCCTCCCCTCGATCTCAATGGGTTTTAAGTTGGATGACCTGAAAACAGTGGCTGACTCAAGCTTATGAGATTTGAATGTGTAGTTGTTGTTTGTGACATAAAATACATCAGTAAATACCTGTAACTGAACATGGAGACTTATCTACTCACTTGCTGAGCAATATGTGGAAGTATCATACACCTTTGTTCACCACTCCATTGGTCCAGACTGATTATGTCAACAACTACTGGATGGATTTCATGACATATTGTACCAACATTCATTTCCACAGAATAAATCCTCATAACTTTGGTGATCCCCCGTCTTTACAGCAGCAAGTTTACAGTTTTGCTTCAGATTGGAATCTCTGCACAACTATTGGATTGATTGTCATGAACTCTGGTACAGAAATTCATGTTCCCTCAGGAAGAACTGAAATAATCTGGTGATCCTCTGACAATTTTAATTTGCCCAGGACTGTTTGGTTTATAGCCAAATACATGCAAAATGAATGATTTTCCCACCAATCTCAGCTGTACTTGTGTGTGTGTTTTACTAATTAGCAAATGCTGTGATAAATTGAATTTTTATTGATGAAACTGTTAACATGTGAGCAGGGTTCTGTGGAGTCACCTGAGGCAGCCCGTGGTGTTGTAGAAGATGTCTCTCTCCGATGGGCTTAGTGGGATGCTGGCGCACAGAGGAATCAGTACTTTCTCTGTCAGCTCTGATAAAGCTTCTTTGGACAGCTTTTCCTTCAGGTTGTCTCTGGAGGACAGATTCCACAGGACACCTGCAGCCACAACAGGTTTTATTCTGTTGTCTGAATAACTACTTCAAACCAGTCATATCTTGATGAAGATAAATCAGTAACAGCACCTGGATTATGTGATTGCATGGACATAAGATCGCAAGCAGAGTCTGAAAGCACAGCCATTACTACCTGTGATGGTCTTTCGAAGCTCCTCATCAGGTTCGCCCAGGATGTTAACGAGACGCAGCACTCCACCGGCATCTACCAACGCTGCCTTGTTGTCAGCGTTTTCGTAGATGAGGTTCCGCGTGGCGCCAGTGGCAAAGCGCTGCACTTCTAGGCTGTCACTGGAAAAAAGCTGAACCAGAGCTGGAATGCCATGCAGAGAACGGACCTGAGAGGATCAGGAAGAATACACCAGTGGCAGACTTATGGCAAAACAAATAAAAGAGCACTTGAGAGGGCACTGCATCACAAGGAACCCTGTACGGGATTGCTTTTCATTTTCTCCACTGGAAGGGTACCTTAGACGGCACTTCACCATGTTTAGTCTTATTTTTGTACAATCAAATACAGTGAATAAAAGAAATATAACCAAACACAACCAATGGCAAGCTGCTGTTACCTGGTTTTTGGCATTGCTGCTATGGTAACACTGGTGTTGTATGTAAGCAGCTCCCAGAACTTGCAAGGCAGTATCTGACTCAGACAGATATCTGACAGCTGTAGCCATGTCCAGACCCTGCACCCTGCAGACACACACATACACACGCACACACGGAAGCTGTAAATTAACAGTGGCTATTACTAGCAGTGTATGACGAGGCTATAATCACATTACAGCTGCAACTAATGCCTATGTTCATCATTAATTAATCTGTTGATTATTTTTTTCCATTTATCAGTTAATCCTCTTGTCCATATATCTAACAAAGCAACAAATAAAGTTGATCCAAGCCAGAGGTGACCCAGATGTTTTAGCCAGGCAAATGAAAAAATAATGTCTCACTCTGCCAGTGGGTCGTTGCTGTGTATCGATGCTCCGTCCAAGATATCCATGCCCTTCCCGACACTCCTCACACTGTGGAGCGAGGCGGCCCGGTGGACTGGGGCCTGGTACTGCCCTGTCCCCATGACATGGCTGGCCCTGGACACATGCTGCTGCCACTGTGTCCCCCAGGTGTCCCCTGCCATGGGCACACCCCTGCCGGTCCCCACCCAGCCCTCCTGGCCCCCGGCAGAGCCCAACTGCTGGTAGTGCTGCTGTCGGTTGGTAATGCGACTGATGGTGCGGTGGGACGGGCCTTTGTAGGTATACTGATGTGGCAGCTCCTCCTCCTGCCAGTAGCCTCTTTCTTGGGCCAGGGTCCCGCTGAGGCTGCGCCTTAGGGTGCCGGGGGGAGGCACACTGATTGTGAAGGAGGCCTTTTCTGGATGAGGCAACACAGTGAGAGGAAATGCCTCCTGGTCTGCCTGGCACAGAGACTTAGAGCGTTGGCTTCGGCTGTGTGACTGGGAGGTCTGGAAGTTGCTCTGGACCATGGTGGTTGCCTTACTCCTCACCTTGGAAGTGGTGTCCGCAGCAGAGCGAGAGGAGAAACCAGAGGAGTGCAGGGGTACTGTGGGTACCTGCAGGGTGGGTGGGTAATAAAGGGTTAACAGATAGGCACAGATACATTTTTTTCAACATTTTGGATATGACAAGGTATATTTTCATCTAACTTTTACTATAGCGATAAACCTTTAACTAGTATCTCTTTTTCTTAACAGTTTAACAAGAAACAGTGCTTAAGGTTAATGAAACTGTCCGGGACACAAAAAGTGGAGTAAGATGTTCCACATTCAACAGCTCTTCCTTCTCTCCTTCATTAAAGTCAAGTTACTGTAAGCTGCAGGAAGCTCACTGTTGTCTTTGCATTGTTAGACTGGCCAGCTGACAGCAACAGACAAACATCCTGTTTGAATTTATTTTCTTCTGTCTTTACATTGTTCTGCAATAGGTCAGCAGTGTTGGCCAGTATTTTCCTTACTCTCTTATTCTCCTTTTGATACAGAGAGGAAACATTATTCATACACAATACTGGCTCATTGCTTTCAAGTGTGTGTACACAGGTCTCCAGTAAGGAAGGAACAGTGATGAACACCGCCCTTCTCTTTTAGAGAAAGTGAGAAGTTTAGAGAAGTTTAAAGTACAATTTTATTACAACTTTGGTCTCATTTCCATAGTTTGGGCTGGGTTTTCACATCTTGTACAAAAAGGGGCAAGCTGACTCATTGTAAATAAACCAGCTGTCTATTCATATGATCTAAACCACTATATCTGGAAGTAAAACTGAAAGTGACTACACCGGGAATGTTGCTAAAAATCCCTCATTGCACAAGAAACCTTTCCACTCATGATTCAGTACAGTAGGTCAAGGTTTAAACCAGTCTGGCTGTAAACTCTCCAGATTGGATAGTACTTTTACAATTTGTCTTTGTTTTCTCTTCCAGCTAATTTTAGCTCTCCTGGGTGTGTATGATAGTATGACTCCTCCTGTTCTGTCAGAATTATCATTAGCAATGTAGCTGCACTCCCATATCTCAGCCAGGACCATGGCTCCCACTGAGGACACCGAGGTCATGTCCTCGGTATTTGTGTGTGAGTTTATGTTTAATATTCAACAAACTCACACATGGTGGGCATTTTATAGGCTGATTTCAGTATGTTTAACCTCAGAATACCTACATTTGACTACATTTAGACCAACAAAAGAAAAGTGTGTAAGGGATCTGGACAACAATATGACTACTCAATGAATTACTTTGAAATAAAAATAAAAATATAAGAATCTTTAAAGAATCTTGCCAAGTAGGTCTGTCACAATAATTGCGTCCGATTCTTTTCCCAGGATAGCGAAGTCATGACCCAATGTACTCTGACCTTGACTCTGACCTTGGGTTTAACCTGAAGCAGCCCATACAACAACGACAGCAATCATTCAGGCTTAGTAGTACGTGCTTGTTGTTTGCTGATACACAAAGTTCAGGAAAAATTGTTCTCGGAATATCTTTAATTGTATTAGCAACTTATTGTAGCATATATAGGATATTTAATTATCGCCTGTCATAATACGACTTATCGTTTAAGAATGCACCAACATTTTAGTCAACATGATGCCAGGATAAACAGCAGGCTTTACCTACTATTACTATTTTGCCTGTTAAAACACAATAGCCTATAGTTAATAGAGCCTGAGAGTCCATGTTATTTATTGTTTTGGTTAGGTTTTATTTATCAAGGATCTTTTATTATTTTTTCACATTCTAATTCTAAAATCATTGCTCTTTGAAAGGGTGTACTTGCTTTATCATTATATCAGTTGCATTAAATGGTCATAAAATGACAACAATATGGTTTATCACAATTATGAAGCATTCGGTGCTTGACACTTTTCGATACCCAGTACTACATATCATTACGGCAACTAAATAGCGCGCACATTTCTGTCTGCACCAAAAAAAATATTCAGGTTTGATATTTTCAGATTTTTATTCCTGGCCCTTTGAAGGCTCTGAAACAGCCTTTAGACCTTCATAATTGGTGATACATTTGACAGAAGCTATAATTTTGTTTCTGTCTACAAATAATTAAGTAGGGGGATTGAGGGGGACTCTCAATCATGGATACAGCACAGATCTCAGCAACTAACCTAGACAGTGCAATGTCATTTTTACTGATAAGAATAACACTGTACTCAACTTGCTGGCCAAAACTACAAAAATGAAACAGAAGTTAAAATGAACTGGAATAATCTTGATTACTTAGCATGCACATCCTTACTACAGTGGGCCACAGCCAAACTTTTACTGTTTTGGTAGTTACCATCTCCCAACCAGAGCTAAGTGTACTTAATCTCTGGATTGCAAGAGTCAACTCCACAAAGAAGATCATCAATCAAGCTTTCAGCTCTCTGGCAGGGAGACTGTTGTGAATCATCGCACTGTCACACTGTCCCTCTGCTGGGCTAAGTTCTCACAGTATAAACAAAGCACCAATTCTGGTAGAAATATAAAAGAACTGACTGTATGCGACGCTGTAAATGGACAAGCCTTTAAGCAATTGTGTTTCCTGTCTTGGACCTAAGCTACACTGAATGTGTCCCAAACAGTGATTTGTGCTGGACAGTTTTTTTAAAGGCTTTGTTGCATGTATCACAGTGTAATGCAGTAGCGGCAGGTGGTACTCACAGCCAGGACCCGGCTGGGTGTGTGTATCATGGACCTGGAGCTGAAACCACGGCTGTGGGTAAAGCTCTTTGCCTCAGGAAAGCTGTAGTCTGGACAAAGAAGAAAGGTAAAATATTAGTGTTTCAAAAAAAGACTAGAATATTCAGAATGCCACCTCCAAAAGTTACAAAAACTACAACACTTTATCACTCAGGAATGAAACGTTGTGGCCTCTCTTCTTTCATTCTTCCGTCAAATATTATCAATATTTTTCAACTTTGAAAGCCCGCAATTCAGTTTAGCATTAGCCTTTCAGCAGCCAGCATTCACCCTGTGATTTCCTCAGAAATTACCTTCTCTATCTTATATTGTTTCTTCTTGTTTATATTGTTTATATATTATCTTGCTGTTTACCTATTTATTATTTCTTGCTTTTCTATCAATGCTTCTGCATCAAGGATTATTTTATCTTGTTCCATTTCATTCTTTTTGCTTTGATGACTGTTGGTCGGTGTTTGAATGACAGTGTGGCTTTTCAGGAGGGGTACTTCTCACAGTGGCAGCAGGGGAGGTGGGGTATTAACAGCACAGTGCACGTACAGACAAAAACAACAGCTTATAACTGATAGGCCTATAACTGTAATAAGATACGCTTATTCTATGGTTAGAGTAGTGTTCTTGAAACAATACATCGGTCATATAAATGGACAGCTAGGAGGGAAGGAGTTTTTCCTCAGTATATATTAGTAGTATATACCTCAGCAGTATATACATATTTTCACCTGTCCTCAGCTTGAATTGGTAGGTATGTGTGTAAGTGGGTAGTTAAGATTCTTTATTGTCCTTTGCAGGAAATTTGTTACCACAGTCTGTACATAGCCTCACATACATAGACCGATCAGCCATAACATTATGAGCAGTGAGAGGTGAAGTGAATAATACTGATTATCTGGTTATCATGGCTCCTGTCAGTGGGGGGGATATATCAGGCAGCAAGTGGACATTTTATCCTCAAACTGATGTGTTAGAATCAGGAAAAATGGGCAGCGTGAGGATTTGAGTGACTTTGACAAGGGCCACATTGTGATGGCTAGACGACTGGGTCAGCATCTCCAAACCTGCAGCTCTTGTGGGGTGTTCCCGGTCTGCAGTGAAAGTGCTCCAAGGAAGGAAAAGAACCGGAGACAGGGTCATGGGAGACAGAGGCTCACTGATGCACATGGGGAGTGAAGGCTAGCCCGTGTGGTCCGATCCAACAGACGAGCTACTGTAGCTCAAACTGCTGAAAGAGTTAATGCTGGTTCTGATAGAAAGGGGTCAGAACACACAGTGTGTTGGTATGGGGCTGCAGAATGCCTGATCTGCCTGATTGGTGTACATACATATATAATATTTACAAATATTGGCTACTTTGTTGAGTAATGCTATGGCACAAGGGACAAAACTGCTGTGCCCGGATGGGAGCAATGTGAACAGTGGGTTGAGGGGGTGCCTGGTGTTGTGTGCTATGATGTGTGCTCTGTGTGTGATAGCTTTGTTGCTGAGGTCTGAGAGGTTGGGGGTGGGGAGACCAATCATTTTGGAGGCTTTCTTTGCTATGTGTACAAGTTTGTTCCTATTGAAGGCAGTTAACATGTTGAATAAAAAGGGGGGGGCAGTAAGGGAGAATGGGTTGGATTATGCTTTTATAAAACAGCAACAGAAAGTGCTTTGAGTTTGCAGTGTTTGTGAATGTCCTTGCTCAGTTTGTTGTCCAGAGTGAGTCGAGGATATTTAAAAGCATATAGGTGTAGGTGAAAATATGTCAGTTAATTGTTAGTTAGCTATTCAGCTGCTTTAATGACAAGCCAAAACAGATACACAAAAACCCACCGTTTGTGAATTGAGCATGTTAATACAGTATAAATTAGAATTATGAAAAAACAATTAAGAGACCGTTACTCAATAAATGAATAAATAGTGGTAGTGGGCTGGGAACGGATGGGGCTAGAGGAAGATTTGTCCAAACCCATTATCGCTCTGGGATATAGTGGAAAAAACTCTGGCTTGTTTGTATTTCTTTTCTTTCACAATCGTTGTGGGCAGCACTTAAACCAGGATGCAGCGACGCTGCCCTCGCAAAACAGTGTCAAGGGGGAAGCGGAAGGAGAGGAGAAATCCCCACAGCCTACTTCCTGTGAGCCAGACTAGTGGATCCCCAGTCAGGGGATGATCAGGATACACTGTCTGGAAACTGTGGATGTGTGGACAAAAACTTGTGCCAAATTCGTCAAGAAGATGTGAAGATATTTCAGTCTGGACCAAAGTGGTGGACCGTCCCACAGACTGACATTGCCATCTATACAGCCGCACTGCTGGAATGTATAACAAGAGTGTTATATGTGAAAGTCATGTAAAGACTTTACATTAAAGGTCTCTGTATAACTGTGATTCTGTAGCACAGATGGATTCACTTCACCTCAAAGACATGAAGACATGTGGAGATTGCACACTGTAACCACATGTACCAACACTCTCAGGCTCAAGAGCTGTTACGAGTTGAACAGGGAGGGGAAGGGGAAGCAGTGTCTGTAGTAAACGCCTTGGAGAAAAACAATACAGACCCTCCAGTCCAGTAGGGCGGAAGGGAGGAGGGAGGAGATGGTGCTGGAAGGGGAGTCTGGGCTGCATGCCTGAGCATAAGCATCACCAGGTCAAAGGTCAGGGAAGGTATGCTCATGCAAGACCACCACAATACGAAGAACACACACAGCATATAACCAGCAATCAATCTCTTTTTGTTTTGCACACAATTTGCCATTTACTAAATTTTGCTTCCTGTGCAATGGAGAGCGGAGGTTAGAGATTACACTTTGTAGAAATTGAGTATGAATCAATTTTGGACAAATTCTGAAACTTTGGTGTAGGGTTTTGTTATTAACTGAAAGTCTTATTCATTTGCTCCAACTCTGATTCACACTTCTGGTTGGTTCTACAGCAATAGCAAAGACTCATGGGTACCACAGGCTCAAGATGCCAGTATTTCAGATTCCACATCGTGAAAGTACTGTATTTATAACCAACCATTCTAAAATAACCTATTGTTAAACTGTGGCATTATATTTGTGTCTCATTCCTGAGCGAGCAATGGGAGATTTGCAGCACAGAAAGATATATATTTTGCGAGCACATACATTATATTTTAAAGAGACAAAGCAAAAGAAAATGTAGTTTGAGAAAACATCTGTTTTACACATAAATGTTAATCTTCAATTAAATCACTAGTATTTCTACAGCATCCTGGAGGCATTATGATAAAATGATGACGATGTAGATTTGTTCAACTACAATTGGATTAAAACACATTTTCAGTCATCATTTTGTATTATTAACAGAAATGTTTGCATGATTTGATTCTATGGTGTCCGGTGGATTTGTTTTCTTATGCAAGCATTGGGACTGGAGATGGAACAGCCAATCAGGTGGTGGTTGATTTTGTTGCACATTTTAAAGACTGTGCCAGCTTGAGCGAGTGTGCAGGCAAAGAGTGTGCACAGAGTGGATGGTGTTGGATATTCACTTATCATGTGAACAACCAAGGGCAACACTATGAAGGCTTTTGAGGAGAGGCTGTCTGAGTTCTTATCATGCATATCCCGACCATTACTCTATATGTTTCTTTTCTATCTCGTGATGGTCCACAAGCGTGGGAGTGTGTCCAGTGGTGGATCTACTGGAACTCCCTTTTCCTTGATCCCATGGCCTTGCAAATATCCAGACCTTTACATCAGGGTGTCTGGTTTAGTGCTAGATATGTCTTTTAGCTTTTCTCTCATTACATATCCACTGTAACTTTTAAATAGTTACAACTAAGACACATTGATGGTTAGAAGTAGGATGATATTTACTGTGTGTGAACAAAACGCTCACATCCCATGAGAAATCCAGAATGTGGTAGTGTTGCTCTCTGAAGTTTAAGCATGTTTTTAATTAACTCCTCTCTCAATGTTTACTATGATTAAGCCCACCTCCCAATATGAGACTTTGGCTTCTGCAAAAAAAGAAGCCTCTCAGTAATTTATGTGTGCAGCTCCTCTCTTTCACCATGAACCATTAGTGGGCCATGGTACCCAGCCATGCCTTTCTCAACACCATGTTTACTAAGTACTTTCCACCTTTGTCACAAACTTATCTTCGACTAAAGCACGAGTCCTGGTCCCACGATATCCAAAACCTTGGTCACCAACACTAGTCTGAACTCCATACTCAATACCCAGACTTTTAAAGCCCTCTACAATGTTAATTACACCCCAATGTGGGATGAAGCAAACAACATGTTAACGATCTTTGGGGCCTTTTGCACTAAAGGAGACAGACATGCAATGGGGAACTTTTGCAGCCACTTTCTAACAGCAAAATCCACCTTCCACCACCTCTACAGCTCACTAATTGTTAAATCCATACAAAACCAAAGTGAAAAGTTGTGGTTATGCGCCAGAATCATTCTTTTCCTAGAGTCTTGTTATGTTTCTGTAAGGATGCCAGAAAACCAGCAGATTCTCTAGGAAGAAGATTTTGTGACCTGTAAACAGAGCCAGTCTAGTTGTTGGCCTCTGTATCCAGTCTTCATGCTAAGTTAAGATAATCAGCAGCTGGCAGTAGATTTAAAACGAGTGTACAGACATGAGAGTTGTTAACTGTTCAAGAAAATTATTTAATATCAATATTTCATTAATTAATTATATATAAATTTCCTAAACTGTTGCAACACTCTGACCTTTCATTGCAATCTACTCAAATGTCTTCAAGATACAATGTCTTTGACTTTTTAGCTGGGATATTTTCATTAGCTTTCACTGTAAGAAACGGTAAGTAGGTCACCAAATCTATTAGAAATCATCCACTGGGGATGGCAACCTGGTGTCATATCTTGCTCTGGAAAGACAGACCAACCAACTCAGTACCTGAAATGGCCATTACTTCAGATTTTTATCCACACGAGTACCCTCACTCCCTCTGTATTTCATGATAAATGGTAAATGGACCTGTATTTGTACAATATGCAAAAGGGCGAAGCATCGGGAGCAATTTGGGGTTCAGTATCTTGCTGAAGGGTACTTCAACATGCAGC